TGGACGGAGCTTAAAGCATAACTTATTAACTGGGCATTTTCATATTATAATACAATCTTTAAAATCTTAACATTAATAAATGTATAGTTCAATAAAAGCTTCTTCTCAAAATCGAACAACCTGTAAATATTGTATACATTTTATCCTAACTGCACACACATTTTTTTTCTTCTTCTTCTTCTATCTTTTGATGCATTTCGAATAAAATTTTTAATAAATGCGACGATCATATTTATTTATAATATTCTCAATATTTCGCAGTACATAATTATTGTTTTTTTCTACAAAAAATAAAGAAAAAAAAATACTGGTCTCAATTTTCTTAAATTCAACACACGAAGGCATACAATCGAGATCTTTTTCTATTTCTTACATTTTGTTTCTAAAAAAAAAGGAAAAATTACATCAAAAATTATTTTTCAAATTTTGCAAAAAATTTCCTAGAACATCTATAAAAAAAAGGAAACAAAAAAAATTTCCTACCAAAAGCTACCAGAATAATTATTCACCTAAAATATTAACAAATTATAAAGAAAATGTGATTTCTAGTAAGAATTACAGTCTATTTTCAATTTTATCAATTATCACCTAATTAAGTACTTCAATTCAGAGAATACACTAAAAAGAATTTTCACTCATATCAAAAAATTTTCGAATATTTTCAATTGAAAATCAATTCAATTTTATGAATAAATATTTATATTTTAATTGTAATTTAATATTTTATTTATATTTAATTACAATTAATTATATTATAATATTCTATTCAATTGTAATCAACTACTAATAATTACAATTAATTATAATTTAATATTATATATTCAATTGTAATTATTCACTAATAATTATAATTAATTATAATACCTAATTTCCTAATTAATTTTACATATTTATAATATCAAAAGAAAATACTTTTTATGCAGTGTAATTCCGAGAGAAATTTGTCTAAAACTATTGTAATATCATTATAAAATTCTTCAAAAAAAAAAAAGAAAAAATTAATCACAATAAATTGTCTTTTTTAAAGTGAAAAAAAGAAAAAAAAAAGATTCATTTTCGTATTGAAAATTCTCACTGGTAATCGGTAAATCATTCAATCTTGTCAACAGATACAATAACTTGTGTTATAAATAAATTCGAGAGAAATTAACATTCAATTATTTGATTTCGAAATATTTTTCTTAAAAATATTTTTTTTAAAGAGGCCCCATTATTTGTTTTCGTATTTCACATCGATAACAGCGTCAAGCGACAGTCATTTAACATTTATACAACAAATTTTTCGTATTATATAATTACGTACGGTTATATTTCGCCTACATTTCATTTTTTTTTTAATTCATTCCACCGAACACCTTTTACACTAATTATTAATATTTTTTTTGTTATTATCAGTGTTTTGTTATTATTATCATTATCATTATCATCAGCGTTTTTAATTTTAGAAACGAAAAGCGAAATTTCTCTTTTAATTCCTAACAAAAAAAAAACGTTTATTCCTTATCAGAAAATAAGAATTTGAAAAACAAAAAATTCGAAAATTTCATGAAAATCGAAAAAAAATTAAATACATGCAAAAAAGAATTTATTTCTAGACTTATTTTTTATTAAATTTTATAATTTTGTTATTTTTTTATAATTTTTTAATTTTGTTATTAATTTGTTATTAAATTATTATTAAAAGTGTTAAGAAGAAGAGAAAAAAAAGCGAAGAAAGTAAATATTAAAAAAAAAGAAATTGTCAAAATTTGAAGAATAAAAATTTAAAAATATTTAAATATAAAATTAAAATTCTAGATTTAGGGGGTAGAATTTTAATTCAATTTCGATTTGATTTTCATTTTAATCTAGAATTTTAATTCGATAAATTTTTAGAAATTTCTGAAATACATCAAATAAATAAAATAAATTGAAATAAATTCGAAATTTGTTTCCAATTATTCTTTTTTTCCAAAATAAAATTGAATGAAAGAAATTTATTTTTCAGTAACTTTCAAAATTTTTGTTTTCGTATTCTCGTAAAATATTCAAAAATATTCTAAAAAAATTGCATTTGAGAAGAAATAACGCAGACAAAAAGGACATTCACCAAACAAAAAAATAAAATAAAATAAAATTCTAATTAAATATAAAAATTACAATAATTATATCGATGATAAACATTCGCTGTAATCGTAAGATATGTATAATAAAATCACAAAAATATTTTCGAGAACCAAGAAATCGTAACTAATTACATAGAAAAACGTAACTTAAAATTATGAGATACATGTTTAACATTTTTCTTTTCAAGAAAAAAAAATACTCTCTAAAAGTTGGTAATTTTTTTTTAACTTAAACATTGAATTGAAATTGAAACTAAATCTAAAACTGACTCATTTTTCTTTTTTTGTAAATCAATGTTTTTTAAATTTTTAATTTCCTATGAAATTCCAAATTAAATTGGGAATTAATAAATTTTAATTTCCAATTAAATTTAAAATTAAACTGTAAAATTAATTCTTACAATAGCTGAATTTCAAATTAAACGAATAAATTAATTAATTTTCTAATTGAATTTCAAATTAAACGAATAAATAAATTAACTTTACAATAGAATTTCAAAATAAATTGTAATAAATAAAAGAAATGTACAATTCATTTTCGAATTCAATTTGAAATTAAATTTGAATAAATAAATAAAAATTTCCAATTAAATTTCAAATTAAACTGAATTAAATATAAGTTTAAAATTTCAATCAAATTTCAATTTAAACTGGAATAGATTAAATTAAATTTACAATTCAATTTCAAATTAAATTGGAATAAATAATAAATTTCCAATTCAATTTCTAATTAAACTGAAATAAATGTAAGTTTAAAATTTCCAAATTAAATTTGAAATTAAATTGGAACAAATAAATTAAAATTCAATTTAAATTTAAAATTAAATTGGAAATTAAATGCAATTTTCAATAAATAGAAAAATATTTTAACATTTTTAATTTGACTGATATTTTAAGTGGAAATTATTTTACATTGATTGACAAAAAAAAGCACTGGAAAACACTGGTAAACAATGGAAAAAATAGAAAAAATAATTGAAAGAAATAATAATATTAATAAATAAATTTTTCAACACGAGTCATTGACATTTTTTGTCAATTATTTTTCATTTCGAAAATTAGTGAGAAAAATGACTGAAAATTTAAAATATTAAGATTTTAATATTATAATTATTAATATTATAATATTTGTTATTAATATTTTAACATTATTAATTAATATTCTAATTAATAAAAAATATTAAAATAAAAATATAAAAAAACATTTTTTCTTCAATTATTTTTTTAATTTTAACTTTTTTTTCAATTCAGTCGAAAAAAAATTGATTCAGTTTTAGAAAGTATTTTACCCGAAAAAAAATTCTTCTCCCACCGAACAAATTTTGAAATTTCATCATAATATTGAGATGATACGCAATATTGTAGCCTAGAGGAATATTTTTTTTTATTCTAAATACGAAGCGATTATCCATCGAGAAGCTGATTAATTTATCCCAATCCATGATCTTCAAAGAATCCCTGAGGTGTTTCCTCCTGAAACAGAAAATAAAAATTTCTATTCACAACAGTTTTTTTGCAAATTTTTTTTTTTCTAATATAATTATATTTTACATTTAAATTATATTTTAGAAAAAATTTCTTTTATTCAAAATATGAATAGGGATCAAGTTAATTTGACGCTGCACATTATTATCTCAAAAAATTATTCTATATTATTATTATAATTATATTTAAATATCGGAAAATAAAAAAAAATAAGAAAATATGAGTAAACGTACCTATTATAGTTTGCAAAAAGTTATCTTCTCGATGCAGCTTCAAATGATGTACAATGAACCCTTTTCATATAATTTAAACATTGATTTTCTTTGTTTGTTTCTTTTTTTCTTTCATTTTTTTGACACACAAATTTGCACCAATTTCTTTTCAAAAATACACTTTTTTGATTTTTTTCTATTTTTGAATGTTTTTTCATTTCACCACAAAAGAAAGTAATTTTTTTTTTTAAAGAAAAATTACTTTCAAATATAATTTCCGAAAAATGGAAATTTTAATTTTATAAACTTCAAAGAAAGAGAAAATAAGAAAAATTAGTCACTTTTTTATGGAAATAATTTTTCAAAATAAATTTTTTTTTATAATAAACGGGACAATTAAAATTGTGTGGAGAATAAAAAAGAAATTAAAAAAAAAAATTGTCACTTGAAATAATTTTTAAAAAAAATGAATAAAAATTGCAGAAAACTGAATTCAATTCTTTTTAATAAAAAGAAATTTCTTTTTTGCCAGGAAAACGGATTGTTTTCTAATAAATAAAATTTTATAAAAAAAATAAATTCTCCCAGGGTGGCTTATTGAAGCAGAAAGAAAAAATTAATGGGTAAATTAAATTATAAGTAAATAAATATCGCTGAAATTCTAAAGATCACGGAAGTATTTTATTATTGACAATTTGTTGCATATTGAACATTAAAATTGACGCAGTTTTTTACATACTACAAAAATGTAGAATTTTTTTTTTTACTTTTTTTTTTCTTATTTTTTAAGTCGAGGAAGATATTTACAGAGATATATATTTGTTTCGTTTTAAAGGCAATAAACTCACAACAATTGCAAAGTAAGAAAAGATTTTTAAAAACGAAAATGTTTTCATTTTATTTAATATTTATTAATTTGCTTTTTGATTTCAATCAAAAACATATTTTTTTTAATTGGAAAATTTAAAAAATGTATTTAATTAATTTTAATTAATTTAATTTTTAGTTTTTTTCGACATTTTTATCATAAAGTAAAAATTGTAAAAAATCAAATTCTGGAAAAATAAATATCAATAAATTAATATTTTGATGTTTTTATTTTTTAAGCGAAAAAAATAGAAGAAAAAAATTCTTTTTCTCTCATGTGCCAATTTTTTTTATTCAAAATTAAAAAAAAAATTCGATAGGAAAATTTCTCAATTATCGTTTTTATGAATCCTTTCTTATTTTGAGTTTATGTGCACAATTATTATTTAAATTCTTACAATATTTACGCCTAATGCACATATTTCTAAAAATAGAAAAACTACTTTCAAACACTACAAATTATAATTCGAAATTTTTTCCTAATCTATTAAAATATATTACTTTGTATATTATAATACGTTTCCTTGTGTACAGGATATTAAAAAGTTTTTTTTTCTTTATAAATATATTCGTAGAAAAATATGGCAAAAAATTAATCCAGTCTAAATGTTTTGGAATTGGAAGTCGAAGATAAGAGGAGACGAGAAAAAAAGAAATATATTTCTAAAAAGTGATGAATCATCGTCCAGCTGTTGTTTCTTTTTTTCTTTTTTTCTTTTACTTTTTGTTCTTTTTTTATTTTGGTTTTTATTTTTTTTGGCCCAAGTTGATTGATTTCTCTGGCAGTCACTTTTTGATGTGTCGATTATTTCCATTAAAAGAGCCCTATTTACTGCAGAGCAGACTAAATAAGCCCTACTTCCCGTAGAGCACCATCGAGAGCCTCGTCCTTCCACAAAGAAACAAATTTCTAACTAATCTATAGGTGAAAATTTTTTTCTCTCACACCACAAGTAAAAATTTATTTAAAAATCGATTTATTTCTTTTAAGTATAACTGTACAATTTTTTTTTTCTAAACAATAAATCCGAGTTTTAAAATTAATTCTAGATAAAAAAACGAAGAAAAAGAAATCAAAGAGACCAACATGTTAATTTTAATCAATAATGTATATTATAGTGAATAAATTAAATTTAATATTATTTGAGAATACATTTCAGTAAATTCGAATTTAAATTTTCAGTCTATCAGTTGAAGTGCAATAATTATTGAAATTATTATTCAAAATTATAACTGACTTTTTTTTACGTTTTCTTAACCTCAGGCTTCGCACTCGATAATTTATTTAAAAAAATAACTTTAAGGTTGAAAAGAAGTAGTAAAATTCAATCATTTTTTGTTGTTGAAATTTTTAAATAAAATTATTCAAAACTTTAATTATTAGTTTTTAGAAAAATAATAAATTAATAACTTTTTAAAATTCAGTTTTGAATAATTTTTTTTAGAAAGTTTAAAGATAATTCAATTATTTAAATAGAAAAAAATAATTTGTTGAAAAATTAAATATTTTTTTAAACTTGAATTCTTATAAAGAATTTTATCAAAAATTATCGAAATAATTGATTTCTTTTGAAGAATTAAACTAAAATTTTTTAAAATAATTACATTTTTCGAAGAATTTATTTAAAATTGTATTAAAAATAATTGAAAACCTGCAAAGAATTTTATTATTTATGAAAATAATTGAAATCCTGGGACGAATTTTATATTTTTATTAAAATACGAACAAATTTTCATACGAATAAATAAATAAATAAATAATTGAATTTCAGTGAAAAATTTTAGTATTTGTGGAGATAATTGAATTCTCGCGAAGAATTTTATTAAAATATTTGAAAATAAGAAAATTGTTTCGAAGATCTTGAATAAAATTTTTAAGAATATTTATATTTTTTAAGGAATTTACTTAAAATTGTATTAAAAATAATTGAAATCCTAAAAAAAGAATTTTATTATTCATGAAAAGAATTTCGAACATTTCAATTACAATTATATTGAAAATAATTGAATTCCAGCGAAGAATTTTATTTTTTGAGAAAATTATTGAATACTTGCAACAAATTTTATTTAAAATTTTTTTAAAATAATTGACTTCATGTTAAAAAATATATTATTTTTAAAAATAATTGAATTTTTGAGAATTTTATAAAATTTTTTTGAAATAATTGAATTTTGTTATTTATAAGAATAATTGAATATTTTTTGACGAAATTTGTTTAATTTTTTTAAATAATAGAATTTCTTAAGAAAAATTATTTGAATTCTAGCGAGAAATATTATTATAATTTGTATAATAATTTATTTTTTAATCATAATTTATGAAAAATTTTGCAAATAATTGAATTGTTTGTTATGAATTTAATAACAATTAATAATAATTGAAATAATTCTGCAAAGAATTTTATTATTTATGAAAACAATATTCAATTCATTTGTAAGATTTGTTTTATTTGTGAATAAAATAGTTGAATTCTTGAGAATTTTATTAAATTTTTGGAAAATAATTGAACTTTTTTTGAAGTATTCTTTATTAAAAATATTTTTAAATAATTGATTTCTATCGAGGAATTTAATTACAATTGTATTGAAAATAATTGAACTCCTGCAAAGAATTTTAATATTAGTAAAAATAATTGAATGAAGTTTATTAAATTTTTTTTTTAAATAATTGAATTCATGCAAAAAATCTGATTATTTGCGAAAATAATTGAATTATTGCAAAGAACTCTATTAAAATGTCTAATAAAAAAATAAACTTTTTTGAAAAATTTTTTATTAAAAATATTTTTAAATAATTGAATTCTTTCGAGGAATTTAATGAGAATTGTATTGAAAATAATTGAATTCCTGTGAAGAATTTTAATATTAGTAAAAATAATTGAATTCTCGCGAAAAATTTAATTAAAATTTATAAAAATAAAATAATTTAATTATTTCGAAAAATATCATTAAAATTGTATTAAATTAATTGAAATTTTGTCAAGAATTTTATTATTTATAATAAATAATTGAATTCGTTCGAGGAATTTAATCAAAATTGTATTGAATAATTAATTTCTTTCGAAGAAAATTATGATTAAAAATTATTATTAAAAATTATTAAAATATTTGAAAATAAAATATTCAAATAGTAGAAATTCGTAAAAAAAAATAGTTAAATATAGTTGGTTTTTTGTAGACGAGTGCGGAGCCTGATACTTTTTTTTCTTTTTGTTTTACTTTTTCTTACTCTTATTTTTGAACTCGTTCTTTCTACGTTTATTCTTTTTTTTCTATAGAGAAACAGTGGTTATTTTTTATTTTTGCTAATATTATAAGTCGCTACTTAGCATTTTGCTCACTACACTAATAGCGTTACATATTAATATTAAAGAGTAGGTTAACTTGATAAAGGTCATTTATTAGAGTCTTAAAACGTATACATATACATTGTCAACATTATGATTATGCGCAGCAGCATTGCCATATTTTTAAAATAAATAATCCTCTTTTGTATTTTTAATTCATTCGTTTTACTTTCACTATCTTTTTTACGATCGTATAAATTTTTCCTTTCTTACCGTTCACGAAATAAACAAAAGAGAAAAAAAAACAACAAAATTAAGCGAGCTAAAAGCTGACAAATTTTTTTTGGTATATAGAAAAAAAACCAATCCATTTAAATAGAGATTTATCAAGAATATTTTATTTCAATTTTTCTTCTTGTTTTAATTTAATTATTTTAATTATTATTTTAATTTTCTAATTATTTTTGGGTATTTTTCTTATTTTTTTATAAATCTCTCTTTCTTAGTTAAGTTAAAACAGTTAATTTTTTCTATTTTTTATTTAATTTTTAATTAATAATGAATTATTATTTTTTAATTTTCTCGGAATTATTCGCGAAACAATTGTCAATCAATAAAATAATTATTTTATTATTAATATATAATAATGAAATAATATTAATCAACTAATAATAATAATTAATTTAATTAATATAATAAATATAATTAATATAATTTTTATATAATTTACCAATAAATAAATTATTTTTAGCGTCTGTTGATCTCTTTTTTCAATCAGGTTTCTCATTAACTTATTATGTAATTTATTATGTAAATACAAAATTACATAATTAAATTTTCTAATTATATTCTCTATTTATTATTTTCTATTTCTATTATTTTTTTATCTAAATAATATTTGTACTAGTGTATTTTATTAACTAGAATTTTTTTTCGTTTGTATATTTTGATTTTTATTTTCGCATAATATTATTTCCTGTTTAATATTTCTATTCTAATTTATTTAATTGAATGTTTTATTTTATAAATTATTTCTATTAAAAAATACTTCAATATATTTTTATTTATTTGTATTTTTATTTTCGTATATTTCCTGCTTAATTATTATTTCTATTCTAATTTATTTAAATCAGTATTTTATTTTATTTTATTTTTTCGATTCGTAAATACGTCAATATATTTTTATTTATTTTATTGTATTTTTATTTATTTATTTGCATTTTTATTTATTTATTCGTATTTATTTATATTTATTCATATTTATTTTTACCTTTCACTATATTTATTTTTATTCCCTTCTGTTCCTATTTCTAAATAATTTATTTTAATCTTTAGAATACAATTCAATTAAATTAACACTAAATAATTATTTTCAAAAAATTCGTTCCTAAAAAACTACCAGAAAACCTAACATTATATTTTTTTTGCAACTAAAAATACGAAGTCTTTGCACTTGATAAGTCTTTGAAAAATAGCAAAGCGAGTATTTCGCGGAATTAAAAACTAGAGCGGTTGTGATAGCAAACAAAAAAAAATTCATATACCACGAAATAAAAATTGAAAAAAAAAGTCAAAAACAAAGATCAAGAGGAATAAAAAATTATTAAAGTAGAAAAAACATCAACAATCGAGTCTTTTTCTTTGTTTTAATTCTAAATATATTTTTTCTTTTTTTTTTCTTTGGAAAAAATGTGTGAAAATTTATTATTTTTCTTCTATGGGAATGCTGATACGCTAAGCAAATATACATTCTAATATTAAGTGAAGAACGATTTCAAGGCAAGCGCGCGACAAAAATTTAAGAGAAAAAATAAATAATATAAAATTTATAAATTCTCTTTTGTATTATGCTATTGTTTTTTTTTGTGTGTGTTTAATATAGAAAATAAAATTACAATATCGACATGCGCCTAAAATTAATGAAAACAAAACAGAAAAAAAACTAAAATTGATCACAGACATGTGCACATTGATCATGCAGACGATTTAACAGATTTGTACAACAATTTTTTTTTGTTTCATAGAAAGAAACTGTAACCATTTTTTTTGTTTTCAACATTAGCCAAAGAATTTCAAAAATATTTTTGTTCCTCTACATTTTTATTCAATTTAATTTACAATTTAAAAAAAGTGTTTCTTTTTTTTTATTATCTAAATTTTCTAATGTAAAAATAAAAATATAAATTAGTAATAAAATCATAGAATTATTTATGAAATTATTTATAAAAATAGAATTATTTACTAAAATAAAAAATTATTTATTAAAAAAGAATAATAATTAAAACAAAATTTTTTTCATACTTTTTGAAACAAAAAATTTTTTTTTTTCCTTCCTTTAATATCGCAGTAATAAATAATAAATTCATTCATTATAAACATTAGAAAATTTAGAAATGTTTTTTTATTCATTTTTTGAAATTTCATTGGCATTGAGACTAAAATTATTATTATTATTTTATGCATGCTGATAGAAATCTTAATTTACAAAACAGATTTCTAAGAAGACTCATTTTTTATTTTGTACCATGTTAAAATTGAGGGGGGAAAGGGGGGTTATAAACATTAATTAACACGAATAAAATAAAAATTAATGCAAAGATTTTCAGCGTTTCGCATGCATTTAGCCACGATTTTTCTTTGTCTCATTTGGCAAATTTAATTATTTGATCTCTAATCTTTGATTATTATGCATATTTTTATATATTTTATATTAATATTCTATAAACAAAAAATATATTATAATTATTAAAAACTCCCTCAACTTTGTATCTTTCATTTTTTACTCGAAGAGAATCTCTCATTTTTTTTTCTCTATCAAAATAATCTCTTATTTTCTCTCTATCAAAAAAATCTCTTACTTTTTCTTTATTAAAAAAAAAAAATAAAGAAAAAAGTCTTTCGGCAGAAAAATTATTTTTTGGTATAACAAAAAGAAGAAGAAGAAATAGAGAAATTGAACAAAGCTTGAAATAAAAATAAAAGAAAATAAATATTAAAATACCGTTCTAAAGAAAACGATTTTCTAAAGATAAAAAATTAGGTTGAAAAAAGTTGTCACTATTTCTAAGAAAAATTAACACTACCGATAAACTCAACAAACATTACATAAATAAAAAAGACTAATTTTGATAAATTGAGACGTTACAAAAAATTATTATGCTTAGTCAAAATTCAGATAAACTGAATTTAAAATACTGAAAATTAATAATATACGAAACAAATTATGTTGCGTTTAATTTTCCTTTCCATTTTTCTAATTAACTTTCGTTTCAAAAATATTTTCTGAATTTTGTCTTCTTTTTTTTTTTAAAAGCGCAACATGCGAAAAAATTTTATCATGAATATTAAAAAAAAAAAAAAAAAAATTGTGAAAAATTGGAAAAAAATCAAGTGAGACAAATCACAATTCAATGGGTACATCGCCATGACTAACCTCCTGTAAAAGATCCTGGGCCGCAATCGCTTTCAGTACATTCTTTTTGCTTGTTTCCTGAATCTCACCACCGACCAGCAATTCATCCAAAATGAAATAAGCCTTCTCAAAGTTGAATATAATATCGAGCTCGCAAACCTATTTCGAAAAAAATTTATTAGTTAAATGATTTTATTTGAAAAAAAGAAATTTTTATTGGGGTCAATTCGTTATGTTTCCACTAAAATTAATCGTCAAATAACTTTATTGTGTTTTTTAATTATTTCAAAAAAAAAAAAATTGTAGTCTTGTTAAAAATTGTGATTGGAAATATAGAAATTATAGAAATTTTAAATATATTTTACTAAGTGAACTTTAAGTTGTTTTTTCGTTTTAAATAATTGAATTTTCAAACAACTTTCTCGAAATTATTGAAAATAATAAATAAGCCCGTGTAAGAATCTTAAACAAATATAAATAATTGAATAATTAAAAAAGTAGTTGAAATGTTATTTAAAAAAATAAATTTCAAAAATATTTTGTATTTAAAATTTTGGCAAAATTTAAATTTTGAATTAATTTTAATTATGAATTCTGAAGAATTTAGTTTTTATAAAATATTTTTAATTCAAACTAATTTTGAAATTAATTGAATTTCTAAATTATTTAATTAAAGTATTTTCAAACAATTAGAAACTTCTTAATGCTGAGTTGAAAACATGAATTTTAAATGTATTTTAAACAAATTTTCTGTCATTTTTTAAAAATAATTCAATTTCCAAAAAAATTCCTAAAAATTATTGAAAATAACTGATTCAGAGAAGAATACCTATTTTGAATTTAATTAAATTTTTTGCATAATTTTAATTCAAAATACTGAAGGAACAGAAATTTTTTTTACAAAAACTGTGATTATAAAATAGAAGTTTGTCATTTTTTTTTTTTTCATTTATTTGAAGAAAATGGAATTTTGTTAAAAATCGAGATTAAAAAAAAAGAAATTATAGAAATTTTTTAAATTCTTTTAAATATAAATACTTAAGATTTTGTTAAAAATTTGCAATTGAGAAGTGAAAAAAGAAAAAATTATTTTCTTTTTTTCCCCCAGAAAACAGAAATTTGTTAAATTACAATTTTTTTAAATTCTTTAAATTTTAATATTGTTTTATTGAAAATCGTTTAATTCTTACGAAAAATTTTTGAAAATAATTGAATTTCATGGAATAATTTTAATAGAATTTTTTAAAAGAATTAAAATTCTTTGGGGAAATTTTATTAATATTGTAACTGAAAATAATTAAATTTCCGCGAAGAATTCTATTATTTATAAAAATAATTGAATTCTTGTGAAGAATTTTATTGCAATTTTTTAAAATTATTTTAAATTTATCGGCGACGTTTTAGTCATCATTAACCGCCTGACTCTATTATAATATAGCAATTATTAAAATAAAAATAAATATGTTAAAAATTATAATAAAATGATTATCAAATTACGTAACTAAATATTATATTAATGTGTAAAGAATTCTCATAAAATAACTCACACTTCCAAAATATTTATCCAAAAGTTCCACGTAACGATGAATTATTTCCAAAGTCAGTAATTCGTTATCGTTTTGTTCAATTGCACAGCAGAAGTAAAGACTAGCGTATCTGAGAAAAAAATTTACTTATTTAATATTTTAAAAATATTATATTAATAATTTTTTTAATCTTATAATATTTTTCCTACAATTTTCCTATTTTTCCCCTAAAATCCTGCAATTTTTTTTAGTATTTCTAATTTTTTCAATATAATTAATTATTATTTTTACAAACAATAATAATGAAATATTAAGCTTCTTAGGAGAAAAATATGTTAAAATAGTTAAAAACTTTCATCGTATTTCAAAAAGCAATTTTCTAACTGAAACTAATTATTAAGTCATTAGTAAAAAAGTAAATTAACTAAAATTGTAATAAATAACGTATTATAATCAAATATAAATTTTCTAAAAATATAATTACAATTTTAAGAATAAAAATAAGGAAGAAAAAATTCAGTTTCGTTTAGAAAAATGGTAACAAGGATTTGTTCGAATATAAGTATAAAATAAATATTTCCATGAGGAAACTTTATATTTTAGGTGCAAAAAAAATTTTTTTTTTATATAATGCAATAGAGAGCTTTTTTTTTACCTTTTGTAAACAACCTTGACATCCTTCCACTCCAGGAAACTCGACATTTTTGGTTTCCTTGCAAGAATTGTCGTTATCAATTCACGAGTAATTTTTTTCTTCAATTTATCAGGGTGCGCGACGTACCATTTTTGTAATCGCAATTTTCCCTGACGACTAAACAATAACATAAATTGCATCTGAAAAGAAGAATTAATTTCAATCATAATAATTATTCAATAATAGAAAAGAATAATATTAACCGAAAATTCCTAAAGTAAAATAACAATTTAATAAGCATTTAGTAAATTTATAATATTTATAATAAAAATAATAAATAAATAGTGGTTTAATATATAATATATATATAATAAATTACGAAATAAAATATGAAAAGAGAAAAATATTCTTCATACTGACCATTTTGACAATGTGTGTACAACTAAACTTTCTTTCACAAAAACACAACTATTATATTACTGTTTAAGAATCAAAATGAAAATTTATGTATAATAAGAGTGAAAAAAACCCTGATTCAAGGGTAAATACACTATTAAATTTACAATAGCACCATGTAAAAAACAAAAAAAATATCATAAAATGAGATAAAAATTCCACGTACACCGGAGCTGACAGGTACCCTCACCAAACGGAACTGCGCTTGCGCTACAAAAATGATCTTATTAGCGAAATGAACCGCGCATTTTTAAAACGTTTAATACACAGTCGAGAGCGAACATATTTGATTGGGGCGCCTGTATATCCCCGTTTTTAAAAAGTCCAAAATGTAATTTGATCCAAATTACAAATTATGTCAAACGTTAAATCCATATAAATGTCATTCGATATAATGTGGCTTTACACAAACGTTTACTTAATAAAATGAGTTTATCCAAGAAATTGTTTTCAGCAAATGGGCTAAATTATTCAAAATAATATTTTAGTAATCATCTTGTCAAAAAAGCAGCGAATCAAAGATTATCTGTTTAGACAAGTCACCCGTAGAGGAACTGTAATTTCTTTGGTTTCTTTGTCAACATTTTCTATTCTTCTAAGGTTAATTTTAAATTTAAAAAAAAAATTTCAATAAAACAATGTTTCCATGAGAAGCCTACATATAGAGTTAAAAACAAAAGAATAAAAATATACCTATTTATTACTATAAACAATAATTAAACATTAAAACTAACCTCAAAATAAAATTTCAAGACAATATTTATCCTAATTAATTTTCCGAACTGGTGTCGCTCGTTTCCTTATGGTATGTGTCAAATTTATTATGACTTGACGTATGGTTGGAATTTTTAACCTAAAAAATAAAAACAATTTCAATATACCTTTAATATTAATTTGTGTGATTATCAAGATTTATACTGATAAAAATAAATTTCAATTAATTTTTTTTTTAATATTGTTATTTATAATTAATAAATTAATTATTTGTTATTTACTATATGTTATTATATATATATAATATTAAAAGTAAAACTAACCTCAATGCACAATTTAATTTTCTTCTTCTCCTTACTGTCATATATTGCACCTATAATTTAAACCTGAAAAAAAAAATTAATTCGCATTAAAATAATTAAACTATTTATTTACTTATTTATTTATTCATTAAAAAACAATACTTATCTTAATTAATTATACAACACGTTTGTATATTCCATTCTGCACAGATTATCGTAAACAAAACAAAACTGCTTTACCAACAAATTCTTTATTTTGAAATTTGACACAACTATAGGTAATTTCACTTTCTGCATTATCGACTCGTGGTACGAGTTACCGAAAATATGCTTGAAATAGTTTGTACATCACCACGGCGCTAGTAGTACAAGCGCGCACTGGTGGGGACGCTCGAAGTGGTGGGGACACGGGTATATAAGCAGGCGCCCGAGACGAGACTGGCACTTCATGCTCAACTGTGTTACAGGTAAGCAATAGTACCAAAGCCTTGTTAAGGCAGACGAACTTAAGCTGTATTACAGCAAAGCCTTATTAAGGCAAACGGACGTAAAGCTGTATTACAGCAAAGCCTTATTAAGGCAAACGGACGTAAAGCTGTATTACAGCAAAGCCTTATTAAGGCAGACGGACGTAAAGCTGTATTACAGCAAAGCCTTATTAAGGCAGACGGACGTAAAGCTGTATTACAGCAAAGCCTTATTAAGGCAGACGGACGTAAAGCTGTATTACGGTAAAGCCTTTTAAAGGCAGACGGATGTAAAGCTGTATTACAGCAAAGCCTTATTAAGGTAGACGGACGTAAAGCTGTATTACAGCAAAGCCTTATTAAGGCAGACGGACGTAAAGCTGTATTACGGTAAAGCCTTTTTAAGGCAGACGGACGTAAAGCTGTATTACAGCAAAGCCTTATTAAGGCAAACGGACGTAAAGCTGTATTACAGCAAAGCCTTATTAAGGCAGACGGACGTAAAGCTGTATTACAGCAAAGCCTTATTAAGGCAGACGGACGTAAAGCTGTATTACGGTAAAGCCTTTTAAAGGCAGACGGACGTAAAGCTGTATTACAGCAAAGCCTTATTAAGGCAAACGGACGTAAAGCTGTATTACGGTAAAGCCTTTTTAAGGCAGACGGACGTAAAGTTGTATTACGGTAAAGCCTTTTTAAGGCAGACGGACGTAAAGCTGTATTACAGCAAAGCCTTATTAAGGCATACTGAAAAGACTAAAGCTGTATTACGGCAAAGCCTTATTAAGGCAAAACGGACGTAAAGCTGTATTACGGCAAAGCCTTTTAAAGGCATACTGAAAGGACTAAAGCTGTTTTACGGCAACGAATACAATTTTTAACGATAGATCCATCGTTAGGGCATACGGATAACGTTAAATTTTTTGAAATTTTATGTACATACGTGTTTTCTTTTCTCTATTCATTAATAACAATATCACGCGGGTTAATTTCGTTTTTAAAGTAATGAATAATACCTCTTGTTCTGATGAGGCATTAAAAAATTGTTACACTCAAAAAGCGACTAATAAGTAATTTTTTCTCTTCAATTAATCCCGATTGTTACATAGATCGTTTAATTATCGTGTGTACATTTAATTTTTAACGTTATTCGACAGTTTATTAAATAATCGTTGATAAAATAAGTCCCCGAGTGCAGTCCCATGGCATCGTTATTTGCTTTGCTTTTTGTAACTTGACTATTAAAAGAATTCATTTTAGAAACTTTATAAATTATTTATTCTCTACATTATATTATGCAGACTTTTTTCAAATTTCTATCAAAACTATAATTATTTTAATGAAAATTTTGTTAAATAATTCATCTTTTTGAAAATGATTTTCTCAAATAATTGATTATTTTCTAATTTCAAGACAATATAATTGAATTTCAAAGATTTTTTTTAAACTACTAATTGAATTTCGTTTTAAAGAATTTTATTATCATTTTTGTAAATAGTTGCTTGATCTCTAATAATTTGTGAATTTAATGTAATGGAAATTCTAGAAAAAAAAATATATAATTATATTAACACAAGTAGTAGCTTGTAGTTGCTAAAATTTTTAAAAAATACCAAAATAGCCTAATTACAAAACCCAATGCAAAACGATGTCATTAGATTGCACCCTTATTATTTTGTCTTTTTAACAAAACTTTTTTTTTTACAGAAATTCATGTACCAGTATCTACTGTATTGACATAATGAAGAGAAAACGACAATTGAGTTTAAAATGTTAGTGTTTAACAGATATATTTTAAAAATATTTTTATTTACATGTAAAGTTAACAATTGTAATTTATTTGTTTATTCTCTATTTTTCAGCAACAAATGAATCTCGTGAAGGACATTCTACCAGATTCTTCTACGGTAACTCACAGACACAAAAATCTGACGAAAATTTGACATTTTCTTCATCGTCATCAACTCCAAAGACTGAGCAGGCTGAACCTCGAAAAGCAGAGAAGAAAACTTTTCGCTCGAGTGGAATATTCAGATTAAAATGTAAGTTTTTTAAAATTATTTTCTTCAAGTATTTGATTTAAATTGAAGAATTTTTTAATTTTAATTCTTTTGTTTCTTTTTAATTTTCAGCACCAACTAGATCTCGCGAAGAAATGTCTACCAGTTCGATTGGAAAGACTGAAGATCTAAAATCTGGAATTCCGGAGAAACAATTTTTCTCTTCTAGTGAAAGAATGAGTTTAAAATGTTAGTGTTTAACAGATGTATTTTAAAAATATTTGTATTTACATGTAAAGTTAACAATTGTAATTTATTTGTTTATTCTCTATTTTTTCAGCAACAAATGAATCTCGTGAAGGACATTCTACTAGATTCTTCTACGGAAACTCACAGACACAAAAATCTGACGAAAATTTGACATTTTCTTCATCGTCATCAACTCCAAAGACTGAGCAGGCTGAACCTCGAAAAGCAGAGAAGAAAACTTTTCGCTCGAGTGGAATATTCAGATTAAAATGTAAGTTTTTTAAAATTATTTTCTTCAAGTATTTGATTTAAATTGAGGAATTTTTTAATTTTAATTCTTTTGTTTCTTTTTAACTTTCAGCACCAACTAGATCTCGCGAAGAAATGTCTACCAGTTCAATTGGAAAGACTGAAAATGTGAAAGCTGGAATTCCGGAGAAACAATCTTTTACTTCCAGTGAAAGATTGAGTTTAAAATGTTAGTGTTTAACAGATGTATTTTAAAAATATTTTTATTTATATGTAAAGTTAACAATTGTAATTTATTTGTTTATTCTCTATTTTTTCAGCAACAAATGAATCTCTTGAAGGACATTCAACCAGATTATTCTACGGTAACTTACAGACACAAAAATCTGACGAAAATTTGACATTTTCTTCATCGTCATCAACTCCAAAGACTGAGCAGGCTGAACCTCGAAAAGCAGAGAAGAAAACTTTTCGCTCGAGTGGAATATTCAGATTAAAATGTAAGTTTTTTAAAATTATTTTCTTCAAGTATTTGATTTAAATTGAGGAATTTCTTAATTTTAATTCTTTTGTTTCTTTTTAATTTTCAGCACCAACTAGATCTCGCGAAGAAATGTCTACCAGTTTAATTGAAAAGACTGAAAATGTGAAAGCTGGAATTCCGGAGAAACAATCTTTCTCTTCTAGTGAAAGATTGAGTTTAAAATGTTAGTGTTTAACAGATGTATTTTAAAAATATTTTTATTTACATGTAAAGTTAACAATTGTAATTTATTTGTTTATTCTCTATTTTTTTAGCAACAAATGAATCTCGTAAAGGACATTCTACCAGATTCTTCTACGGTAACTTACAGACACAAAAATCTGACGAAAATTTGACATTTTCTTCATCGTCATCAACTCCAAAGACTGTGCAGGCTGAACCTCGAAAAGCAGAGAAGAAAACTTTTCGCTCGAGTGGAATATTCAGATTAAAATGTAAGTTTTTTAAAATTATTTTCTTCAAGTATTTGATTTAAATTGAGGAATTTTTTAATTTTAATTCTTTTGTTTCTTTTTAACTTTCAGCACCAACTAGATCTCGCGAAGAAATGTCTACCAGTTCAATTGGAAAGACTGAAAATGTGAAAGCTGGAATTCCGGAGAAACAATCTTTTACTTCCAGTGAAAGATTGAGTTTAAAATGTTAGTGTTTAACAGATGTATTTTAAAAATATTTTTATTTATATGTAAAGTTAACAATTGTAATTTATTTGTTTATTCTCTATTTTTTCAGCAACAAATGACTCTCTTGAAGGACATTCAACCAGATTATTCTACGGTAACTTACAGACACAAAAATCTGACGATAATTTAACATTTTCTCATCGTCATCAACTCCAAAGACTGAGCAGGCTGAACCTCGAAAAGCAGAGAAGAAAACTTTTCGCTCGAGTGGAATATTCAGATTAAAATGTAAGTTTTTTAATAATTAACCAAGGAAAAAATGATTCCTACGAATTTCGTTTGAAATTCGTATTAATCATTTTCACCTGAGTACATTTTAAAAACATTTTATTAAGATAGCAGGTTAAAAATATTAATTTATTTGATTCTTTTCTTTTTCAGCACCAAGTGCTTTTCCTGAAAAGCTTTCACACCGTGAAACAGATTCACAAAAATCAGCCGAGATATTGCCACTACCGTCATCTGTCCCACCAAGTACAAGTAATAAAAAATCAAATTCTTTAAAATTAGTATTGAAAAATAAGACATAATTCATCATTATTATCTCTTTTTAGCATCATTTCGTGAATTTAATGTTGCAATCGTGAAAGATAAAACGCAGCATGAGCAAACAATTGTTGCTGATGTTAATGCAGGACCATCTACTTCTTATTCTGTTTACCGTGTACCAACAGAAACATCATCATCGTCATCAACTGGACTCGATTTAAAAATTACTTCTTCAACAGTAAAGAAATCGAAAAATCAAGAAGCTAAATTTTCCCATTCAACATCAACTTCAAAAAGAGAAGGTAAAATTTTTATTCTATTTTCTTTTATTATATTTTCTTAATCGCTCTTAATATAAAATTAATAAAATTTCTATTTATTTCAATTATAGGTGTTGACTCATCAATTGAAAGTGGTGCTGGCCCCTCTTCAAAACGAAAGAAACACAGTGTCGAGAAATCTACAATTGGTGTTTCTTCAAACAGAAAAAGAAAGTCAATTACTTTGGATAATGAAAATATTGATAAACCGTTGCATCATAAAGTGAGAAGAAGATTGGAATTAATGGGAACAGAAAAGCATACGGTAAAAGTTTGTTTGGGAAAATTATGTAAATCAGCAAACATTAAAAATCGAATTGAAGAAGATGCAAAGGTTGTTTCATCAATGATGTATGAGGCAACAACAATGGCATTATTCGGCCTGTATGAAGAAACGAATGTTGAAAATGTTGAAAATTGTCCATCATTGTTGGAGAAATGGACCAACAATGGTCCCGACTTTATGTCATTTTTAATATCATTAAAGCAGAAAGTAAATACTCAACGTAAAGTAACTGAACAGGATGCGAAAATAAATACAATGGTCAACGAATATAAAGAATTAAGGAATGACATTCCACTTTATGACGGAGAACGTAGAACGGCAATAATTCAGGAGGCAGCTTTAGTGTTGAATCGAAACTTTAAAACAAATTTCACGACGCATGCAGCATCACGATTAAGAAGATATTTGCAGCTATTAATGGAAATTGAAGACGAAGAAAAAAATCATATGGAAGTAGATGAAATTCAAGAAATTTGTTCAGTTTACCGTATCGAAAATGATAATGATGAAAAAATAAAAATTAGGAGTTTTAAAAATAGCATTAAAAATGAACAAAGAAAAGAATTTCAAAAATCTCAAAAACAATTTCCAGATGAAATGCGAGAAAAAAATACATCAGACTATTGCGATGAAAGATATGTTCGACAGGAAAAATATCGCAAACATTGCGATAAAGTCTATTATAAAAAAAGGCCAAGAAGGCGAAGAAAAAAATCGAAAAAGGAAAAAGAAGAAGAAAAAGAGAAGAATAAGGAAAAAGAAGAAGAAAAAGAGGAGAATGAAGAAAAAGAAAAAGAGAAGAATAAGGAAAAAAAGAAATTTCGAAAAAGAAGGCCTTCATTTTATAAACAATCTGTTGCTGCTTTAAATCTCCTGCTGCAAGAAAATAAATGTCAAGTGAAAGGATTCCCTATTGATTTACTGAAAAAGGATGATGATGATGATGAAAGAAAATTGGACTTTACAAAATTGACAAAAGATGAAGAATGGCATAAATTTTTGCCATTTTTCATTATGATTCAACAAGAATTTCATGATAAAAAGAAGAAGAATTTCACATTAATTCCACAAATTTCATTAGGCGTGAAGCATGTCATTTATACAAATACTGCTTTAAAAGATTTGCAAATGGCAACTGTTATTCAAGAAATTAAAAAAAAAAAGGCAATTTTACAAAAAAAGAAACAAAGTTCAAAAAAGAATAAGGATCATCTTCAAAGAGCAGTTGATAAAATGGACGATGATATGAAGCGCTTAAGAGAAATGAACAATGAAGAAAGGTGGAATTCAATGTTCAACTTTAAATCAATCCAAAAAGGTCGAAAATTAAAGAATGGTGGTAAATTTTCTGGTACAATAACGACAAACGGTGTGGACGTATCAGTAATTTTTGATTTACCCACAAAACATGTGAAATCAAATAAGAAAGTTGGAAGTTATAAAAAATTTTGCGGTTTTGATCCTGGTGCGAGGGCGACTCTAGCTGGCGTCAGTAGAGAAAACGATCCTAATCCAACCACTAATGTAAAAAAGGATTCAGCTATTTACATTGGTAGTTGGATGATGAGATGGCAGATGGGCGACTACAGAAGAAGAGAATTAATGAAGAAAAAAGGTATAGACATGCAAAAATATTACAAGCAACTTGCTGAGGATCCATGGATGGAAAATTTTTGCATGACTAATCCTCGAGATCGCCATCGCATAACAAAATATAGAATACATCTTTTACAAAATTTCCAAGCAATTCATCAAAAAAGATCCGTAACGCGTTTACGAATTGATCGATATTCAGCACAAAAGCGACAAGTTGATCAACTTGTGAATTGGATAGTAGGTGATACAAAGAAGAAACCCTGTTTCGTTGCAATTGGTGGAGCAAAAATACCTAATTTTATCAAGGGATACACTAAAGCTCCTTTGAAACGTATTGAACAAACTCTTTTCCAAAGATCAGCGGAATTAGGAAAAGATAAATTGCAAGTCGTTAAAGTAAATGAATTTAATACAACAAAAATGTGTAGTCGCTGTGTGAGACCACTTAAAATATCCAAGAGTCCCCATCGGTACACTTATTGTGCAAAATGCAAAACAACGTGGGAAAGAGATGTAAATGCAGGACGCAATATTCTTAATCTTGCACTTGTTCAAGAAAAAATCATACCAAAGGATTCCATAAAAAATCACCATCTATTTCGGATCAAGAATGATGACATTGAACATGAGGCTGCAGAATTGCAGAAATAATTTTTCCCATCACTTTCAACATTCATTTTTAAATGTAAGTTTTTAAAATTTATAGTTAAAAAATAGTTTTTTTTATGGAAAACATTAAAAAATTAATTAATTTGTAATTATTTTCTCTTTTTCAGTACTAAGTAAATCTCTTCAAGGACATTGAAAAGGAGGAACCTCAACAACCGGAAATACAAATTTCTACGATGGACAATATACTGCTTAATTGCGAATATAATTTAACAAAACATTATTCGGTCCTGGTGGTGATGGCTTTTTGCCATTGTACATACCGGGAGATCTCTTATGAGATCCGAACCAGCTGTAAAAGGCATACCAGGTTTTTTAAGAAATTAAAAAACATATTACTTCTTTTATTGATTATTGTTTGAATTTTTCAAATTTTTTATAAAAAAAAAGCACATTTGTGTTTTTTTATAAATTAAAATAATCAATAATAGGAGGGGAGGTAATTTTGTAAAAGACATTTATTTCTTTAAATTTAAATCATTTTTCTCTTTTCTACTTATAATTTAGTTTCAGTTTAACGGTGTAATTTTTAAATTTTAATTTTTTCAAAAAATTTTAACTTTATTCAACATTTTACTTTAATTTTAAACCTTTTTTTAACAATTTCAATTTCTTCTTTTACAAAATTACCTTCTAATCAGAAGTACCCTTACCAAATGCAACTTAGCTTGCACTACAAAAATGATCTTATTGGCGAAATGAACCGCGCATTTTTAAAACGTTTTATATTATACATATAAAGTACTTTAGATGGACAAGTTTTATTCTACAAATAGAAGCATTTTTGTCGCGCAAGCGCAGTTGCGTTTGGTGAGGGTACCTGGCAGCTCTGGTACACCCACACATAACAATAGGTTAGGTAAAACTTTGGGTGAGTTTACAATCACCAGGGCTCGGAAGTTGTGAACAAATTCTGCTCTTGTTAAACGGCGCGTTTTTTTAAAATACGAATAAATTTTATTTTTATTTCTAATAAGTTAGTGTAAACTAATAAATAATAAAATAATATAATTTACTTACATTAAGAATTAAGAAAAACTCCATTTTTAAACTCACCGATATTCACTATATTATAATCACTTTTAAAAATTAAAACACTTGAAATTAATTATATTAATTAATTAAAAACAATATGTTTCTTTGTAAACAGTAAAAAACAGAAACTGCGAAAAAATTTAATTAGTACGTATTTTTTCTAACTGACATAAAAATTCTGTCAATGTTGTTAAGCTTTATAAATTTGTTTTTTTTTGTAATTTTATCTTAACAGAAATCAAATAAAAAATAATTCAGAGAATCTTTATAGTTTTTAAATTCTCAAAAAATATTTGTAAATTAGTAAAATAGCAAAATTAGTAATTGAAACAATAAATTTACGAGAGCAAAAAAGAGAAATAATAGGAGAAAATTCACTTTTTGATTGACAAAATCAGAAAAATATGAATGGTTTACTTTTTATTCATACTATTTGAAATATAGCAGTCACTGGGTGAAATTTTCTAAATATATTACAACTTGACTCCACTAAAATACTATAGGAGACAAGAGGGACTAACTTGAATCGCGAATGCGATTTTATTCGTTGCTCCTCTCCTAAGAATCCTCCGAATCCTCCATCCATCATGAAGAAATAAAACTCGATTGAAAGTATGAAAAATTCCCCTCCGAAATCAGAAATATGTGTTGGACCGTTGATATCGAATATAAACAATTGGAAAAGCCATCTTCTTTCCCTCTTCCACACACTAATTCATAAAATTTCCTGCAAAAAAAAAAAATTGTCGAATATTTGTTGTCGCAATTATACGATGACACGTGATTATAGGTTATGTTTACTTCGCAACGCAAATAATCTCGAAAGGTGTATTCGCGGAACAATACAAAAAAAATAGTTCACGATTACTAAAGGGAGAATAAAGGATAATTTACTCGATTTGGTTAAAATACTCGCAAATATCGTCGACAATGAAAAATCGTCTCGTGTGTCGTCATTGCGCGGGCAAAAAACAAGAATACATAAAAAAATGGAAGTTACATACCCAAACACATTGTATTTCACTAAATTTCACTACATTTTCAGTTTTGAAAATGATTAAATGATTGATAAATGGATATTTCTGAGGAAGAAATCGGTGCAAACAAGAATTTCAACCGTTACAATTACAACTACAATGCGCACTACAAATGACTCTCAGGAAATCAGTGTTGCCAACTTTTGCAAAAAATTCAAATAGTCACGTGACTTACAACGCATGCGCACTACTGAATTTTTCTCGCCGTTTTCTTTATTAAAATCTTATTCTTTTTAATATTTTTAATAATTTACTACATCCTACAATTTACATATAAATGTAAACTATTATTCGATCTTTGAAAAAAAATTCTTAACAAAAAATTAGTAAAGGACTAAATTGAATTAAAATTGTAAGAAAAAATACGATAAATGATCTCGAAGTTGTGTGATTTGAATCATTGCTATTACACTTATTTTGACCAATATTTAATAAATAACTGATCTTTAATTACTTATTTACAAGAATCAACGTAGAAATTTAATGAAAAGGATAAAAATTCTTACCTAGAAAAGGAAAAAACACTGCAACAAATTCTTTTCTTCAACCCACTTCAACCATGTCCGTTGACTGTTGCAAGTTGCAACTTGCTATTGCAGGATGACCAACAGGAGAAAATGAAAGTGGTACTACCAACTTAAATAGAGATGGTAAAACAGAGTCTTTGTAAACAGTTGGTAATACAGTTAAAAAAAAATGGCGATCAAAACAAAGTTGATAAATATAAATAAGACAAAGACTGAAAAGAAGTGCATGAATATAAACATATCTAAGCAATAATTTAATTATCTTCTCTCCAAGTAGAATTGTTAATAACTATTTCTAATAGTCCTGTTATTTTAAAATTTATTTCACAATGGCGAATATACCTGAAGCAAAGATGAATTATGGAAATCAGGAAACAGGCAAATATACCAAAGACTGTAATATAGAGGTAATTGTTGCATTAATAATAATAATATATGACAACACTTCATTGTTTTTTTATTTTTTATCTTATTTCCCTTATTTCCTTTGATTAATTTTTACCACTTTTGTCGAGAAAATTCAAGGCTTATTGATTTTTTCGCATGTTGAATACTTTTTCTAACCTAGAAATCATAGATGTCAATTTATGCTAATTTATGCATTATGGAGTAATTTTATAAAATTAATAAAATTTATTACAGAATGCAATGTTAAGGAAAAAATTGCAATTAAAAACAGAAGCTGTGATGGTTCTTAGTCAAGAATTAGACAAATGTAGAACACAACGCGATCAATATAAATTAATGGCAGAACAAATTCAAGAGAGATTAGTTCATTTAAGAAAACAAACGAATGAATCAGTGGGATTAAATGGGTAAAACTACCTATATTTTATTAAATTTAATATTATTTACTCCAAATTTTATTTTTTTTTTAATTGTTTTAATTATTGTAAATCCTTAGAGGAAAAAATAAAAGAACATAAATTGTTTTATTTTGATTTAATTTAATTTTAAATTGTTTTATTTAGAAACAAATTAGTTTCAGAACATTGGAATCTTTAATGGAAACACAAGAAGAAAACAAGTGTCTTCGATTGCAAGTTGAAACGTTGAGGCAAAAATTTATTGACTCACAAGCTGATATAAAAGTTTTGCGATCAAATAATCGAGCATTTACCGAACAAAAAGAATCTCAACTTGCTCCGGACGCACATCAACGAGAGGAAATGATTGAACAACTGGAGAAATTGAACATCAAAGTAATTTGAGTTTCTTCACAAAATATCAGAATTCTAGATGAAATTTTATTTACGAAATTATAATATTTAATTGACAAACTATAATTGCATAATTTCTCAAAAGAATTTAATTATTTACAAAAAGTCTAATAAAATTGTTCAAAAGAACATTTTTTTAATCTATAGATCTTAATAAAACTTAATAATAAAATTATTAATTACATAATTTGCATTCTATTCTTTATTCTAACAAAATCGATTATATTTCAAAAAAAATTAAAGAATTCATCGGAAAAATTCAATTATTGTTAAAAAAAGATTAACAAACATGCTTATTTTAAAAACTTCAAAGAAATTCAATTCATAAAATTCAATTTAATTATCAATTAAAATTATTAAGAAGAAAACTATTATTTTCAACAATTTTAATATTGCAAGAATTGCAAGAATTGCAAGAATTGTGGAAATTAAAAGTGAAACTTTTAAAAAATGGAATCAAAATGTTTTAAAACATAAAAATTGAATGTAAAATTTTTTTTGCAGTGCAGTCAATTACAAACTGATTTACAATCAGTTTTGGACGAAAAACATGAATTAGAAACGGAAAGAGATGCTTTTAAATGTAAAGCACATCGTTTAAATCATGAACTATCAAAAGCCCTGAGTGCCTCTAAACCTGTCGATGTAGATTCTCTTGTTAATGAAAATCGGTGAGTAGTTTTTTCTATACACTATATGTAAAATAGTGAAAAGCTTTTTATTAAAAATTAAACGAATTCATTTATTTTTCGACAGATATTTACAAGAGAGAATACAACAATTACAAGAGGAAAATGAACTCAACAGACAATCACTTTCAAAATATAAAGTTAATATTTATATTAGTTATTGATTAAATATTTCGTCCTAAATTTCGCTTAAGTTTTTCAAAATATAAAGTTAAATATTAGTTATTAATTAAATATTTCGTTCCAAATTTTGCTTAAGTTTATAAAATTTTAAACTTGAATTCAATAATTAATTTCAATAATTATAATTAAAATTCATTTTTATTATTAAATTCAACTAATTTATTTTCTTTTCTAAATTTATATTTGGACTTTATTTATTTATACATATCTTTCTTTCTTTCTTATCTTTATTTTTAAACTATTTGTTTTCTTTTTTTGTAAATTTGTTTTAATTTATAATTTGTAATTTAATTTGTCAGTAAATCAATTTTCTAATTTTTATTCTTTTTTTCAGGGTATGCTGGATAGCAAAAGATTGAAAGGCTCGATAAAACTCGGTGGAAATGCAGCCGCTGGAACAGTAATGACTCATAAGCAAGGTTATTATAAAACAAATAAAATTAACAAAAAAAGGAAAATAATTCGAATTTTGTAACATTCTGCAAAATTTATATAAAAAATTATTTTTTGCAGTTGAACAATTACTTCAACAAGGACCAAATATCACGCCACAAAAAGCTTCGGCAGCAATATCTGATCTTCATTGTCTTTGTGCTGCACTACTTGAAGCGTTAAATGACAAAACTCTGGCCTTAGCTCATCAAAAGAAAGCAAACAAGTAAATGATAAACAAAAACAACAAATCGAATTGTTATTTCTAACAATCAATTCACTATTTATTTAGAAAATTGTTTCATCTTTTCTTTAATAATTATTGTCTTATTTTTTTTTTATTTTAAATTTTAATTTAAATTAATTTAAGTTTGATTTGGTTTTATTTGATTTAAATTAAAATTTTTAATACGAATAGTATTTATTCGTTTATGTTTACTTTAATATTGCGTTTAATTTATTGTCGTCTTTACTTAAAAACAAATTATAACTTTATGCATCTACTGAAATTTAATGAAATTTATTTTTTTTTTAACATTGAATTAGAATTGAAATTTATCTATAATATAATTTAATCAATTCTGATTTCAGAATTTTGGCATCAAGAATTTGCGAATTAGACAATGCAGTTCAATCGCCGACTATGAAACTACTCGAAGGATATACAGGAGCGAACGTTGATATTGGTGAGAATTTTATTTATTTTTTAATCAAATGAAAAGTTTTATTAGCTTGTATTTGAATAATTTCAGATTAAAAATTAAAAATAAATTATTAATAATTAATTTATTTTATTTTTATATTATATAGGTGACGATTTTGATTCTGACGCGTCGTCAAAAAATATGTGGAACAATGAGGAAGTAAACGTGACAGAATTAATGAAAAATGAAGGCGTCGAGATTAGTGAATTTTCCACAAAACATACGTACTCGAATCTAATTCCATCGAATCTACCGCAAAATTTAGAAGCTCTTGTACAAAAAGCAATGAACAATTTAAAAGACATAAACAAAGATAAATCGTAAAATTAATATTTCATGTAAGTTGAAAAATTAACTTTTATTATTTTGTTAAGTCTACTTTTTTTTCTAGTCATTAAAATGCCAATATGAAAATTGCCTATATGGATTTATTCAATCAAATTGTATTTAAAAAGAAAGTAAATAAATACTTTATTTATTACTCTATGTAAAATGTTTAATTCCATTTTTTATAATCAAATGTTTAATTTCACTTATTAAGAAAATATTTTTAAACATTTTTTTTTATTATTAGCAATAAATGACAATTTTTATTAGCTTTATGTACAGTTCATTATTATTATTTTTACATTAATATTTAATATTAAAATATCTACATATAAAATAATTTATAATATATATTTACATACTTTTCTGAAGAAACTTTTCAGAATCGTTATCACGTTTCTTTAATATATTTATCACACGGACGTGCAAAATACTGTGCAAGAATTATTTTTAAAAAAAGAAAAATTACCTCTTGGCACTGGTTGAAAATTTCATAACTGACTATTTAAAAACTATAATTATTTATTGAAAATTTTTCGAAATTTCTTTCGTTATTATTTATAATTAATTTGTTATTAATTTAATTTCCTTCTTTTAAAAAGGAAAATTCTCATTAAAACGAAAATAAGAAAGAGAATTCTTAAAAATTTTTAATTATTTTTACATTATTCAAAGAAAACCTTTAAATTAGAATTTGAAAAAATTTCTTCTCGAAAATTAATAATTAAATAATAAAGTTAATTTATTTTTCTTAAGTAATTTTAAATAATTGTTTTCAAGATTATTTCATTTGCATTGTTTTACTTTTACCGCGATTGAAAAAATAAATAAAATAAAACGACGCAAATTACTACCTATTCGTAAATGAAAGCGGCTTTTTTTTTTAGAAAAAAAGAAAAAATTTATGGCAAAAAAATGGATGTCTGGCAAAAACTGACCGTAGATGTGTGTAAAAATTTCTTGACGATTTCTGTTGAATTAAATTGACATCTCTCTCCGGAAGACGATTTTGAAAAAAATATTTTTGTAAAATATTTTTGTGGAATATTTTTGTGAAACATTTTTGTAAAACTTCTAACGTAAATTTGATTTGATCCAATCAGCGTATTCAGAGACACGAGTATAAACTCCAGGATATCCAGGTTCACCGCATTTATTTCCAAAGGATACAATTCCAATTTGCATCCAACGACCTTCTTGTTTGAGCATAAGCGGACCACCTGAATCACCTTGACAGGCGTCCTTTCCACCCTGACTGAAACCGGCGCACAAAAATGTTCCCGTTATTGGTTGAAAATAAGCGGCATTACAATCTTCATTTCTCCACACTGGCAATGTCACTTGTCTTTGAACTGTACTCTCCTTTCCACCTGGAAAACGAAATTGAAAATAACTACATTTTTTTCCAAACTTCATTAATTACTTCAATTTTAATGAAATTCTTCACAACAATTTTCAATTACTTGCAGATTAAAATTCATTCGTTTCATCATCCTCCCATTTAGAACGGAAGAAATAAAAAATTATTGAAAAAGAAGAAATAAAAGAGCAGTTGGTATAATTTTCTGTTTTGAAAAAATATTTCACAAATAAACACGAAATATCCAATATTTTCTACTACTGTAATAAATTCTAGTTTTTCGAAGAAATAAAATAAATAAAGAAGAGAAAAAATACCATAATAGGTTGTTCCCCAACCAACGACCGTTGGTCTTGCTCCAGCAAAAAGTTGACCACGATGTCTCGCCTGTGGTAAACAAATTGGAATAATGTACGGCGATTTTCTCACTGGACGTGTCAATTCCAAAACTGCAATGTCATTATAAAATCCAACTCGCGAAAATTGTTGATGAGCGTGAATTTCTTTCACGGCATAGGTCGCCGGCGATGAAGGTTCATCATCTCTCTCAAGATCAATGTCACCCAGACGAACCATAAATTGTCTGGCTGCAAATCTGCAAAGAAAGGAAAATTTATTCACAAATATTTTTCTCTAACTAATGTCAATAAAATAGTAATTTCCAAATTCTTCAAATAAGGCAAAAATAGAATTAAATATTTAATTTGCCCCTTTCTACTTACTAATTAATTTAAATATCAATAATTAAATAACTTTGTAATAAAAGAATGGAAATTAATTAAAAATTACTAAAATTTAATTTCGAAATTTATTTATTTCAAAAAAAAAAAAATTTTTAATAATTAAAACCAAATAACAATAAAATTATTAAAATAAATAATCATTCGCTAATAGTAATAATTTAACGATTACCTTAAAATATTTGAAAAAAGTTCATCGTTTTTTTTTCGCAAAAATATTATTAACTTACGGACGTTGTCGTTGATCTCGGGTACAATGGGCAGCAGTGAGAATATGTTTTGGACCAATGAGTGAACCTCCGCACCAGAATTCCGTGCGTCTTGCTCCTTGAAGGTAAATTGCTGCCATCCATGGCCAACGACCTGGCAATGATTCCTCACCACCGACAACACGATACTTTCCAGTGTTTCTAACTCCACATTCTGTAAATTGAACAGTTTTATATTACCACAAAATTGAATTTAAAAAAAAGTAAATTACCCGCTTCACAATAGAAATCTTTTATTTCTACATTTACAATATCAAATCAAACTATGTATATATAATTTTATATAAATTTAAATACAGGGAAAAGTATATAATAAGAAATTTCTTATTTTCAATCGAAAGAGAGATTTTATTTAGAAATTCAATTCCGATAATTTATACTAATTTAGGAGGATTTATATAATTTTATATTTAAAAATTCAAGAAAAATTAATTCTTTTAGCAAGAAATTAATTATTCTTTTTTATTATCAGGATTGCCACAAAAATTTAATTTCGTCTTCCTCTCACTTTTCTCTGATTCTCCAGACAGAGTTTTGACTTTTTCCGAAAAAAAATATTCCTGATTCACTCTAAAAATAATTAGACATTCTTCTTTAAATCAATTATTTTTAATAATTTTTGACAAAGTTAATTAAAAGTACGAGAAATTCAAATTTTCAAAGGTTTTAATTTGAAATCTTTTCAAAATTTAATATTAATTTTAAAAAATTTTATTATTTGTAACTTCTCTAAAATTCAGTATTTTTTTAAAGTTTTTAACTAAAATTCTTCTCTAAATCAATTATTTTTAATAATTAAATAATTAATAAATATAGATTAAAAAATTCAACTAATTTCAAAAGAATGAAATTAAAATTTTTCAAAAAAATTAATTCGAAAGGATTGTTAATTAAAAAGTATAAAAAATTCAAATTTTCAAAGATTTTAATTTCAAAGCTTTTTAAAATTCAATTATTTCTAAAAATTACTATTATTTGTAACTTCTCCAAAATTCAATTATTTTCTAGAATTTTTCACTAAAATTCATTTCTAAATCAATTATTTTTTGTAATTAAATTCAAATTTTCTAAAATTTCAAATTTAAACCTTTTAAAATTTAATTATTTATAAAAGCCCTTTCTGAAATTTAACTATTTCTAAAATTTTCAAAGATTTCAATTTGAAAATCTTCTGAAATTAAATTCAAAAAGTTTTTAATATACATATAAAGCTTCTATAATATTCAATTATCATTACTTAAAGTTTTAACTGAAATTCATTTTTAAAACAATTCTTATCAGAAATTTCTACGAAAATTCAATTATTTAAATACAAAAATAAATAATTTTTATTGAACAATTGAATATTTTTTTAAATTGAATTCTTATAAAGGGCTTTATTAAAATTTTTTGAAATAAATTAAATTTTTTGAAGAAATTTAATTAAAAATGTATTCAAACAAATTATTAGTTTCTAATAAACAAATTATTTAAAAAATGAATTCATTTAAAATTAAAAATAATTGAAATCCAGCGATGAATTTTATTATTTATAAAAGTAATTGAATTCTTGCAACGAATTTTAGTAAAAAAAAATTAAATAATTAAATTCTTGCGAGAAAAATTTTATTAATTACAAAAAATAATTGAATTTTAGAGAAGAATTTTATTATTTCTAAAAATAATTGAATTATTGTGAAAAATTTCATTATTTCTAAAATTAATTGAATTCTTGCAACGAATTTTAGTAAAAAAAATTGGTAAATAATTGATTTTCTTCGAATAATTTTATTAATTACAAAAAAAAATTGAATTTTAGAGAAGAATTTTATTATTTCTAAAAATAATTGAATTATTGTGAAAAATTTCATTATTTCTAAAATTAATTGAATTCTTGTGAAAAATTTTATAAAAATCTTGTTAAATAATTGAATTCTTGCGAGAAAAAATTTATGAAAATTATGTGTTAACTAATTGAATTTCTGTAAGAATTTTTATTGTTTGTGAAAATGATTGAATATTTGCAAAGAATTTTATAAAAAAAAAATTTTTAAATAATTGAATTATTTTCGGAAATTTTTTACTAAAATAGTAGATATATATTGAAAATGATTAAATTTCGAAAAATGTTTCAAAATAATAGAATCGTTTGAAAGAATTTTATTAAAATTTCTTACGAATTTTAGAATTTCATTAAAATTTTTCATAATAATTTTTTATTGCAACTAATAAATAAAATTATGTATTTACCATCGTCGTCTTGAATGAAATTATTGTCAATTGTTTCAACAGTTTCGTTGCCCTTATTTCCAAATAAATCGGGAGCCGTGACAAGTTCGTAATTTGGACGATTTGTCGTCGATATCGGAAACAATGGAATTGGCTTTGGCGTTGGTGGTTTCGTCGGTCTTGGCCTTGGCTTCGTTGTCGTCTGAATCACCGGCGGATACGTTGGACTAAAAGAAAATTCAAACAATCAAAAATATTTCTTTTTATTCTAATCCTGCTTCTAAATTTTTAAAAAATTCAATTATTTTCTAAACTTTTATCTTAAAAAATACAATTGTATTTAAAAGTAATTTTTAAAATTAACTATTTAAATACAAAAATAAATAATATATTGAATAGTTGAATGTTTCTGAAAATTTAATTCTTATAAAGAATTTATATCAGAATTTTTAAAAAATAATTGAATTTCTGAGAAAAATTTTATCATTTAAGAAAATAATTGAATTCTTGCGATGAATTTTATTTAATTCTTTTTAAATAATTGAATTTTCCTGAAAAATGTTATGGCTTGTGAAAATAATTGAATTCTTGCAGTAGAATTTAAAAAGAAAAGTTTTTAAATTGATTTTTTTCGAAAGAAAGATGTCTCAAATTAAATTACCTCACTTCGTCGATATCATTTTTTTCAATCGGACAACAAACGCCGGGAACAAAGAGACTCTTGAAACAAAGTGACTGTCGAAGTTTGGTGAGATCCAAAAGAAGATGAGGACAATTGCTGAGATCTTGACAACGTCCTGGACCACCTTCGGCAGTTGTGCACGAAGACGGTCCCTTTTCTCTGTCAACAATTTCCTCGCTCGATTGTATTTGTAAATCGGATACAACATCATTGGTGACAAGAGTCACTGGTTTGAAAGTCGACGTCGTTGTTGTCGTCGTCGTCGTTGTTGTCAATGGTTTCAATGTTAATTGAACTGGTCTCAATGGAAGTGTAACGCCGCGGACAATTGGCGCAATACTGTCGGTGACATTTTTTCCCAAAATATTCTTCGATATTGTGTACAAGGCTGAAGGTAATTCCTTGGAGGGATTTGCCGCCGAATCACCGCCACGTGTCATATTTACAATGTAACTTCCAACTGTATTGAGAGCGCCGAGTGTCTCGGTAATTCTTGTGAGAGGATCACTTCTTTCCTCAGTGACACGAACTAATTGGGCGTAAGGACGCACTTGAATGTCACGACGATAAATCGCTCCACCACGAGGTCCTCCGCCGAGAAATGCGTCGCTCTCCGTCCATCTTCTCACTGGATTTTGCGATCCATGTCCTCCTGCTGCAAGAAAAAAAATCGAACAAAATTAGAAAACTTTTCAATTTTTACATAAAATTTCCATTTTTCAATTTCAAAACAAGTTCTTCAAAACAATCCAATCACTTTCAAAACTTTTTAATAAAATTCTTCGAAAGAATTCAATTATTTTAAAAAAATTTTAATAAAAATTCTTCGCAACAATTCAATTCTTTTAAAAAAATTCAAATATAATTCTTCGCAAGAATTTTAATTATTTTTCTAAATAATTAAGTTCCTCTGGGGAATTCAATAATTTTCAAATACAATTTCAATTAAATTTCTCGAAAGAATTCAATTATTTAAAAATTTTTTTTTAAATTCTTCTGAAGAATTCAATTATTTTTATAAATAATTAAATTCTTCACGGGAACTCAATTATTTTCAAATACAATTTCAAAAAAAATTTCTCGACAGATTTACATTTTTTTAAAAAAATTTTTAATAAAATTCTTCGCAAGAATTCAATTATTTTTTTATAAATAATTAAGTTCTTCGCGGGAACTCATTTATTTTCCAATACAATTTTAATAAAATTTCTCCAAACTTTTTCAATTTTTACATAAAATTTTCATTTTTCAATTTCAAAAATCAAAATTTTGTGGCACTAGTGAAAAAAATAGAAATTTAAGGGAATATCCCTTAAATTTCTATTTTTTTTTACTAGTGCCACAAAATTTTGATTTTTCTTTTCCCTCATTTCCAGACAGAACTTTTGACTCTTTCCCTGAATTCTAAAGAAAATTTTAATTCACTCCAAAAATAATAAGAAAAATATTTGTAATCTACACTTATTTTTGAATATTTTTAATTATTCAGGATTGACACAAAAATTAAATTTTGTTTTTGTCTGCATTTTTCCTGATTTTCAGAGAAAATTTTAACTTTTTCTCTGATCCTAAAAAATATTCTGATTCACTCAAAAAAAATTATCAAGATACTCAAAAAAATATTCTAAATTCAAATATTGTGTTTCTGCAATTATTTGTAATTTTTTGAATAAATTAAATTAAAAAAAAAAATTTTTTAAAGTAATTGAATTATTTTGAAAAATTTATAAAAATAAATTAATTCTTCCAGGAAATTTAATTAAAAATATATTGAGAATAATTATTAAATTCTAAGAAACAAATTATATATCAAAATTTTTTTTAAATAATTTAATTCTTTCAAAGAATTTAAAAAAAATATTTAAAATATTTTCTTGAGAAAAATTTAATTATTTATTAAAAATAATTGAATTCCAGAGAAAAATTTTATTATTTGTAAAAATAATTAAATTTCAGAGAAGAATTTTACTATTTCTAAAAATAATTGAATTTTTGTGTCAAATTTTATAAAAATTTTGTTAAATAATTGGTTTTCTTTGAAAAAATTTTATTTATGAATTTCGAAGAATTTTTAAGAATAATTGAATCGTTTTGAAGAATTTTATTATAATTTTTTTAATTAATTGAATTTTCGTACTGATTTTAATTACCAAAAATTTTGAAAATAATTGAATTTTGTATTTTTGTTTATCTATCGTTTCCTTCTACATTTTTTTCATTAATTTGTATTTTTTCCATAAATTTGGTTTTTTATTTATTTGAATTTTATTAATTTATGTATTTATTTTCGTACATTTGAGTTTCTTTTCCTCTTAATTTTTATTCTTTTATTAATTTTCATTTTTTAAATATTTATTATTTTCTTTATTTTTTTTTTTCTTTACTTAATTAACAAAAAAATTACTTACGATAATTGGAATAAATTGCAACCTCATCAGTGTATGATAAAGCACCGTTTAATAAATTCCATATTATACACAGTCCTGAAAATAGAAAAGAAAAAATTAGTGTAAATATTTTTTAAACAAAAACAACAATAGGATCCTAAATACTAAATCAAAAATTCTTTTCTCTTTCCGATAAAAAGACGTAATTTAAAAAAAAATGTTTTATTAATTTTTTACTTACCAAATTTTCTAATTTGATGATTTTTCCAAAAAAAAATTTTCTACTAAAAAATTTATTTTTTAAATAAAAAATCAAAAAAAAAAAATGTTCTGTTTAAAAATTTATTTCTTAAATATAAAAAATTTAAAATAGTATAGAAAAAAAATTAGGTAGAAAACCTACAAACCTTTTAAAGGAGTTGAATCGTAAAAAGGATGTTAAGAAGAGAAAAAAATAAAATAAATAGAAATTTGTCTGCAACAGACTCTTTTGGGAATTCCATATATCTCAGAGATTTACCAAGAAACAGTTACCGAATCCATTTATAAAGTTACATAAGATTATTTGTTATTCTGATCATGTACTAAAAAACTCCACTTTCCTTCCTTCAAGGAACTCGAAGCTTTGGTTCATTGCACAAGACACTGGATGATAAATAATTATTATTCATCACCATAATTCGTGTTAATTTCATGCCATCATATTTTAACTAAAAAAAGAAATGAAAATTCAAAATACTTCATTTCCCTTTCTTTTCTAAATTCTCTTACATAAAAAATGAAAAATAAACATGAAATTACGTCACACTTTTTATTTTTCCTATTTTACGAAAATATTTTTGATTAATTTTCTCTTCGTGAATGAATAGATAAAAATTCCATATGACAAAATTTTATTAACTAATTAATAATTATTAATTCAATATGTATCAGTTGATAATTATTAATTAATAACAATTAATTAATAATTAATAATTTGTTACATTTTAATTATTTTACTATGAATTTAATTATTTTTCCTTATTTTATTTTTACCGTATTTTTTTACTTTTTTCTATGCATTTAATTTTATTTTTTCAATTTTCATTTGGTTTATTTTACTTCCTATTTTTATTTCTTAATTAATTCAATTATTAATTTACAAAATTATTTTTTATTTCCGTCAGAAAAGAAAATTTCTTTAGATTGAAAAATTATTTTGATAAATAAAGTAAAAGAAATTTAAGAAAAAAAAATTCCAACAATTTTTCAGAAATATTAAATCATTTGTAAAATAGGATAATAATAATTTTTGTTGAGGAAAGTAGAGATTTCCTGTTTTTGAAAGAAAATTACTAGAATTATCGTATTTCACGAATGCTTGACTCCTTTGAAAATCTAAAACAGTTAAATAACTGGAAAATTTCTTTCTTCGTTGTGAAAAAAAATTATTGTTTTTTATAAAATTATGAATGAATATATTATAATAAATCCAGAAGAGAAAAAAATTGCAAAATTGAACATTTTAGTATTTTTATAGAATTATTTCGTAATAAAAAAGTTTTGAATTTGAAAAAATGCCATTTTAATACGAAATTTGTACAAATTCTATTTTTTAATCGCGATTTTTAAAAAAATTCGTATTTCTTTAAATAAATGAAGAAAAATTGTCATAATTTCTATTTTATAATCATAATTACAATTTTTTCACGCAAAATCTCAAGTATTTTTTTTTTTTTTAATTGTAATTTACAAATAGAAATCAAGCAAAATTTTTCATTTGTTTTTTTATATTAAAAAATTGTTTGACAAATCGAAATTCTTTCCTTCTACAAAAAATTAGAAAATTGTAAATAAAATTAAAAATAAGAAATGGAAAATATATTTTCAAAAATAAATAAAAAAAATGGAAAATATTAAAAAATTTCTACAAATTCTATTTTTTAATTACGATTTTTAACAAAATTCGATTTTTTTTAAATAAATGAAAAAAAAAAATTTTTCACAATTTCCATTTTACAATCACAATTATTTTTCCTATAGAATTTTGTTTTTTCTTTTCAAAAATTATTTTTTTTAAAGAATCAAAAAATTTGTACGTAAATTCTATTTTTTAATCACAATTTTAAACAAAATTCGATTTTCCTTAAATAAATGAAAAAAAAATTGTCACAGTTTCAATTTTACAATCACAATTATTTTTTCTAGATAGAATTTTGTTTTTTCTTTTCAAAAATTATTTTTTTTTCTAAAGAATTAAAAAATTTGTACGTAAATTCTATTTTTTAATCACAATTTTAAACAAAATTCGATTTTCCTTAAATAAATGAAAAAAAAATTGGTCACAATTTCCATTTTACAATCACAATTATTTCTTATAAAAAATTTTGTTTCTTCTTTGGAAAAATTATTAATAAAAATATTTTTTCTGTCGGCTACTTGAAAATTTTTTACTTTTAGATTTTGAAAGTCTAATTCGCAAAAAAAAGATATAATTTCGTTTTCGTAGAATTATCCATTCCTACCGGGCCATAAATTTTTGTTTTTTTTATGTGTGGGTTTAGGGTCGAAATTACGTGTTCAGAACAGTAAAACAAGATTTTTCGAGTTTGATTTATTATGAAGCTATATATATATACGTAGATTCATCGACGGTGAAAGTTACTCGACGAGAAAGTGTGCCTTTCTTCCACTCACTGATTCCCTGTTGATAGGAATGGTGTGTACTTAGAAACGATCACTTATCTCTTTCGGAGACAATTGTACAAGCAATTATTATCATTCAAAGTGCCATATACTCTCAAGGGGAAATTCCCACATTTTTTTCCCATAAAGCAAAAAAAAAAAAACTCTTCTTGCGAATTAAACATTCAATTAAATATTTTCGCTACAAAAAAAGGAAATTGCCTTTTTTTCGTGTGTAACAATTTTCTTTTTTTGAAATTAGACAGAAAAATTAGATTTTTTCGAATTGTTTGTTTTTCGAACAAAAAAAGAAGAAAAAAAAGGGAAAAAAGAAAATAAAAGAAAAAAACGAATAAAAAGGAGAAAAAAAAATGAAAAATGAAAGACATTGACAAATAAATCGATATTTTACAGAAAATTATAATTTCCGATTATTTATAATATATTCAAATGGCTAAAAACCTTTCACATAAGAAATTGTCCCGATCTTGAAATAAAACCGGATCTTTGAATGACGTTTTACAAAAAGAGGAATATTCATCATCAAAGAATAAAAATAACCGGTCTCGCGGAGATCAAATTAGTTGTCAATATGTGTGTACTTTTATTCCAAGAAAAAGTTTGTATAATAAAAAAAAGGCACTGCATCAAGGTTGGTGAAAGTGTGCTAAACTAAAAAAACAACAAAAAAAAATTTTTTTTGTTTCGTTAAAATTATCGATAAAAATTAGTTTATCTACAAAACGTTTACAATATACTTAACAAACAATTCGATAAAATCAAAAGTTCTTTCACTTTCAATTAACAGATTATCAGCTTCATTTTCAATATATAGAAATACGAGTTTTTTTTCATTCTTTTCTATATATAATACAAAACAAGCATCGTCTCGTTGCGCATCTTTGAAAACATTAATTCATTATTAGATAATGGTACAATAATTTCAATTTTAAATTTTCTATTTTCTACATGCGTGATCATATATAATCATCGTTTGAAATGATCTGTTTAAAATTGCAGTTTAATAATAATCAAATGCTGAGTCATAGGAATTTTCACTTTCACATATACGTGTGAATACTCGATTGAGAATTTAATTTGAATAACTTTCGATTAGATTTCAAGATTTTAATCACTCACTCGAAAATAATTCATTCAATATTCTTGAAAGAATTGAATTTTTTTCGTTCTAAAAATTATATTTTTTTCGCCTCTTTTTCCGAATTTGGAAAAATCGAATTTTTTTCACAGACATTTTTTTTTCGAAATCTAATGAAAAAATCCCACTTTGTTCGAATTTGAACAAATTTAAAAATGAAAATTATTATTTCAATTATTTTCCATATAATTTCCAGAAATTTCTATGAATATTGAATTATTCAAGAAAAAAAAGACAGAAAAGTTTAAAATTCAATTGTTTTTAATTCAGTTTCAAAAAAAAAATTCTAATTGTTGGAAAATATTTTAATTAAATAATTTAGAAATTCAATAATAATTTCAAATTAATTGAAATTAAAAATTTACTACAAACTAAATTCTTCAGAATTAATTAAAATTATTCAAAATTCAAAGTTTGCGAAAATTTGAATTAAAACCTTTTTGAAATTTTTTTTTTTAAATTTCAACTACGATTTTTCAAATATTCAATTATTTAAAAAATTTCAACTAAAAAATTTAATTTCCCGTTCCTTGAATCAATATTATTTTGAATAATTTCGAGAAAGTTTTTTGAAATTAATTCAATTATTTCAAACGAAAAAACAACTTAAACTTCACATAAGAAAATATTCTTTATTATAAATAAATTATTTTCAATGTCTGGAATTTTCTTTGAAAATTTAATTATTTAAGACAAAAAAAATACAGAAAATTTGTTTAAAATCCAATTGTTTTCAAATTAGCTTCAAAAAAATTCCTAATTGTTTGAAAATATTTTAATTTTAAATAATTTAGAAATTTAATTATAATTTCCAAAAAAAAAAGAAATTAAAAATTTTTTAAAAACTTTTAAAATGTTCAGAATTAATTAATTTCAAAATAATTGGAATTAAAAATTTTCTAAAAACTAAATTGTTCAGAATTAATTAAAATTAATTTCAAAATATTTGGAATAAAAAATTTTCTAAAAACTAAATTGTTGAGAATTAATTAAAATTATTCAAAATTTAAAATATGCGAAATAATTTTTTAATTTTAATTAAAAACCTTCCTACAGATTTAATTTTTTAAATAAATTTTCAAAGTATAATTTGTTAAATATTCATTTTTCTGAAATTTCGAACATTCAAATGAACGAAATTTTCATTCTGTTCAAATATTTCGAAAAATTACTGTACAAAAAAGAAAAATAATTAAAATCAAACATTTTTGTTAAGAATCAATTTTTTTAAAATAGAAAATAATTTTTTTTTGAAAAAAATAAAAATTCAAGGAAGTAAAAAAATATCATCGTTCATTCGTACGTAATTTCAATTATTAAAAAAAATTGTCAACTCAAATTTTTTCCTAAATCAATTATTTTGATATTATTATTCGCCTTTTTTTCGAATTTGGAAAAATTGAATTTCTTTTCATTGATACGCAATGAGAGATATTATAATTGAGAGAGAGAATATAATTTTTTTTATCTCGAAATCGAATGAAAAAAAATCCCACTTTTTTCCAATTTGGACAAATTTTGAAATTGTCAAAAACTGAGAAATTATTTATTCTTTGTTATAAACATTAAAGAGACGATGTGAATGTACTCTTGTCTGGTAACCTAGATACGTTGTATATAACGAAGAGCATACACGCGTTAAATATGTATCTAGATATGGTTTTAATACAGAAAAAAAGAGAGATTCCAGTTTCCCGAGTGCCAACAACGATTTTCTGTTTTTTTGAGGCCAAACAATTTCACCAAACTGTTTTGATTCGATAACAAAAATTTATCAATTCTTTTTTTCTTGTCGCCTTATTTATAAAAAATTATGAGAAAAAAGAATTCAATTCGAAAAATGAATTCAATTTGAAAAAAGAATTCAATTCGGAAAAATAATTCAATTTGGTTCAGAAAAAACATTTTAATTACAATATTGAAAGCGAAACTTATTTGTTGAGGAATAGAAAAAAAATTCACCTGAGTGAATAATCAATATTTGTACATACATTGATAGTTTAGTTGACTATATGTTCAAATGGGTTGATAAAAAAAAAGAAGAAAGAGACTATAAAAAATGAAACCATCATAAATATAAAACTGATTTTAAAAATGGAGCAGTAAAAATAGAAAGCAATAATAATCAATCGAGTGGGAAGGAAAATAAAATTATCAACGAGTGCAAAAGAATTAATGAACCTCGTCATTGAATAAATTGTAAATTATATTTTTGAGAATTGTAATTTTACTCTATTAAAAAAAAATTGCCCGTTAAAAAAGAAGTTTAACGAATTTTATTTTTATCTAAAATGACAAAATTGAAAGCGTCAATTATTTATTTGAGAGAATAAAATAAATAATTTTCAAATAATGAAATAACGAATTAATAAATCGAGAATAATAGTTAAGAATTGACGAAATAAATAATTGACAAAATAAATAAATAAGAAAATAAATAATTGATAAAATAAATAATTGACAAACTAAATAATTAAAAAACTGAATATTTGACAAAATAAATAATTGATAAACTAAAAAATTGACAAATTAAATAAATGACAAAATAAATAACTGAAAAACTAAATAATTGAAAAAAATTTTTTGTTGAAAAAAAAGTAAGGAATTGACAAATTAAATAATTGACAAACTTAATAATTAATAAAATAAAGAATTGCCAAATGAAATAATTGACAAAACAAAAATATTGAAAAAATAAATAACAACAAAATAAATAATTGAAAAAATTGAATAATTTGTTAATTAATCAATTTTTCTTTACAGAATTGTTAGAATTTTATCTTATCAAGTTACTAAAGGACTTTTTTTTGAAACTTTTAATAAAAAATGCAAAATAAAATTTTCTAAATAGAACAATAATAAAATAAACAAAAAATATCAAAATTAAGCAATAAAATTCTATAAAAAATAATTTTTAAAGTTTAAGAAAAAGAAAACATTAGAAAGAGAACCTTTTTGAAAAACCTGAACCGAAAAAATGGAAAAAAATCCAAATTAAAGAATAAAAATTTGTAAAATTATAATTTTGAATTAAAAAACAGACTTTTTCAGAAAAAACCAAAAAGTCGAAAATAATCTAAAGGTAACAATAAAATTCTATAAAATTAAATTTTTTTAGAAACTTGAGTTGAAAAGAATTTGAAATAAAATCTTTTTAATTTAACAATATAAAATTTAATAAATAATTAGTTTTTAATGAAAAAGAAAAAATTAAAAAAGGACGTTTTTAGAAACTTGAGAAAAAAAATCGAAAGGAAATCTAAAATAAACTATAAAATTCTTTAAAATTTTTAAATTTAAAAAAAAAAGTTAAAAAAATAATTTTTTTTTAAAAAGCCAAAAAATCGAAAAAAAAAATCCAAATAAAATTAAAAATAAACAATAAATTTTCGACGAATCAAATTTTAAATTAAAAAAAAATTTTTAAGGACTTTTTTGAAACTTGTGCCAAAAAATGGAAACAAATCCAAATTGAACAATAAAAAATTCCATAAAATTAAATTAATTTTGAAAGAAATTCAGCAATAATCGAATAATACTCGAAAGAAAGGAACAAAAGAACAGAACAAAATTACCACTAAGATAAAAATTCTCCATTAAATAAAACGTATAATTGATGACGATTATTCAAGGAAGAAAGTAGCAAAAAGTAGGCAAGTTGAAATATAATTGTAATGACCGCGCGCGCGACATTCAAAGTTTCTCTCTAAATTAAAAACTAAAAAACAAAAACGAAAAAATCAAGTTCTCCATGGAAAAAAATAAAAAAATAGAAGAAGAGTATAAATACAATAATCGAGAAATCACTTGCGCTTACCAAGAGCGGACATTGACATTCTGAGGAAAACAAACATCAGATCCTCTTTTCTGGTATTCCATTAAAAAGACACTTCAAACTCGATAATTAAATCACGGCACTTTTATTTTCTCTATTTCCGTTTCCTTTTTTTTCTGAAAAAAAAAATTAAAAGAAAAAAAATTTGTTAATTTTGAAAATTATAGATTTAAAATTAACATTTTTGAGAGGAGAGAAAAAGCGAAAATGAAAAAAAACAGGATTAACAACAACAGGGAAGACGGAAGTGTCGCGCATCAAGTCGCGACGAACAGTTCCGACTACCAAAAGACTGTCCGTGACAAGACCTCGACACACTTATTCCGACTGTTACACACACTCTCTCTCTTTCTTTCCTCCAAAGAGGCGCCATCCTCCTAAGGGAAAGTGTTCCCTACCACTTCTTTTTCTTATTCTTTATCATCATTATCATCATCATCATTATCATCATCAACTTTATCTTCATCTGTCTTTCGATTAATTCGTCACACACGCATTACGCATGAGTTTTTTAATTTTTTTTTTTTTTTTAACAGAGTATTAAAAAAAAAGAAAATAATTTCACGCCTTCAATTCGCCTCGATATCGAAACAGGAAGACGAAACCACAAAAAAAGAAAAAATAATAATATTAGAGAATAAAAAAATTAAATCTAAGAATTTGAGAGAGAAAATTAAGAGAAGAAAAAAATCAACATTTAGACTTCTGATCGATTTTAATAAATTTAAAAAGAAAAAAAAATAATTGTAGTGAAAAAAGAAATTCAAAACAGTAAAAGAAGAGAATAGAAAAATCTAAATTTTTTTTTTTGTTTTATTTCAATTTATTTTTAAAGTAAATTTCGTGAGAAATAAAGTGAAGAAAAAAATTTGTAAGAATGGTAAGAATGAAAGAAGAAAAAATCGAATAACCGCGAAAAACTTAATTATTTTTAAAAATAATTGAAATCCTAGAAAGAAATTTATAATAGTTTTTACAAAAATAATTGAATTCATTCAAGAAATTTTATTAAAATTGTAACGAAAATAATTGAATATCAGCGAAAAATTCAATTATTTATAAAAATAATTGAATTATTGCGAAGAATTTTATTAAAATTTTTAAAAATATTTGAATTCTTTCCAAAAAATTTATTGAAATTGTATTTGAAAATACAAATTAAATTCCCGCGAAGAACTCGAAAATTTAATTCTTGCAAAGAATTATATAAAAATTTTTAAATAATTGATTTCTGTCGACTTATTTTATGCAAATTCTGATTTAAACAATTGAATTCTTCAGAAATTTTTAATATTCATGAAAAAAATTGAATTCTTACGAAGATTTTTACAAAAAAAAATTTTAAGTAATTGAATTCTGTTTGGAAATATTAAGAAAATAGCAGATATTGAAAATCATTGAATTGCGAAAAGTTTTTAAAAATAATTAAATTTTACAAAGAATTCTTTTAAAAAATTTGACAATAATTGAATAATTGTGTAGCATTTTATTATTTATGAAAATAATTGAATTCTTGCGAACGATTTTATTAGAATTTTTTAAAATAATTGAATTCTTGGTCTTTATGAAAATAATTGAATTTTCCAAAGAATTTTATTAAAATGCCTCAAAATAATTGAATTTTAGGGAATAATTTTTATATATATCTTTAATAATCGAATTCTTTCGAAGAATTATTTATTGAAATAATTGAATACTTGGGAAGAATTTTTTTTAAATCCAAAAGAATAATTGAATTATTTCAAAAAAAATTTAATTAAAATTGCATTTGAAATAATTGATTTTTTTCGAACAATTTTATTAAAACAATTTGAAAATAATTGAATTCATGTGAAAAATTCTAATATTTTTGTAAATAATTGAATTCTTCCAATAAACAAACATTTATTTAAATAATTGATTTTTTCGAGGAATCGAAATTAAATTTTAAAGAATAATTACATTTTTTGAGCAATTCCAGTAAAATTGTATTAAAAAGAATTGACATCCTGCGATGAATTTTATTTATTTATGAAAATAATTGAATTGTTGCAAAGAATTTTGTTAAAATTTTCTAAAATAATTGAATTCCTGAGAAGAATTTTATTATTTATGGAAATAATTGAATACTTGTGAAAAATTTTATTAAAATGTTTAAAAAGAATTGAATTTCTGTAAAAAATTTTGTTATTTTTGAAAATAATTAAATTCTTCATAATAAGAAATTTATCAAAATTTTTTTTTTAAATTGAATTTCCATGAAAAATGTTATTATTAGTGAAAGTAATTGAATTATTGTGAAGAATATTGTATAAAAATTTTGTTAAATATTTGATTTTTTCGAAATTTAAATATTTATAAAATAGAAATTCAGCAAAACTTTTTGTTTATTTTTAATGAAAACATTATCAATCATTGAATATTGTGAATTATCTATTTAGTTTGTCAATTATTTATTTTATCAAATATTTACTCTGTCAATTATTTATTTTTTTTTTCTTTAATTTGTCTTTTCTTCGACAAAGAAAGAAAAATAGCAAAGAATAAAAATTAAAAGAATAAACGAAAATTTATAATCTACTTGAAAGGACCAAATTCTGCAAAAAAAAAGGCAATAACTATTTTAAAGAAAAGCGGAAAACAAAGAAAGCAATCGAAACGTATACGAAAATAAAAAAGTTCAGGACAAAATTAAGAAAACAACTTGAAAAAATCAGAATCAAAACGAAATTCAAGTGCAAAGTTTCACTGTCAAGTATTTTTTTTCGAAAAAAATTAAAACAGAAAATCCAGAAAAACCGGGAAAATCTAAAAAGAAAAGCAGAAATAAGAATAAAAATTTAGTTTCAATCTAAAACCGGAAAATCAAAAAGGAAAGAAAACCAGAATCAGAAACTATATAAAAAAGACCAGAAAAAACAGAAAATCAGAAATCAAACACAAAAAACAGAAAATCGAAAAGGAAAGAAAACTAGAATAAGAAACTAAATCAGAAACCATATAAAAACACCCAGAAAAAACAGAAAATCTAGAAAATATTAAAAGAAAATCAGAAATCAAACACAAAAAACAGAAGATCGAAAAGGAAAGAAAACCAAAATCAGAAACTATATAAAAAAAACCAGAAAAAACGGATAAATTGGAAATTTTTCTACCAATTCATCAGAAGAAACTAAAACTAAAATCAAAATCGACACACTGGAGGACTATAATTGAAAAAAAACCCACAATATTGCAGTTATCCTAAATTTATTTAAGATACTCTTTACATCACGTTGTATACACAACCTAATAATAATAATGCAAAATGATATTAAGCTTGGAGGGCCTTAGACTATAATACAATATTCTCTATTTTTTTCTCACTCCCCAATCACAAAACAAAAGAAAAATGCAAATCGCCGGTGATATTTCTATGCAATCCAAAATAAAACTTGAAATATCTCCGAAAATAAATTCATTTTCTTCAAAAAAAAATTAACTCAATAAAAAAGAGAACAATTCTCTCACTAGATGAAGAAAACTAAAAGAAATCAAATATATAAACGAAATCTAAACTAATTTTGATAAGATGACACTTTTTGTTTTCGTTTTCATTGTACAAAATCTATAATATAAGAATTGTCAGGATCTTAAAATCTTGTATAAATTGAACAATTCAAATGATATAATTATTTTTTTTTTTTGTTAGATTATAAAGTTTCCCCAAAAATTCGAAAAGCTAGTATTAAAAAAAAGAAGACGAAGAATAATTATTTCTAGAGAAACTCTATCGTATCTAATATATCCTATTTTAGGAACAAACTTTCTGCGAATTATTAATTATTAATTATTAAATATAGAAATAGAAATTGTTAATTTATGTAAATAACAGTCGCTGCACAATATTTCTTTCATACATTTTTTTTTCTTTAGCTCGTTTCCTCTTTCTCGCAATACTATTACGATATATTTCAGTGTCAATTTTTTTTGTTTCTTCATGAATTAAGAAAAAAAGAAAAAATTGCAATAACTGAAAATTTGGTATGTTTCATTTTCTTGAAAATTTAGTTAATTGCTTATATTTTCAGTTTTTTTTTCTTTATCGAGTGATTTAAAATGAAGGATAACATATGTAAGATGCAGACATATGTTATTAATATATGTATAATTTACATATATTTTTATATATATTTATATTTATTATATATATGTATAATATATATAATATTTTTTTTTTATGAAATTAGTGACTGGCATTTGTAGAGTGAATTTCTCTTGGTGAAATTCTGACTTCTCAGGCTCAAATATAATTTCATTCTCGATTATCTTTTTTTTTTTTTTGTTTTGTTTTTAAAATTAATATTTTCGCATAGGCATTGATCCTTTGTAAGGATCGAATCGGTCATAGGATGCTGGTGCTCCTGGTGCGGACATTCCCAAAGATTGCATCGGTCCTCCTTGATACATCGGTGGACCAGGATGCCTCAGTGCATTTCCCACACTATTTGAATTACCCCATCTGTTTATAGAAATTTTTATTTAATTAATCCTCCCCCAGTTGCTTTTTTGCGACTTTGTAAATTTTTCACTCATTTATTACTACTACTTATTCTATCGTTTTATCAGGCTTCACACTCAATAATTTAAAATAATTAATAAATAAATAATTAAATAATTAAATTAAATAAATAATTAATAAATAATTAAAAAAAATTATCAAACAGTTGCTTTAATACTGAAAAATGTAGTAACTTTAATTCAAAATTTTTGAAAAATTCAATTATTTTTCAAATTTTTATAATAAAAAAAACAATTTTATTTAAATGTAATTTTTAAAAGTAAACAAATCAAATTATTTAATTCCAATCGTTCACAGGAATTAGGAAAATAAATGAATAATTTTACAAAGTAAAAACTTAAATGTTATTACAGTTTTACAACAATTAAAATTTTCAACGATTTCAATTTAATAATCTTTTAAAATTTAGTAATTTAAAAAAAAATTCGTACAATAACGCTTTTAATATTCAATTATTATCTAAAATTTCAACTGAAATTAATTTCTATATCAATTCTTATTAGAAAGTTCAACTAAAATTCAACTATTTAAATATAAAAATAAATAAAGTATTAAATAATTGAATATTTCTCAAAATTTAATTCTTATAAAGAATTTATCAATTTTTTTTAAAAATAACTGAATTTTTTAGAAGAATTTTATTATTTATGAAAATAATTGAATTTTTGTAAAGAATTTTATTTAATTCTTTTTAAATAATTGAATTCTCGTTAAAAGTTTTATTATTTGTTAAAATAATTGAATAATTGTCAAGAAGTAAAGAAAGAATTCAAGAATTTAACAATTTTTGAAAAAATAATTGAATTTTTGAGGAAAAATTTTATTATTTATGAAAATAATTGAATTTTTGCAAAGACTTTTATTTAATTTTTTTTTAAATAATTGAATTCTCGTGAAACATTTTATTATTGAAAAAAAAATAATTGGATTCTTGTGAAGAATTAAAGAAATAATTTATTAATTTTTTAAAAAATAATTGAATTTCTGAGAAGAATTTCATTATTTATGAAAATAATTGAATTCATGTGAAGAATTTAATTAAACTTTTTAAAATTTAAATTCTCGTGAAAAGTTTAATTATTTGTAAAAATAATTAAATAATTGTCAAGAATTAATAAAAAAATTCAAAAACTTATCAATTTTTTAAAAAATAATTGAATTTTTGAGAAAAAATTTTATTATTTATGAAAATAATTGAATTCTTGAGAAGAATTTTATTTGAATCTTTGGAATTAATTAAATTTTTATTGAAAACAATTGGATTTTTAAAAGAAAACATTATAAAAATTTTTGAAAATAATTAAATTCTTAAAAACAATTCAATTATTTATGAAAATAATTTAATTTTTAACAACAATTTTATCCAAATTTTAAAAAATGAATTCCATTGCAGAAATTGATTGAAAACTTGGAAAATAATGTAATTCCAGCGAAGAATTATGTTATTTATAAAAATAATGGAAATCATGTTAACAATTTTGTTATTTAATTTAAATAATTGCATTCTTGCAATGATTTTTATCAAAATTTTGTAAAATAATTGAATTCTTAGGGAGAATTTTATTAAAAGTTTTAAAAAGAATTGAATTGTTACGAAAAATATTATACAAATTTTTTAAATAATTGAATTCTTCTGAGCATTTTTCGTAAAATTATATTAAAAATAATTGAATTCTCGTGAAAAATGTTTTATTACTTGGAAAAATAATTGAATTCTTGCGGTAGAATTTTATAAAATGTTTTTAAATTGATTTTTTGTCAATAAATTTTATGAAATATTTTAAATAATTCAATTCCTGTGAAAATTTTATTACTTATAAAAAAAATTGAATGTTTGCGAAGAATTTTATCAAAAATCTTTTGTCGAATTTTATTAAAATTGCATAGAAATTGAAAATCTTTGATTTTCGAAAAGTTTTTGAGAATAATTGAATCGTTTTAAAGAATTTATTACAATTTTTAGAATTTCTTTTTTATTTCAACTATTAGCAAATTTAATGTGATGCAAATTTCCCCAAAAAAAATGAAGAAAAAAGTATATTTTAGTGTCATAAATCTCATTTAGTAGATGAGTGCGAAGCCTGTTTTATTTAAAGAAAAAAAAATTAATTGCGAAATTAATCTCTTTTTTATGAAAACTTAAAAAAATTGATAAAAAATAAAAACCAAAACAAAAAAATTCAATTAAGTTTTTATTAAAATTTCTTCCTCTTTGTATTTTCCCCTTTATATTATCATTATTTACTTACTTAACTATTTATTATTCGTCACTTATTCGATTAATTTTAATCATTTTTAAATTCAATGGTGTAGAAATATAATTTCCACCACTTTTCTTTTTATTCATTATATAACACTCTCTGTAAATCAAAACTTTTATTATTTAAATAAATTGAGAATTAGAATTAATTAAGAATCAGAAGAAAATTGATAGAGAAAAATGGGGGAATAAAATTTCTGTATTTTTATTTATAAATAAAAAATAAAATAATATGAATCGAAAATGAAATTATAAATCTTAATAAAGGAAAGAATCGTAAAATTACTTTTATGTTTTAAATTTCTTTCTTCTATTTTTTTTCAAGCGAAAACTTCTGTAATGAATGTTTTTTAATTATTTTCCTTTTATTCTTTTTTTTTTGATAAAATTATTTCTTTTTTTTTAGATAATTATTTTCGTTTTTTTTTAGACATTCACAGAAATTGAAAAATATTAATAAAGAAAAATTTTGTTCATTACTTAGAAAAGCGTTACCTGTTGACGTTGTCGGAGGATCGACTGCTCCAACCGGAAGTTTCATTGCGTGGATCGCGTGTGCCGCCACTTGGAACAGAATTAAAAGATTTTGCAGAAGGTGGTCCGGAATGCCATCCACCTGGACGACTGTTGTCCACGTATCGACTGTCGCCTGAAATAATAAATTATAAAATAATTCATAAAATAAAACACAAAATAATAAATTCTAAACGAAAATAAATAAAATTCTCATTTCTTAATTTAAACCTTTGCTTTGGAAATTAAAACAATAACAATATTTAAATTATAAATAAACAATAAATATATGAATATTTGGTAATAAAAAAATATTAAAATAAATAAACAATTGCTAAATTAAATATATTAAATATATTAATATAAATAAACTGAGATTAAATAATTTCAGCTTTTGTAAAATAAAAAAATTACAAATGTTAAAATTAAAAACTCACGTGGTGCATTCGATCCTGGTGGTTTGGAACTTTCATTGTAACGACCGCCGTGAGAGTCTCGTGAACTTCGATGAGATTCTGGATCTGATCGTCGAACATCTCGATCGCGACTGTAAGGCGCAGCGCTTGGTCGTTCATATCTTTTCGAAAAAAATAAAAATTTCACTATTTTTCAACTTTTATTACAATTTTTCATTCGCAAAATCAATTTTTTTCTAAATAAGATTTCGAATAATTGAATAAATTCAGGCTTCACAGTGTCCCTAAAGAGTATTTTAGGGTAAATAAAATTTAAAATATAAAAACTATTTTAGAGTATAAAACTTTATGTTTTATAATAATTAAAGATGACCGACTGACAAAACAATTATTTTATTATTATAAGAATATTGTTACTGTAATTTCTTCAAAATTATTTCTATCATTTCAATTCAATTAACATTTTCTAGAATTTTTAACTAAAGTTCTACTTTAAAACATCAATTATTATTTAATTAAACTGTTTCAAAAAAATTCATTCTACAGAATTGTTAGTTAAAAGTACGAAAAATAATAATTTAATTCTACGAGAAATCAATTATTTAAATACATAAATAAATAATATTGAATGTTTCTTAAAATTTAATTTTTACGAAGAATTGTATTAACAACTTTTGAAAATATTTAATTTCTTTTAAGAAATTTATTTAAAATTTTAATGAAATTTATTATACTATAGTATATTAAGCAACAAGAGGAGAAACGCAGCCATTTCTTTACGGTGATTTTTGTGACACGAGTGGAGGTCGAGGGCGCCGTAGGCGCCCCGAGACCGGAACGAGTGTCACAAAAATCATCGTAAAGAAATTGGCTGCCTTTATTCTCGTGTTACTTACGATATTTTTTATTCCTAATGCACAAAAGCGGCGATTTCAGATAGCAGACGACAGGGAGTAAAAGTCATTCACTTGTTCGATTTGTATGAAAATGGCGGCCGATTTCTCCCTTGGGCAAGAAAAATGCATGTGAACAGCTAATTTTCTTGCCCTTGGGAGAACACGGCCGCCAATTTCATACGGTCGAAGAAATGAATGACTTTCCTCCCTGTCGGCTGCTATCAGAAAGCGCCGTTTTTGTGCATGTGGGATAAAAAAGAATTTTATAACAATTTTAGAAAATAATTGAAAACTTTTTCAAGAATTTTATTAAATTTTTTAAAAATAATTGAATTCCTGAGAAGAATTTAAATAATATTTTTTTAAAACAATTAAATTCATGAGAAGAAGGAATTTGATTAAAATTTTTGAATATAATTGACTTATTGAGAAGAATTTTTGGAAAATTTTTGATAATAATTTAATTCTTGAGAAGAATTTCCCTATTTATTTATAAAGATAATTGAATTCTTGACGAGGTATTCGTGAAAATTTAAAAAAATAATTGAATTTCTTTGAAAAATTTTATGACTTTTGAAAATAATTGCATTCTTGGGATGAATATTGTCTTTTAAAAATAATGTAGGTCATAACAAGTTTGTACAGATTATAAGAATTTAAAATACAACCAACTTCTAAACAAATTTTTTAAATTTTATGAAAAATTTCATCGATCATAAATTTTAAGATTTTATTTAACATCAAGTTAAATTTGTTTTAATCTTTTAGTTTAATTCATTTTAATCTTTTAATTTAATTCATTTTAATCTTTTACTTTTATTTATTTTAATCTTTTTGTTTAATTTATTTTAATAATCTCAAAATTAATAATTAGACTTGAGAATAGCAGTAAATTTAGAGTAATTAAATTTATTATTAATTGATTATGTAGATCTAGGGAAAAAAAATTCGTGTCTCTAAATTACTACAATAAAAAAAAGAGAGAGAAAAAAAAACTTACCTGTCTTTAACTTGTCGTGGATCGATTGTTGGTGATGGAGTTGGTAAAGGTTCACGACGAACAATCACCTCTCTACTTCGAGAAACATCAGTAAAAGTTTCCGGTCGACTGCTACGAGACGAAAATTCACTGCTTCTTTTGTAATCCTTCTTCAAACCAATATCTGGTGCTGATCTGTATCAAAATTCAATTTCTCATTAGTTTCATTATTTTTATTACCAATAAAGGAAAAATTTTCTAATTTATAAAATAGAAATTTAATTTCTTCAAATAAAAAAAATTAAATAACACTATTTTTCGGCATTTTTAGCCTAAAAACAATAAAACGTTTCGAAAGTAGCAAAAATTGAATTTTTCATTCGAGAACAATTCGAAAACTATTTAATAAAATGTTAAATTATTAGCAATAGTTATTTTATTAAATAGAATAAAATTTTTTTTTTTTAATTTATTTTATTCAATAAATAGATTTTAAACGCAACAATTCGCAACAATTTCGATACGTTTTTTGTCTCAATTTGATATCCTTAGAAAAACTGTGAAAGAAAACATTTATTTAACGAACCTGCTTGTATCGTATCTGGTGGCGGGCGAAGTTTCCATTCGTCTATCAGAAACACGATCCATAATATCGGATCGTCTCTCGGGCACTCTCTCGGGACTGTGTCTACGTCCAATTTCAGTGGTCATTCTTTTTCTCTCGGGCTCCGCGTACAAATCGCGTCGATCGCTCGACGTTCTTTTAATTGTCGGCGGTGGTGGTGCACGACGACTCTCCTCCAAGCGCATCTGTTGCCTCTTCAATTCCAATCTCTCGCGCTCCAATTTTTCACGTTCAAGCTTTTGACGTTCACGTTCCAAGCGCAATAATTCCGCCTTCTCCTGTTCAATTCGTTCGCGTTCGCGACGCAATTTCTCCCGCTCTCTCTCGAGACGCACTGCCTCGTCCCTCTGACGGCGTTCAACTTCACGCTGTCGTTCAATGTCCTCACGACGACGATGCTCCTCCTCACGACGGCGACGTTCCTCCTCGCGAAGAAGTCTCTCTCTCTCGCGCAATCTCTGCCTGTCACGTTCATCCTTTGGTGTGTCAAATATAAATTTGAAAAAATATTTTTGGAAAAATATTTTCTTAAGTAAGAAGCATAAAGAAAAAAAAGGTAAAAAAATAAAAATAAAGAAGTGGAAAAAAGGTAAAAAGTAAAAAATAAAGAAGTAAAAAAATAAAATTGAAAAGGAAGAAAGAATTGAGAGAAATTAAGTAGCAGTGATTATTGAGAAAAAGAGGAAAACTAACTCGAATTTTTGCAAAAGTGAGAACATCATCGCGCCGACGGTGTTCTCTGCTACGAGAACGACTGCGAGATTTGTGTCTGTCAAATGATCGAACTCGTTTTTCGTCACGTCTTCCTCTCTCGCTCTCCGGTTTTTTGCTCGTTGATTTTGTTGAACGTGCGTCCGATTCTTTTTCCTTGTCGTCCTTCTTTTCAGCGTCCTTATCCGTCTTCTTTTCTTCAGAATCTTCCACTTTCGCGTCTATTTTCTTAACACCTGCAAAAACATTTATATACAACTCATCTCATTTTCAAATTTCTTTATTAAACATATTTTTTATGAAAAAAGACTCTCTCAATTTGTTTATTTAAAAAAAAAAAATAATAATGAAAAAAAACAAGGTTGACATAAAAATTTGATTTTATTTTTCCCTGATTTCCAGACAGAACTTTTGACTTTGAAGAACAGAACTTTGACCCTATAGAATACTAAAATATTCTTTAGGGTCAGGGAAAAACTAATTAGAAAAAAATGTTTGTAATCTACATTTATTTTTAAATATCTTCAATTATTGAAAAATTATTCGAAACATCAAAATAATTGAATTCTTGCAAAATTTTTAGGCGAATTTACTTAAAATTGTATTGAAAATAATTCAATTTTTAAAAATTCTATTAAAATTCAAAAAGAAAATAATTGAATTCTTTCCAGAAATTTTATTAAAATTGTAACGAAAATAATTAAAATTCCTGCAAAGAATTTTATTAAATTTTTTGAAAATAATTGAATTGTTTTGAAGAATTTTATGAAAATTTAGTGAAAATAATTAAGTTCTTCCAAAAAATTTAATTGAAATTGTACTGAAATTGAATTCTTCTAAAGAATTTTACCAAAATTTTTAAAAATATTTACCAATTTCCGTTTCCTCAGACTCCTTTTTCTTCTCCTCTTTATTATCCTTCTTCTCAATGATATCCTGATGATTGTCTTTCAACTTTTCTTTCTCCTCCTTTGGTTTCTCCGATTTACTGCTATTCGAATCTCTCTTTCGCATATGACTCTGTTGAGAATCACCCTTTGCCTAATTAATAAAAATGAAAAAAAGTCGTAGTGATTTAAAAAAAAACCAAATAATTTTTTTTTCAATCACTTCGAAGAGAATTTTCTTTTTTCTTGTGAATTTGTACGTACCTTTTCTACCGATATAAATCGTCCATGAAGTTCAGTTCTATGCAAATGACTGATACATTTCGATGCATCCTCACTGCTTGACATTGTCACATAACCATAACAACGTGCTCCCGGTGTTCTTGCATTTGTCACAACTTTTGCTCCAATAACTTTTCCATACTTGGAAAATATTTGCTTTAAATCTGTCGCACGTGTTGTCGACGATAGTCCCGACACCCATAAATTTCGACTGCTCGCATTCGATGAATTTTGCGACGATTTTTTATCTGTAAAAGAAAGAAAAAAATTATTAAATCAAATAAATTCAAACTGTAATTTTTTAAATTCGAAATAATTAATTTCGTTAATTCGAAATTAATTTCGTTACGAGTTAAATTTTAAAGAAATGGATAAAAAAATTTGAATTATAAAATTAAAAATTAAATTAAGAATTAAAAATCAGAAAATAGAAAAAAGACAAAATTGAAAGTAAAGAATTAAAAAATTGTTACCTTTGTCATCTCGCTTTTGTCCTTTACCGATCGAATCTCCGCTGAAAATAGATAATTTATCAGTCTTTGGAGAAATAAAATAAAATTCTTTTTTCATTATACTGTCTGATGAAAAATAAAATTTTTAAACACTAATTAAGAGACTTAATAATTATCTCTGTAATTATGTTAAGCCCATAAATTTGGCTAGCAATTTTTTTTTTTATTCTCGTCTAAATTTGCTTCAACAAATTTTCTAACTATTTTTCTCTTTTATAACCTATTTGGTTGAAACACGAGTTTCTATATTTCTTTTTTTTCGTTAATTATTTTTGAAAAAATTTTTTTTTTCTTTATTGCAAGCAATTATCACGAATATCCTTAGAAATAAAAGTCAGTGGTCACTTAACGAAACATTTTTTTTTATAATATTTTATCAGCGTAAGTTGAATATCACACAATTTTTCTTCTCGAACACTTTTTTGGAGAAACAGTTGGCGCACTCGCTTTTTAGGTAGAATTTTCTTGTTTCATTTTTATATTTCGAGAATCACAGTCCAGTTGATAGGAATATTTTGTCACCGATCGGGATTCTGTTTTATACAGAATCTTCGATTCTTCATTATTTACACTATATAATAACCGGGTGAGATATTTACAAATTTGTCCTCTCTCTTCAGATTCTTTTTTTTATAATAATTAACGAAAATCCTCTTTTTTACCGGTTTTGTTATCTTTTTCTAAGTTAAGACAATATTTATTTATTCTAATATATGTAAATAGTCTATTTTATCTGGTTGGCACTAGTTTATAAAACTTTTCAAATATTCTATTCTAATTATTCTTTTAATATTTTTGTCTAAAATAATATATTTCTTAACAATTTATATTTTTTACCATTCGTTCTTATAAAGAACATGCAATGGAATAGATTGTTTACTTTTTTAAATTAAAATATTCTTTGTAAAAAATTTGTTAAAAAAAAGGTACAAAGAATAATTTTTTGGTAAAAAATTCGCAAAAAAAAATATTTTTTGTAAAAAGTTTCTAGAAAAATTACTAAATATTCTAATATTCGAAATATTTTTAAAGAAAAATTTAATATTCAATATATTTCTAAAAATTATTTCAATATTAAATATATTTGTAAAAATTATTTCAATATTCAAAATATTTATTAAAAAAAAATATTTAATGCATTCAAAATTATTTATACAATTTAATATTCAAAATTTACAAAAAATACCTTAGAATTCGAAATATTCTTAAAAACTATTTTTATATTTGAAATATTTAAAAAAACAATTTTTTATATTGAAAATATTAATAAAAAATACTTTAATACTCGAAATATTTTACACCTACTTACAATGAATGTAAAATATATTCTTTAAAAAAATATTTTCTTGTAAATATATGAAAAACATGAATTTATTTAGAAAATATTTTACTAATTTTGGAGAAAAGTTTTGTGAAATTGTAAATTTTGACAAAAACAGAAAAATATACGAATTTGTAAAAAATACTCGGACAATTCAATTACTTTCAAAATTTTCAATTAAATTTATTTAAAAAACTCCATTAGTTTATTTTTAAAAAATTCAATTATTTTCATGAATAATAAAATCCTTTGCAAAAAAACAAAATTGTCCAAAAATTTTAACAAATTCTTCAAAACAATTCAATTATTTTCATAAACTGTAAAATTTTTTATAAGAATTAAATTATTTTTATAAATAATAAAATTCTTCTGAGCAATTTATTCAATTATTTTCAGTAGAATTTTTACAAAATTTCTCACAAGAATTCAACTATTTTTTTGTTATAAATATAATAACATTCTTCGAAGGAAATCAAACACTTTTTTTAAAATTTCTATTAAAATTTTTAAATAATTAAAATTATTTTTCTTAAGAATTAAATTATTTTCATTACAATTTTAATAAAATTTCTCGCAACAATTAAATTATTTTTAAAAATATTAAAATTCTTCTTAAGAATTCAATTATTTTCAATGCAATTAAAATAATTGAATCCTTTTTTTGTGGAATTTTAATAAATTTTTCGAAACAATTCTATTATTTTTATAAATTGTAAAATTTTTCAATTCAATTATTTTTAATAATAATAAAATTCTTCTTAAGAATTCAATTATTTTGAATAGAATTTTAATACAATTTTAAAGATTCAATTATTTTTTAAATTTTTTACTAAAATTTTTAAAAAATAATTGAATTCTTTCGTGAAATTTTAATGAATTCTTTAAAACAATTCAATAATTATTTTTAAAAAATATTAATTAAATTCGATTATTTTCAAGAACTTTAATAAAAATTAAATTATTTTCAACAATTTTTATGAAATTCTTTTAAAAAATCATTATTTTCAAAATTTTTAATAAAATTCCTTCAAAAAATTCAATTATTTTCAAAAATTCAAATAAAATTATTCGAAACAATTCAATTATTTTTATAAATTGTATTTTTTAAAAAAATTCAATTATTTTCATAAATAATAAAATTCTTCGCGGAAATTCAATTATTTTTAATAATAATAATTAATATTGAAAAATAAATAATAATATCAAGTAATTTAATTCTTAATATTCCGAGTATTTTTTCTAAATACATATTTTTTTATGAATCTTACAAATGAAATATTATTTTTTTTTTTTTTTGATAATTTTACATTAAATAATATGTTTAATTTATTTTCAAAACTTTTTTCCATAAATTACGAATAATGTAATTTTTAATATTTTTTATCAACGTTAAATATTTTCTTTTCTGCATGACACTGCTTTTGGTAATTATTGACATGCTCATCTTTAAATGACTGCTTAACACTCTTAACTGAAAACAAAGAAAGTGAAAAATTTCCTTTACACTTTAAAAAAAAAATCATTTTTCACTTCCTTTCTCTCATCTTAAAAATATTAGAATCAGTATAAAGAAATGAAAAAAATTTCCTACCACCAGTGTCTTTTTTGAATTTCTATTTCTTTCCACTCTCATTAAAGTTTTTCCCGTTGAACTAATTTCAAACTAAAAAATTATTTCTCTCACCAGAAAAAATTCTTTTTAAGATAAAAATTTATTTTAAAAACAAAATGAAGAATTTTTTTTCAAATTTGAAATGGAGAATATTTTTCAGTTTGAAATGTCAGCGAAAAGTCTTTAAGAGAAACATTTTATAATTCTAATAAAAAAAAAGTATCAAAAGACTGCTAGCCAATTAGTTAGATCTTAACATACCTTTCCAGTGATAAAAATTATGTCCCCCGTTTTTCAAAAGGAAAAAAAAACAATACTGAAGATTACTCACTCCAGATTCTTTTTTTTTGTTGGAAATATTGAAAGAAAAAAAATAGGGAATAAAGTGAAATCTTGCTTGTGTGTTTGTGTGTGAGAAAGACTTTGATACAAAAACAAAGCGATCTTTGGAATCCGTGAGGTCCAAATCGTCATTGTAAATCCGGATGACGGAGAGAATATCCATTGTCGATTATTTATTTTTTGCGACAACATCGTCACAAGTTTTAAAACCACTGAGAGAACCGAGTTTTATTTTTTTTTTTTTTAGCAATGTGAGACCAACCTCTTGCCTCCTTCACCGGCGTCCTTGCTCTTGGTCCCGGCGCTTGCTCCAGTGCTCCCGTCCTTGTTGCTGGCGCTGCCATCCGGTCTACCGCTCCCTTTAGAGTCTCCCTTCTTGTTATCTTGGGTTCTCTTCCTCTCTCCCACTCCACCATCTGCAGGGACAATCAAGGTTTGCAAAAACTGTCACACACACACCCTTTGGAGAGCCAAAAATTGCTCGCTTTTTCTCTCCCTACAAAAAAACTGTATCTGTCACTATTTTGTTTCCAAAAAGAGCGCAGAACGAGTTTTTTTTTTAAAAATCCGTTTTCCTATGGCTCAGCTAATTATTCTTCTCGGAAAGGTTTTAACGTATAACTGTTGACAAGAAGAGAAACAACAAAGGGAAAATCGGTACACGGTTTTCGTCCGCAGGTTTTTGATTTGTTTTTTCAATGATGACTCGTTTTTTCAATGGTAGGTTGAAGATTTTTTTTTTTTTTTTTTATAACATCGAAAAATGATGCTGAAAACATTGCTGTCTTGATTGATGTGAGAGACTTGGAGATTAAAAAAAGATGATGCGTTGAAGATTGAGAAAAAATTATGCGTCTTCAGATAAAAAATTCGCTGTTGTGAGTTGATCCAACGATGCTCTAGGCGGCAGGTAGAATTAATGTAATTTGCATATGAAAATCTAAACGATAACTAAACTTAAAGACTAAATAATTGTTTTCTGTTTTTTTTTTTTTTTTTTTTTTTGTTTCCTGTACTGAAAAAGTAATTTTTTTTTATCCCTGTGATTGAAGTCCTGATAGAGAAAAGAATTTGGAAGACGATTTCGGGGATGTCGATTACTTTGGAGATGATGTCGATCACAGCTTTCCACATTTGTGTCAATGGGCCTCTCGGAAACCTCCCAATTCTCCAGCTGTGGGCACAGACTCCTCGAACCAGATTGGATTGAAGTAATGACGAAAGAAGAAAAATTTTGGCTCCTTTTCTCATTTACCTCGAGGCAGTTTTCACAAGAAAAAAGTTTTGTGAAAGCGTTTCTATTGTTTCTTTTTTCCTTTATACATAGAGAAATTCTAACACTACGCTTACAAACTAAAATTATCAACACGTGTAATTAAAATTTTCAAGTGAGAGACTTACCCTTCTGCCTATCTGGCGTCTCAGTCTGAAAAATAAAAAGAGAAAAATTTACAAATATTCGTAAAGGAAGCAAAAAACTAATTAGTAGATTTTGCACTCGTCAATTAATTTAAAAAAGTAGCTTTAAGACTGAAAAGAAGTGATAAAAAACTATCGGTAGTCTTAAGCATTTTTCTAGTCATTTTTTAATTTTAATTTACTTAATCAATTAATTTAATTTTAATTTAACTTAAATTTTCCAATTTAGTTATTTACGTTTGTTTTTTTTGTTTTCTAATATTTTTGACAATTTTTCTTTTTAAAATAAATAAAATTCTAATTCTAATTCGCAAAAATTCAATTATTTTCATAAATAATAACATTCTTCGGAAGAATTCAATTATTTTTATAAATAGTAAAATTTTTTACCAAAATTCAATTAAGTTCTAAAATTTTAATAAATCCTTCGAAAAAAATTCAATTATTTTTTTAAATAGTAAAATCTTTGCAAAAATTAAATTATTTTCAATAAAATTTCAAGAAAGAATTCAATTTTTTTAACTCGTTATAAAATTTTTCAAAAGAATTCAATTATTTTCTATAATCAAATTTTTAATTATAGTTATAAACAGACACGATTATTTTAAGGAAATTTTTCAAAAGAATTTAATTATTTACTGAAACTTTAATAAAATTGTTTAAAAGAGTTTAATTTTCTATCAGTAATTGTAATAAAATTTTTATAGTGAAATTATTAATTACAATAATTAACAAAATCGATTACATTGAAAAAATTAAAGAAATTTTTTAAAAGGATTTAATTATTTTCTATATTTTAATAAAATTCCTTAAATGAATTAAATTATTTTAGAAAATTGTTACAAAATTCTGAGAAAAATTTTACTATTTTCTAAAAATTTTAATAAAATTCAATAATAAAAAAATTCAATAGCTTAACAATAACAATTTCTAAATAGAGTGATTAGTGTTTTACTGAAATTAATTCCCCTAGAATTTTGAAAATAATCGCATTTTTACAGGACTGTAAAGTAAGGAAATTTTATCAAAAAAAATATCAAATTATTCAAAATCTTAAATAGTGTATGAATTTTGTTTTTCAAATTAAAAAAAATTCATAAGTAGAATTACAGTTGCAATTATTAGAAAAAATCAAATTATTTTCATTTATTATAATAATTTAATTCTCGCACAACTTTTTGATAAGAATTGATTTTTAAAAAAAATGTAAGTTCAAATTTTAGAAAATATTTCAAGAATTGGAAGAATTGTAGTTCTAATTTCAATTAAATTTCAAAACGTTTTACATTGAAAGTATTTTAAAATTTTAATTTCTGATAGAAAAAGAAATAACAAATATTCAAATATTTATTAAACAAAAATTAAAAAATTCAATTTAGAAATTCTCAAATAGTGAGGTTATTTAAAAAAAAATCGTAATTAAAATTCTTTTAAAAATAGTTGAATTCCCAAAAATAATTTTTAAAAAATTAAAAATATGGAATTTTCTCAAATTTAATTAAAATAAATTTTATTTTCTTGCTTATTAAAAAATAATTTTTAAATATTATTGTATTTTTTTGAAAAATTGTTAACAAAAAATTTGGAAAATAATTAAATTTTACAAAACTTTCTGTATTTAAATAATTCAATTATCGTTGAATTCTAATAAAAATTGATTTAAACTTTTAGACTGGCCGGGGTTTGATCAACTTATTTAGACATATTATATTTACAAATATTACGACTGTATGTGAAGTATATCCGGTGCTAATATCCAAACTAACATAGAACCTATAATTAGGTTTTCCTGCAGTCTAACGGTTAAAAAAGAATTTCGCAGATAAAATTTTGGAAAATAATTGAATATTAGAAGCGTTATAACTGGAATTTTAAGAAATAATAAAATTTTAAAAACTTTCTAAATTTAAATATTTATTTAGAAAAAATTATTAATATATTATTTTCCTTTAAAAATTATTGAAGTTTTAAATAATTTTATTCAAAACGCGAATTTAATTATTTAAATACAAAAAGTAAATAATTGACCTAGAATAATTAATTATTTCTAAAACTTGCAACAAACTTTATATTGTTTTAATTTTAAATTTATTTAAAGGACCTTAATTGTATAAATAATTTTAAAAATTTATAAGTTGAGAAAGAAAATTGAAAGACAATTTGTCGCTTTTCTATTTACTAAATAGTAGTAAATCGTAAGAAAAATAGTAAATAATAGTAAGTTTTAGTAAATGAGTGCAAAGCCTGAAAATTGTGATTACTTTTAAAAAATTAAGTATTCAATTGAAAATATTAAATTACCTCCTCGGCAAGGAGATTTTCCTCATCTTCTCCAATAGTGAGATTAATCGAGTCCTCGTTGTCAATGCCATTTGTTTCAGCAGTCGTTGTTGATTCCGTATTTTGTGACGATTCTTTATTATTCAAAATTTTTGGTTCCTCCTTCAAAATTACTTGGACCTTTTTCTCCTCCTCTTCTTTTATTTGCACTTTTTTCTCCTCGACTTCGCATTTTATGTCATTTTGAGATACATCTGTATCATTCATCTCTTCGTCTTTAACTTCATCTTTGACTGCTGCCTAAAATAATAGAAAAAATATTTTTCTGATTACATTTTTGAATTGTTTTTTATTGTTTATTATTATTAATTATTGTGATACGCTGATTCCGAATGGAATTTTTTATATTCTCACAAAAAATGAGAAGGTCTTGTTTTTAATCAAATTTATTCTTTTTTTCAGAGCGTGTCACACAATTAAAAATTTAGAAATATATAATATAAAAATTACATCAACTTCAGTTTTTATATTTTCATCAGTAATTTCCGCACTAGTTTCTTCAATGCCTTCTGAACTCTCAGAAACTTCGACTTTTATGTCCGATGTGTCCATTTGCTCCTCTTGACTTTGTGCACCTGTTCCTTAAAAATAAGAAACAAAAAATGTTAATAAAATTTTCAAGGAGATAAAATTTTGCAAAAAGACAATTTTATTCGAGGGAAAAATTATTTATTGTAAGTTACCACTATTTTTTCTTCCGGATTTATTTAGTGCATTTGGAACTATTAAATAATCATCAGGATTATGACCCTCCTCTGCAATAACCTGCAAAAAACAATTTAAATTTAATTTTATTCGTTCTAAAATTTAATTAACAATTCATCGGGGGGGAAATTAAATCCAGAGACAATTTTTTTCCATACAAATGAAGAATTTCTTTCAAGTTTTCTAAAATAATCGTGTTTTTTAATAATTGAAATTAAACATTTCATTAAATTCAATTTTATTAAAATTTTTAGAAAATAATTAAATTCTTCTCAGAATTTTATTATAATTTTTTTTAAATAATTTATTTCTTTTAAGAAAGTTTATTAAAAACTAGAAAATAATTGAATTTTCTCGAAGAATAAATACGAGATTTTGACAATAATTGAATTCATTACAAAAATTTCTTTAATTTTTAAAATATAATCGATTTTTAAATAATTGTAATAAACAATTTTACTTTTAATTTTTTTTAAATTATTGACAGAGAATTAAATTCTTTTAAACAATTTTATTAGAATTTTTACAAATCATTAAAATCATTTGAAGAATTTCTTAAAGTTTTTTGAAAATAATGTAGTTTTCCTAAAAATTTTAATTGATTTAATAACAAAATTTTAGAATATAATTGAATTCTTTCGAACAATTTTATTAAAAATTTAAAAAAAAACAATTCAATTTTCTTGTGAAATTTTACTAAAATTGTATTCAAAATAATTGAATTCCTGCAAAGAATTTTATCAAAACAATGGAAAATAATTGAATTCCTTCGTAAAATGTTATAAATTAAATTATTTAAAATGTTTAAATTATTTTAAATTAAAAAATTTAAATTTTTAAAAATCGTAATTAAATTTTTTTGAAGAATTTCTTTGAATTTTTTTCAAATAATGGAGTTGAAAGTAATTGAATTTTATTAAGAATTTCTATCAAGTTTTTAAAATAATTGTGTTTCTTAATAATTGAAGTTAAATATTTGAATTTTGATTAAAATTTTTGTAAATATGTAATTGAATTCTTTTCAGAATTTTATAACAATTTTCTAAAATAATTAATTTTATTCAATGAATTTTATTAAAATAATGAAAATAATTGAATTCCTTGCAAAGAATTTTATTATTTATGAAGATAACTGAATTCTTACAAAGAATTTTAAAATTTACAAAAATAATTGAAATGTTTAGAAGAATTTATTAAAATTTTAGAATATAATTGAATTCTCTGGAATAATTTTATTAAAAATTTAAATAATAATTGAATCCTCTCGTGAAATTTTATTACAATTTTTTAAAATAATTTATTTCATTCAATGAATTTTATTAAAATATTGAAAATAATTGAATTGAAGAATTTTATTAAAATTATTAAAATAAGGTTAAATTAATTTAAGTTTTCTAATAAATAATGATTTAATACATCCGTTACCAAGCAATTATTATCCAAAAAATATTCAATTGTTAAAATAACGGAATTTTGAAATAAAATATTCGCAACTAATGAACGAAAACAGAGTAAAATGTAAAAACCATATAAACGAAAATTCGTAAATAAAATTAGCTTTCGTGGCAGAAAAAGAACGAATATCAGAGTAATAGAAAATAAATTTTATTACTGATAAGCATAATTGCCAATGTCATCAGTTTTTATTCCCCGAACAATATTTTAACTTACAGTTTGAAAAAAATAAGAAAATAAGAAAATAAGAAAAATTTCAAAAATACCAATCGAATGAAATATGATAAATTTAAAATGTGCACAATCGACAGTAAATTGAAGTCATTGAAGATGCTATTATAAAATTAGGATCAATAAGGTTAAAATGGCGTCAAGTCCCACCAACCCATCATAAATATGCCAAATGAAACAAATTTTTAATTTCTTCTTGATATTAAAGATAAATTAAAGAAAAAAAATTACCTTTGATAGTCGTTCTAAAAGAGCGGCTTTATTTCCAGTTTTATCAAGGCCCCGTCGTTCGAGTTCATTTTTAAGATCTATAACACGAAGCTCGGTTAATCTTTTGCCTTCTGTGTCGGCCATTGTTAATCTACAGGGGCAAATTGGCGAATTCCAATGTCCGATTGAAATAACTACAATAGACGTTGCACAATTTACTGCTTATTCTTTGATACTTTATATTAAGAACAATCGATTATTATTTAACAACATAACAAATAACACTAATTTGTGTCGGAAATATATGTTATTAAAATTTTTTTTCAAGACAAATAACCACGCACCAAGGGAAAAAAAGCAGAAACTAAACTGCTAGAACCGGAAACGAAACACGGTTCTCTTTTGCCTGTCAATAATACCAACATTGTAAATTATACAATATCCGGAATAATACTGTTTGTTTATTTTAAAATACATTTTCTCACTTATTTTTAAAGAGAAAAACTAATTATTCGATTTTTAATTTTAATATTATTGTGGAAAGAGAAAATTTAGATAAAATTAGCAATTATTAATTTTCTATTTTAATTTGCTGACTTCGGAAATAGTGGGGGCGTAATTTTGACGTGGACACCACCAGGTGGCTCTGAAAATTGTGCTACAGAAAGAAAGTCGAACGACTGTGTTGCCTATAGTCTATGACAATACCGATCGAACCATTTTTGAGGTTATGTTCAATTTAAAAATAAATACACGTGCCAAAATAATGTTATAAACATTAACATAATTTAGAGAAATTAAACATTATGGATGCTTACGATATATTTAAAACATTATCAGCAGGAGCGAAGTTTAATTTGAAACGTTTTCAAAGTGATGCCGAAAGATTTTCCGTAAGTTCTATTAGATAAATTATTTCTCAACTGTTGTCTATTTACCTAACTAACGTTTAAAAATGAAAAAAAAAATTATTTTCTAATAAGTTAATATAATAAAATTATAATTATTATCAAATTTTTCTACTTTCTAGTTTATAAACGTAATTTTTGTATTTTAAATTAATTGTATACTTTTTTTTATAAATCTTTTTCTATAAATATTTCTATTTACTCCAATTTTTTCATCTACATCTTTCTGTATTGCTAATAACATTTTTCTTTTTATTTTAATTTTTTCTTCTACAGTTAATAAGGAAACCAGTGAAAGAAGAGAAGGTTGAAATTAAAGTTGAACCTTTAGATTCTATTGCTGATAATTTAGAATTTTCTACTAAAAGAAAACGTGACGATGATGATAATGATAATGATGATACAGTTGAAGACGAAAATGTTTTAACATTTTATGAAGGTCTAAAAGCATCAAAAGATGGAAAAATTATCAAGAAAAATAAAAAGCAGAAAATTCTTACTGATGAGGAGATATTGGAGAAACAAAAGAGGCAGGAAAGAGAAAAGGTAAATTAATAATTTTGTTTGCCTTATAAACTATAAAATTACCACGAATTCTAATATAAAACCTTTAATTTGTCCTATTTCTGAAAATAATTTCTTTTTTAAAAATTTAATTCTCGAAGAACTATCATAAAATTATTACTTAGAAATTATTTAATCAATAATTTTATTTAAATATTGCAAAATTAATTAAATTTTGGAGAAGTTACAAATTATTGCAGAAATTCAATTATTTTCAAAAGTAATAAAATTCTTCGCAGAAATTTAATTATTTTCATAAAGAATAAAAAATTCTCCGAAATTGAATTATTTTCAAAAATTTCAATAAAATTCTTGGCAAAATTTTTATTATTTTCTAAAATTTTCTTCAATTCAATGTTACTATTTTAATAAAATTGTCCAAAAGTATTCAATTATTTACAAATTTAATATAAATTTCTTCTCAATAATTTAATCATTTTCATAAATAATAACATTTTTACAGGTATTTAATTATTTAAAATGCAATTTCCATTGTAATTTTTTTAGAAAAAATCAATTAATGATGAAATATTTATTCAAAAAGGAACTTATTGATGTTTTGGAATAATTTCACAATTAAAAGAATTCGTAAACAAATGTAACAGAACATTTTTTTTTATTATCTAATAATTTTTAGAGTGAATCAGAATAATTCTTTAGGTTCTGGAAAAAAGTCAAAATTTTGTCTGGAAGTCGGAAAAAACAAAATTATATTTTTATTACAACCCTGTTTTTTTCGATTAAAAAATTACAATTCTTGAAATTTTTAGATAAATTCGTTTAGAAAACAAAATCGAATATCAATTATTGGACACGATGTACCGAATCCAATAGAAAAATTCGAACATTTATCGACTGTTTATAAAGTCGGTGGTGATTTATTAAAAAATATGACAAATTCCGGATATAAGGAACCAACGCCGATTCAAATGCAAGCAATTCCTGTTATGTTGGAGGTAATTGGGTTTATTTTTTATCGAATATTAATATATTCATTTCTTAGATTTATTTATTATTTTGTAGTTTTCATTTTTTATTTAAATTTATTTATTCGGTAGATTTATTTGGTATTTATTTAATTTTTGTTTATACAATTTTGGTATTTATGTAATTTTGGTAATTATTTAATATTTAATAAAGAATATTTCTTTCAGGGAAAGCAAATATTAGCTTGTGCTCCAACGGGTTCAGGAAAAACTGCCGCCTTTTTATTTCCAATTCTTCATCAATTAGGTGGACCACAGAAGAAAGGATTTCGTGCCGTTATTCTCAGTCCCACTAGGGAATTAGCCAAACAAACGTACAGAGAGTGTATGAAAATTAGCGAAGGTCGCGATTTTCGAGTTCACATTATTAGTAAAATTAATAAAGCACTCTCTCAATATGGACCAAAGAGTTCAAATAAATTCGGTCAGTTTTTTCCTTTTTTATTTCATTAAATAAAAATAATTAAAAACTGTAGTTAAAATATCAAATATTTATTTATTTCAATTCGATTGAAATAAATATTCAATATTTTAATTGTTAAATTTTTGTTTAGATATATTAATCACGACGCCAAAACGATTGATGTTTCTTCTAAATCAAGACCCACCGGCTATTTCACTAAACAAGTAAATAAATTTATCCTAAATGGATTTTTCTTTATAAGCCAATTTAAAAAACTTAATATTAATTGTATAATAATATTATTTTTTTTCTGATGTAATAATAATATTTATTTTTTTTTACATTCAAACAGCGTCGAATGGTTGATTGTCGACGAGGCAGATAAAATGTTCGAAGATGGAACAAGAAGTTTTCGTGATCAATTGAGTGCAATTTCGAAAGCTTGCTCGAATCCAAAACTTCGACAGGCGATGTTCAGCGCAACGCAAACGCCAGCAGTTACCAAATGGTGTAGAAAAAATCTCAAGAGTTGGATTTCTGTAATGATCGGTTTAAGGTAATTTCAATAATAATATCTCGATTGTTGTTATCTAATAATAACGATTTTTTCGATTTTGCAAATTATTTAGAAATGCCGCAACTGATCTTATCGATCAAGAATTATTGTACGTTGGAAGTGAAGATGGAAAATTAATGGCACTACGAAATATAATTCAAAAGGTAATTTAGTCTAAAATTTTGCAAAAAACATAAAAAGAAAATTTATGCTAATTCTAATTTTTTAAACATAGGGAATAACGCCGCCAGTTTTGATTTTCGTTCAGAGTAAAGACAGAGCTCAAGAATTATTTAATGAACTTATTTACGATGGAATTAATGTCGATGTTATACACGCCGACAGAACCCAAACGCAGGTGAATTATTTTAATTATTTCAATTTTAGTTTTATTATTTTCATTTCCAATTTGTACTTTTCTTCAATGTTTTTGAAATTTCTAGTTCTAATTTTCAAAAATTAATCTTTTTAGAGAGATAATGTTGTCAGATGCTTTCGAGAGGGAAAAATTTGGTTTCTCGTGTGCACGGAATTGATGAGTCGGGGAATTGATTTCAAGGGTGTGAGTCTAGTAATTAATTTCGATTTTCCACCTTCTGGAATTTCGTACATTCATCGAATTGGAAGAACTGGTCGAGCTGGTAACAAAGGAAAAGCCATCACATTCTTCACACAAAACGATACCGTCAATTTAAGAAGGTTTCAATTTTTTCGTACAGTCAATTTGTCAAGAAATTAAAAGAAAATTTGTCCTACAATATTTTAAAGAATTTTTTCCTTGTGATAAATTTTATTTCCCAATTTTTACAGTATCGCCGAGGTGATGCGAGATTCAGGCTGTGAAGTTCCCGAATACATGTTGGAAGTGAAGAAATACAATAGAAAAACTGTCAAGAAATTAGAGCACGTGGCTCCTAAACGAAAAACAATATCAACCAGACTCAAGCATAAAAGAAGATTTAAGAACGAAAATAATGATTCCTCCAAAGGTAAGCAAAAGAATAGAAAATTCGACGAAAAGAAACAAATAAATAAATCTCCAAATGAAGCTAATAATCAAGAAACAGTTAAAAAAGGAAAAAGTGAAAATAAAAAAGAGAAAAAAACAAAAGACGAAACATCTAAAAGTCGAGGGAAAAAAAATTCCCCTAAACAAAAAAAGAAAAAATCAAACGAAAATGTTCGAGAAACATTTAATGGAAAGAAACAAAAGGCGAAAATTGCCAAAAAGACAAATATACTTTTAGCGAAAAAAGTAAAGGCGAAAAAAGGAACTAAAACATAAATTACAAAGACTCAATTTTTAAAACATTATTGTATGTATTTTCACGAAACAATTACGATTTTTGTAAAAAAAAATTCATATATAAATCTGTTTTTCATAAACTAAAAAAATCTCTTAATCCTGCTTTCATAAATATTGCAAATCATCCTAATATTATTTTTTACATTAACGATTATAATTTTATTATATTATTATATGTATATAATTATCGTAGACTAGAAAAAAGCCAATTTACATAATTCGTCATTGACTCGTCAAAATTAATTTAAAAAAACAAACAACTTTTTAACATTGAGCATTACCTTAGGCGCGTTTATAAACAATGAAAGCATTCATTATAAACAAATACAAATTTCACAAAAATCCAAGCGAAATCTTATAAAATATAAAGAAAAAAATCCAGTCTAGTAAAATAGATAGAAAAAAAAATCTGTTAATAATAAACTTAAACATAAAAATAGTTTTTAGTCTTATGAATTTCTCACGCTCCGACTCAAGTTTTTCGAAAATAAATTTTTTTTTTTTTTTTATAAATCACTCAAAATTCTTTTGTAATTTTGCAAAACAAAAATTCGTAGGTCCTACAAATGGATAAAATTAAAAATCGTACAATTAAAAACAAATTGTAGTATTTATAAAAATGTATGTACATTTAAATGAAAATAAGTCTTTTTTTGAATTATAAAATATAAAATTGTTAAAAATTAGTAATAGATTAATTATGTTTCGCATAACCAGTCGCAGGGCAATTTTGGCATTTTACTGGCGGGCCAGGGAAGATAACCAGCTGTTTTAAAAACCCAATAATCGTAGGAAACTTTGGTCACAAGAACAATTAACATTATCACTTCTGTTGCGATAATATAATAAATATAATCAGTCCAATCGCCTGGATAAACGCACATTTTCGCTGGTTCCAGGTCGACCACTTTCTCCTTTACATTCTCGCAGAGAACTTCATCGTAGTCCAAAATTCGACTTTGTAGCCACACCTTTGAAAAAAAAGATGAAATTTTCCTATTAGTACACTAATTTGATTGAATTTAAATGAATAAATTAAATTTAAATAAGTAAATTAAATTAAAATAAAGGATTAAAAAATAATACGAAAATTCAATTTTTTATAATAATTGTAACTGTCCATGTTTTTTTTTTAAATTATTAAAGTATTTTCAAAAAATTATAATAAAGAATTGCTTAAAATAAATTTTTTATAAATATTTTTAAATAATTTTTTATAGATATAATTGTTTTTCAATTAAATACAATTGAAAAATTTCCCAACAATTGAAAATTGTTTAATCTTTTAAATTAATTAAATTTTGGAAAAATATGAAGAAAAATAATCAAATTTTTGAAGAATTTAAATTTTTAAATTAAAACTTAATTATAAATAATATGAAAATGATTTCTTCGAAATTTTAATAAATCTAAAAAAGTTAGTTCCAACAACTTTTAATTTACTTTGTTTAAAGATAATCGAATCTTAAAAAATTAAATGATAAAATAATTCTACGACTTAGTTTTTTAAAAATATTATAATGTAAGTTTTCGAAAATAATATACGAGGCCTGCAAAGAAATTAATTTTAGAATAATAAAAAAATGAAAATAAAATTAAAAAAATCGAATTTAAAAATAAAATGAAAAGCAGATAAAAAATAAATTACAAAATATTGAAAAATGAATTAAAATCGAAATTATAATGATTCGTGTAAATGTTGACGAACCTTCAAATATTTGGCGGTATTGCAATCACAGAGTAATTCATTTCCTCCAAATTTCACAAGTCTATTGCTAACGAAACTCTTGTCGTGTGCGTTTGGCGCTAAAATGTACGTTGGAAGCTGGAAAAGAAAATTAATTTTTAATTTATTTATCTTAGAAAAATGAAAAAAAAAATTAATACAAAAAAAGACGAAAATTGAAGAAAAATTACCGATTTAATTTTATTGTATCGCAAACTTAAAAGAGCGAAATTATCTAGAAATTTAGAACCCTCCAATTTATTAATCGACGAGATATTATTGTGATCAGCGTAAAATTCACGAATGTCTTCGTAACATGGATTTGTACTCAAGTCATCTAAAACGGTGATCTAAAAATTTTCAGAAAAAGAAAAATGATTAAAAATTACATTCTTTTTTTTATTATCAAAATTTGAATTTTGATTTTCTTTTTCTTTTCTAAACTTACGTTGTTGTAGGAAACATTCAAGGCTATTGTATTACGTGGTAATTTTTCCGGCAATTCTGTTAACTGAATACCACCGCAATCAACATTTACGGCTAAGGTCGGAGGTTTGCCTTCGACAATATCCATCCTTCGAAAATTACACTGACATTGCCAATTTTCTCCTTTCGGACATTCAGTTTGCAGCTGATAAAAGAAAAATTAATTAATTGATTAAAATATTTATTTTCGTCAATTTCTTTTTGTAAATAATTGTTAGTATTCTTTTCATTCTAATTTGTATTAAAATAGTATTAATATGGTTTAATGCCAAGGCACAAATGGAATAACTACAATTTACTGATTTTTTTTATCAGAAAGAAAAAAAGGAAGAATTAGTAAAGATTTTTCTTCTCTAAATTAATTTAATTAATTTTTAATTATTTTAATAATTTCTCCGGAATCAAGATTTTTAATAATAACATTTAATTCAGACATTTCTATTGAAATTAAAAATTTTGTTTTGTTTCAGATAATTTAATTTTCAAAAAAATTTCGGGAAATTATTCTAAATATTTGACTTAAAATAAATTTAGTTAAACATTTTTTAAAATAAATAATTGAATATTTGAAAAAATGTAGTTGAAATTCAATTATTTTCATTAATAATAGAATATTCACAGAAATTTAATGATTTTAAGATACAATTTTTATTTAATTTTTTAGAAAAAAAAAATTATTTAAAAAAATTTTTATAAAATTATTCGCGGAAATATAATTATTTTTAATGCAATTTCAATAAAATCTCTTGAAAGAATTCAATTATTTTCAAAAAGTTGAATTCTATTCTTCGCAGAAATTTAATTATTTCAAAAAAATTTTAATAAAATTCTACATTTAAATAAATGAATATTTGAAAAATTGTACATAGTTGAAATTTCGTTTAAAAAATTAAATTTCAAAAAGGTTTTTAATCAAAATTTTTGCAAAATTCAAACTGAATAATTTTTATAAAAGATTCTGAAGAATTTAGTTTTTAGAAAATTTTTAATTCCAATTATTTTATTTAATATTTAAATAAATCCAATATTTTGATTGAAAAATTTTCAAACAATTAGAAATTTCTTAAAGTTAAGTTGAAAACAATATTGAATTGAGAAAAATTGAATACAAACTTTACGTCTTTTTTTCTTCAATAATAACGTAGAGTGTTTTCAGGACCTTAATTTTTGTCAAATAAAATTGTTTATATTGTGGCCTTGGGTCCAAGGCCACAATATAAACAATTTTATTTCTTCAATAATTAAATTTCCAAAGAAATTTCTAGAAATTATTAAAAATAATTTATTTAGAGAAGAATTTTAATTGGAAATTATTTTAAAATTAATTTTTAAATAATTTTAATTTATTTGCATGATTTCCAATTGTTAATTACAATTTTTTGTTACAAAATGCTCATTTTTTTTTTTTTTTTTGAAAAAAAAGAAAAAACTTAATTGAATTCATTCGAAGAATTTTATTACTTATGAAAATAATAATTTAATTCTTGTATTAAAATTTTTGAAAATTCTAATTAAATTTTTTTGAAGAATTTCTTTGAATCTTTTTCAAATAATAGAATTTTTTTTAATGATTTTAACTAAAAATTAAATATTTGATTATTGAATTTTATTAAAATTGTATCTGAAAATAATTGAATTCCGGAGAATAATTTTATTATTTATAAAATTAATTTAATTCTTTTGAAGAATTTTACAATTAATAAAAACAATTGAATTTGTTTGAAGAAATTATTAAAAGTTTAGAAATCAATTGAGTTCTTTTGAATAATTCCGAGATTATTAAAATTAGAAAAATAAATTAATAAAGTTTATAAAATAGAGTTAATAAGTTAATATTAAAAAAAAAAATTGTTGATATAATACTTGAGCTCTACGTACCAAACTCAAATATCGCACTTGTTTTAATGGAACCTGTTCGGTTGTATTGAACCAATGCCAAGTTTTACTTGCCGAGCAAACAGTATCATTTTCTCTGTTAAAATTAATTTGTTTCTCTCCAGTTTTATTGATATACTGATAGATATCGTGACACCAAAGAGTATTTGTTCCTGAAAAATAGAAAATGATGATTTTTTTCAAAATTCTCAATGGAAAAGTATAAAGAAAATTAATATTTTTTTTTCTTTCCCTGAATTTATTATATATTTAATTTTACCTGAAATGTCGAGCCAAAATTCACGACCATTCATGGTGTTGAGAGCGGGAAGATGTGTTAAATTATTGTAGGATAAATCGAGTGTCGTCAGTTGAGCCAATCGTGTTAAAGAATTATTCTCCATTTCAATGAGGCCATTATTAGAAAGATTAAGGCACAAAATTGGTGTCATCATTAAAAATTGACCCTTCACACGATTTATTTTACCATCAGTGACAGCTAAAGACTTTAATCTTCTCCATCGCACTTCGCTTGCGTTGAACACATCTAAAGTGGAGTTTCTTATGTGAATATAAGAGACATTCATTGGAAAATCTAAAAGGAGAAAAGGAAAAAATATTATTATCCCAGGCTTCACAATCAATAAAACCAAATTTATTGAACTATCTTTACGATTTGATACTATTTTAATACTCTTTTAGATTTTTGACACTAAAAACTATTTTTTTTTTTTTTTGAGAAATAAAATAAATTTGAAATATAAAATTATTCTCAATCGTCTAAAACGAGTTCTTTAAGTCGTTAAATTTAATTTTTCAATATCTACTATTTTTTTTACTACTTTTTTTAATTCCTAATTTTTGTCAATAAATATTAATTATTAAAAAATATTACAATAAGAAAATATAGATTTATAATAAATATTTGAATTTATCACTCGGTCGCCTTAGTTGAAATATAAATTGATAAAATATTTTTCTCTTATCAGAAAAGTGAAAAATTTGGAAAATTTCTAACTTGAACACGCCAGTCCATCTTCGAATGCTTTATAATTATTGAGATTGCAGCATAGGACAGCATTTTCCTCGAGATTCGCGTGTGAGAGTGTAATTCTTTTGCAGGAACATTCTCCGGAATTTACTGATGGGCATTCAGTTGGTTGTTGATAGAAACAATGCTCGTGAAGAACCTCCTCAGGAATTGGACTCGGCGGTGGTGTTGAGGCCTGATTTGTAGACGATGCCTGATCCTCTTCTGTTCGTGCTCTTGCCACTCCGGCGTAAAAGCATATCATTATCGTCAGCCACTGCATCTGAAATTAAAAAAAATATTTACATTCAAAATAATTGAATTCCTGGGAAGAATTTTATTATTTATCTACAAAATTAATTTAATTCTAATGAAGAATTTTACAATTAATAGAACAATAATTGAATTGTTTCCAACAATTTATTAAAAATTCTAGAAAATAATTAAATTATTCTCATAATTTTAGTCGATTTGCTCACAATTTTCTACATTTAAAAAATTAATTTTCTCTAAAAAATAAAAATTTGCAATTCAATTTGAATTCAATGACGATGAGAAAATAATATATTTTCGAATTTTGGAATAGTTCCAAAAGAAAAATATGTAAGGTTTCTTTCATGAAACGGAAGTTAGCGAATGGATGAAGTAAAAACAAAAATTAAATTAATTTCTCTATGAACATTGAAGGAAATGAATATAGTAATGAAAGAAAAATAAAATAAAAATACTACAGAATGAGACGAGAGCAAAATTAATGAAATTATTAACTTTAATATAATTCCCAGAAAATGTAAATTACTCTAATTCTACAACTTTCATTATTATTAGTGATAATGTTCGTAGGCAGTCATCGTTACAATTGACCCAGTTTCTACAAATGTGTACTAAAAAAATTTTTTTTTTTTATCCAATTTGAAGAAAAAAAATTAAATACAAAATCAGCGAAAAATATTTCTTCTATGTATTGATTTGGAGATTTTCATTCAACTTCTCGATTCATATGCAAAAATAGATTATAGGTATTGTGTCACATATTCGCCGTCCACAAATGTAAAATTAATTCAGCAAAAAAACGCTGTCTCATGACCTTTAATTCTCACATTTAATAGAATTAACTTTCCTTCTCATTAGAACAATAAAATTAATTATTAGAATCGGAAATTCAAAAATAAAATATTTGAAATATTTAATTGAGACAAATTTTTTATTTTATACCGAAAATTAATTGAATTCGTTTTTTTTTCTCTGTTTCCTTTTTTTTATTATAATTATAGAATATGGGAAATAAAATTTGTTTGTCGACTTAAAACTACGTTACGAAAGGAGTGGCTCCTTCAAGGTCTATAATTACGACGTTATAAATTTGATATCACGAAGGTGTCTTTCCTTACAAATAGGCGTAAAAATCAAATTAAGCGAAATTAATTCCATTCTATACTTTGTCTTTTTTATTGCAGCAAATGAATAAATTATACTATTTTTTCGGAAATCTTTTTACTACAATTGCCAAAATGTTTATTTAGATTTCTTGCAATTATTTTTATTATTATTATTAAATATTATTAATTATTGTTTTCATTATATTCTTCGCTAAATTATTTTTTGTTTTCAAAAATAAATTTCAATTTTTGAATAATTCCAGATTCAAAATTATTTTCAAAGATAAATTTTAATTTTTGAATAATTCCAGATTCAAAATAATTGAATTTAATTATTTTTTTAATTTTTAATAAAATTTTCCGAAAGAACTCAATTATTTTCTAAAATTTTAACAAATTCTTGGAAAGAATTCAATTATTTTTCATTTTCTGATAAGTTCAATTATTTGCAAAACAATTTTAATAAAATTTCACGAAAAGATTTTTTTTTTCATTTTTAATAAAATTTTTCGAAAGAATTCAATTATTTTCCAGAATTTTAATAAATAGATTTTAAAATTGAAAATATAAAATTGGCGTTTAAAATTTTTGTTGGATTATTTCAAAGTTTGCTAAATAATAACATTAATTAAGAGAAAGTTTTTTTCGAGGATTTAATCGGAATAAAATAAAACAGACGAGTCTATAGTAAATTGATAAAAGATAATAGCCATCCTTCAAAGAATTTTTAAAAGTCTTTTATTAGCCACCCTTGAGTCTCAAATCAAGAATCGTTTCTGCGAGATAACTTAAATGCAAAAGTGTTGTAGTTGAAGAGTTCTTTGAGATAGAACTGGTCCCATGAATAAATTTTAGTAGTTAATTAAACTTTATTCTCCACCCTTTTTTTTTGTACAAAAAAAAATAATAAAACTGAATTCAATACAATTTTATAATTTTTTTCTAAATAAATAAATAAATAGAAAAAGAACTTTTCTCCAGTTATCTATTATTTTTCTACAAATTTACAGAAGAATTAATTTTACACTAAAAAGAGAAACAAGAAAAAATTTATTTTTACAAAAAAAAACTATTTCTGATACAGGAGAAATTTCTGAAGCGTATTATTGACATTGAAAATTTGAATTTCAAATGAACGAGCACATTTTTATCAGAAATTTAAAATTTGAGAAATATTATTATCTTTTATTTCGTTGACGAATCAATTTTTGGGAATTCAATTCATACTGAGTTATATGAATAAAAAATAAAATTTAAGATAATTATTCATTTGAAAATAAATATATTTCTAATAAAATTCAATTGAAACGAAAATAGAAATTAAATTGTAATTAAAATATTCGAAATATTTCTATTAAAATTCAATTCAATAGAAATTTAATTGTAAGATAAAATATTCGAAATATTTTTAATATAAAACGGAAATAGAAATTAAATTGTAAAATAAAATATTCGAAATATTTTTTAATGCTAAAAATTAAATTTTGATAATTAAAAACTGAAAATTAATTAAAATTTAACATTGATAAATTAAGAGCTTTCATAATAATTCGATAGAAAGAGAGAAAGAGAATAATCAAACAATTTTTCTTTTAACTAGGTATTGAAATACCATTTTATAAATCATAAAGCGATAATATTTATATCGTTTATAATGACGCAGTTAATTTTAGTCACTAAGTGTAAATTTGTTTACTAACGTTTTTAATTTATTTATTTAATAAATATATTTTTTTAAAACTATATCTATTTACAGAAATATTAAATTAATAATATTAATAATATATTTATGAAAATATATTTGTGTAGAAAAAAATATATTTATTTAAAAAAAACGTATTTATTGTTTACATTTGAAAAAACAAATTTAGAAAAATCTATTATTTATTCTGAAAATGAAACGCGAAAAATTCTAAGCAATTAAATAAATAATTGAAAAACTCATTTTTTATCCCGACATTTTATTACATAAAAAACTTTTCAACATAAACGTTATCTCTTTCAGAATAAATACCAAAGATATGGTATGATAATTCCCTTATCACTTGGGACAATTAAAATTTTACATCAATTTGAACAAATGCTTATTTTCAGAAAATAAAAACTGACAAACATTGAGAAAAACTTTTTATAATCGTCTTTTTTTTAGAATTTACTTCCAAAAAGAAAAAATCTCTTTATCTATTAATTTATATTTATCGATAATTTTTCATTTTCAATTACAAAATTGGAAAAAATTTTTGAAAAACTAATTAAAAAATAAAAACATTTAATATTATAATAAAGAAAAAACTTTAGTAAATTTTTAAAAAATTTTGTAAATTTTCGAATTTCTAGTTTTTGTTATTTAAAGAAAAATTGAAGAAAAGAGAAATAAAAACAATTTAAAATTTCAAATGACACAGATTTGATTCCTAACCGACTGTGATTGGAGAATAAAGACCTTTCAATTAACATTTGAACAAGCTGGCGTATATCTTTGAGAAGCAAAATCAACAACATTAATTAGCTGATTTAACTGCATTCTTTAAAGAAAAATTATTCACTAAAACAAGCTTTTTTGATTGAAGAAAAAAATAATTGTAAAAAATGAAAAAAACTGATTTGTTTCTTTCTCTGTATTTATTAATCCCCAGGGGAAAAATTTTTTTTAAGAAAATAATAAATTAATAATTCAATTATTATTCAATTATTAAAATATAAAATTAAATAATTCATTGAATATTTGAATAATTCTTAAAATTCAATTTTTTTTTAAAGAATTTTATCAACATTTTTTAAAGTGTGAAAATTTTGTTATTTATGAAAATAATTGAATGTTTGCAAAAAATTGTATTAAAATTTGTTTAAATAATTGATATTGTTGGACAAATTTTATAAAAATTGTCTTTTTAATAATTGAATTAATGTGAAAAATTTTTTTATTTAAATAAATAATTGAAGTGCAACAAAAAATTTTATTAATTATGATAATAATTGAATTCTAACAAATATTTTTGACGAATTTAATTAAATTTTTTTGAAAATAATTGACTTTCTGCGAAGAATTAAATTAAAATTTTTGATAATAATTGAATTCTTTCAAGAAATTTTATTAATGTTGCATTGAAAATACTTGAATTTTCGTAAAGATTTTTATTAAAATTCTTTTAAATAATTTATTTAAAAAAAAAATAAAATGAAAATTGCATTAAAAATAATTAAATTCCTGCGAAGAATTTTATTATAATTATAAAAATAATTCAATTTCAGCAAAGAATTTTATTAAAATTGTTTTACATAATATAATTCTTTTGGGGAAATTTTATTAAAATTATAGATAAAATAATTGAAAGTGAAAATAATTTAATTTCGAAAAATTGAATCGCTTCTAAGAATTTTATTAAATCTTTTCAGAATAATTTTTTATTTCAACTTTTAGCAAATATTTTGAAAACAAAATTTAAAAAAAAACCTCTTTATTTAAAATGATTCATTTGCAAAATAACATTATTTAAACGAATAAAATTAGAAAAATAAAAAATATCTAAACTTATTTTACGGTAAAATAAATGTGTGAAATTATTTTACTGAAAAATAAAAGTTTAAAATTAAAGTATACTTTCAAGGATATAGAATTCAATAAAATTCAAAAATAAAATCTATAAAACGAAGTTCAAAAATAGATTTTCTTTTTGAAAATTAAAAAACATTTGAACATTAATTTATATAAGTTGAAAAAAATTATTCTTTTGATTCTATATTTTTTTTTTGCACTTAACTTTCACTACATTTATATATATTTAAAAATAAAAGTCTTTGGAACGCTTTCAAAAAGGTTGACACGTTGCCAACTTGCATAGGACAGAGAACCGGTCGCTGCTTTAAATTTCATTCCATTTATCGTTCATGAAAATAAAAGAAACAAAAGCAAAACCGGAGGGTCAAGTCCCTTAAAATTAAGCGAGACTCGCACTGAGCAATTAAATCAAAGTTAATTTTTTTTAAATTGCATTTTACTTTTCCCTCGATAGCAAAAAAAGAAACTGGTACTTTTTCAAAATTATTGTCGATTAAAAGAAAAAAATATATATATAATGAATAAAATAAGAAAAATGAAGAAAATAATAAAAATAATAAAACAATCGATAAATAGCAGTAATAAAATTTTCTAAATTTGTTTTTTCAGATTGACTTCTGTAAAAAAGATAAAGTTTTTAATTTATTATATTTTTCAGTTTTTTTTCTTCTTAATTCTTTTAGTTTTTTAGTTAATGAGACGTATTTTTTTTTCATAAACAAGTTAATTACCTTCATGATGTAGATGAAAAGAATAATCAAGTCAGATATATTTATTTTCGTGTCCAAATGTCTAGCGATGAAAAATCGATCATTATTCAAACGGAATTAATAGTTTATTGCAAAAGCGAGATAATGAATTGTTAATTATTGTCTTGAGCATCCTCGTGTTGTATATTATATGACAGTAGATAATTATTTGCATATATTATAATGAAAACTTTGAAAATTTCTAGAAGCTCTTTTTTTCTATTGCTGATGTGGTGGAATAAATTAATTCACTTAAACCAGAAATGACAAGGGTCACTCGGGTCATGCCAGTAATGAATCAAAATTAGTTAGTTTGATCGCAGAGTTTAACTTGCACTCATTAACATTGTGAAGATATCGAAAAATAAATCAACTTGCCACTATTAAAGACACTTTTTTTTTTAATATTTCTTTTCCTTCATAGTTCACTAGCCATTTTTTCTTGAGAATTCTTGAGAATTAATAATAATAATTAATAAAATAATAATAATTGTCAAATTTCCAAATATTTATCGTCACATTTTCTTTTGTCGTCATTATTGTTTGTTAAATTGGCAGGAATGTGAATAAACTGTAGATTAAAAGTCCGGAGTGTTGAGATTTTGATTACATCCTGGAAATTGTATTAAAAAAAAATCCTTTTGTTAATTATTTTGTCGTAAGAGAATTTTGTCGAAAGAGAAAGAGAAGTGATTAGGTAACACTTGAAACTTTCTCTTTTTCAAGATTTTAATCATGACGTTTTGCGGATAGTCATATTGTTTTTTTTTTGTCTAGAGAGAGAAACAATAAATAATACAAAGTACAAAGAAATGAAAAGGAAAAAATGCGTACGCACTAGTCAAAGCCACGCCGCATACTGAACTGAATTACTGAAAACTCAACTCGAAAACCAACTGACTCAACAGCTTAAATGTTGACCATGCAACTAGTCTCTCGATCTCAGAATTTTTTCTCTTCTAAATTCCTCTATTTTTGTTCACTTTTTTTTTTACTTTTATTCACTTTTGTTACTGTTGACAAAATAAAATTTCTTTCTTTTGAATTTATGTCGAATTTCAAATAATTTAGAAATTTTCACAAAAAGAAATAATTTTATAAACTAATAAATTGTGGAAAAAGATTATGAAAAAGTAAACAAAAAAAAAATTGACTAAAAATTACAATTTAGGGACAAAAAATTTTGGAATTTAAATAACTCAATTTTCTACTTTTATTTAGAATGAAAAAGTAAAAAAATCAAAATATTAATAGTAATTAAGAACAAGTTGTCAATAATTATTTATTGAGAAAATAAGGAAGAAATAAATATAAATATAAAAGAACTTACCAAACACTTGCCCTTATTGCGCATAATAATTTTTTACTCCTACAAAAATTATATAGATTCAAGAAACCTTGAATAATTCTTTAAATATCAGATCAATTTTCCTCTTCATTCGCTGAATTTCCTTTTTTAATTTACTATAAACAATTTAATGAATTTAATAATTCTTTTTCTTCTTCATCCCTTTAATTCAAAGATAAACAAAAACAAATAAAGTGCAGGGTTGAGTCATAAATTTTCACACAAATTTCCCGACCAATAGAAATGGTTCTTTCTAAAAAGTGGCATTTTTATTGGACAGAAGCATTTTATTTGTATAATATTACTTTATTATCATTTTATAATAATAATATTACTATATTACATTAATATTATTATATTATATTAATAATATGATATTATTTTACTGATTTACTATTTTATTTATTATTTATATTTATATAGATTTACAGTAGAATCCTCGTTGTTTTTGCTTCCCAACCCTTTTGCAGCAGAGTTGGACAAGTAAAATTAAAAACACCTCCTCGAGTCGTACTCGTACGCTGTAATTTGAGTAATTTTCTTTATTTTTTACTGTAATTTACCTTTATTTTACAACAAAAGTGCTATGAACAATACTTTTTAGAGAGTACAATTTTTTTAAGGGGTAAAATACCTAGTAAAATGGTAAAAAACAAAAAACTATGTCACTTCCCAACCCTGGCTGTCGCTGCAAAATGCAACCGCTCGAAGTGTGAATGAACCTTTAATATTATAAAAACATGCCATTTAAATTTTTGACATTTGTCGTAAAAAAAACAAGTTTTTTAATATTAAAAATAAAGTACGATTATAAATACCATCGTATTTATAATATAACATAACAAAATGGAAAGTATTTCCAATTTTAAAAAAAAGTGAGGTTATAAAAATCAAGGTCAGGTGCGTCAGGTGATTATATATTATTATTATGTGTATAGAGGGTGGGATTTTACCGATTTTTACCACCTCCTCAATGCAGTGAATTAACCCCGCACAACAAATATGTGATTATTGACTTTTCGAACTCTCTCACTCAGTAGTTAACCAGAAAGGCTCTGGAAAAAAAAAATGGGTTTATTTGATCGTCTAGCCAATCTTTTAGGACTGAGGAGAAAAGAAGTAAACGTTTTGGTAGTTGGACTGAATAACAGTGGTAAGTCAACGGTCATAAATCATTTCAAACGCGAGGAAGACCGTTGTCTAGACATAGTACCCACTGTCGGTTTTAATGTCGAAAAATTCGCATGTAAGTTTTTTTTTTGTAACACTATAAAAAAATGATGATCAAAACAAAAAAAAATCGTCAAACAATGTTTGTTTGTTGTTTCGTGATTATTACGCTTTCTTTTTACACTCGCAACAAATTTTTCTGAACTTACTCACAATTTTTTCTTTATTACACTGTGTTTGAAATTTTTAATCTTTTTAATTTAAGTTGTTAATTTATGCACTTCATTTTTAGTGTTTTGTTGTTTTGATTAAAAAAAAAAGTCCGCCACGTTTTTTAAAAATGGATAATCAGAAAAGAATCGATTTCTCAAAGTCAAAATAATTATCGTTTCATTTCTTTTCTTTTCGTTTTTAGAAAAGTTGATGATTTTAGCCTCAATTTATTTTATTTCGATTAAAATTTGGAGAAAATAATAAAATATTATTAATTGCTTTAGTCGATTAAAATGTTTATTTATTGACAAAAATAAAATAAAACATCGCTTCTTTTAAATTACTCATTTAATTTGATTAATTTTACATTATTCTTTGCGTACATTTCATTTGATAAATTTAAAATGCAATTTTATTCGTAACTAAACAAAAAATTGACATTATTTAATTTAATAAATTTAAAATGCAATTTTATTCGTAACTAAACAAAAAATTGACATTAATTAATTTAATAAATTTAAAATGCAATTTTATTCGTAACTAAACAAAAAATTGACATTATTTAATTTAATAAATTTAAAATGCAATTTTATTCGTAACTAAACAAAAAATTGACATTAATTAATTTAATAAATTTGAAATACAATTTTATTCGTCAACAGACAAAAAAATGAACAATAAAGTTGAATAAATACAGAATGTTTTCAAAGTTTTTTTTCACTGTTATTTGTTAAATTATTTACAAAATTAATTCACCTAGGAAAATAATATGAAAGTAAAGTTCATTTTGCTTATTTCCTGAATTATTTTTTTATCACTTTATTCGACTTCTTAATTGTTCGTTTTGAGGGACTTTTTGAGACATTTTTCTTTGTATTTTTAATTTCACTTATATTCATATCTACCAGAGATTGTCTTAAACGTTTTTTTCTTTCAACATGAGGTGTGCTTGTGACAATTTTTGTCCTTAGAACATATTCAGAATTATTTAAATTAATTATTGATTTTCTTGGATTTGGTTTATCGATTTTTGTTAATTGTAAACTTGTCTGTTTCAATTTAACGTTAGGAGTTGGTGACGTAATTTGAACTTGTGGCGCTACTAGTTTCTTGAGAGTTTCCAATTTTTTCGATTGAACTGCTTTTGAGGGTTTTTTTAATGGTCCACTTAATTTTGACGCGAGTTTCTTCTTTTGACTGGCGTCATTTTTCGGTGATAATTTTTTAAATATTCCCACTTTTTGGGAAGAAGAAGAATTCTTCTTTGGACTCGAATTTGATAATTGTCCCTGTTTTCGCGGTGAATTTCTCCTTGAACTTGAATTTGTTGATAATTGTCCCAATTTTCGTGGTGAATTTCTTCTTGGACTTGAACTTGACGATAAACTTGATAATTGTCCCAATTTTCGTGGTGAATTTCTCCTTGGACTTAAATTTGTCGTCGATTTTGCTTGAATTTGAGTTTGAATTTTTAATGATTTGATTATTCCTCCACTTTTTTGTGGGGGATTTTTCTTTGGAGTCGTCTCGTTTGAGAATGAATTTGGAGATTGTAAAATTTTTTTCTCTTTTATAATACTCTGTGTTCCGTTATTTGTATTCTGTTCGCTGAGTTCCGTTGATGAGTGATCTTCATTTTGCTTTGGTACTGTTTTTGATTTTTTTGCATATTTATTTTTATTTGTCTCCAATCGCTTTAATTTCGGTTGTTTTTTCTTTAAGGGCGTTGAAATTTTCGATGAACTCTCTTGTTCCGACTGTTCCTTCGAAGAACTTTCTTGTTCCGACTGTTCTTTCGAAGTACTTTGCGATTTCTAGAAATGAAAAAGGTGGAAATTTATTTCAACTCTGATATATATTAAAAGTATTTTCAATTTTAAAACCTTTAAAAAATTAATTATTTTAAAAATTTCTTCTAATATTCAATTTTTCAAAATTTGAACTAATATTAATGAATTTTTTTTAATTTGAGAAAGAAAAATAGCAAAATTAAATTTAATTCTTACCTTTTTAGTTGCAGCTACAGATTTTGGTTTCTTAAAATATTTAGCAATATCAGTTTGATTTCCTTTCGATTGCTCCTTTTTTGAATTTGAACTTCCGGAGCGCTTATTAATTTTTCCAGTACGTTTCTAAAATTAATTTTTAATAAAATTAGTGATAAATTTGATTCGAAATCAATTTTACATATTTTATCGATAAATTCAAATTGTTTACTTACACTCGAAGATCGCTTCCTCGTCGGTGAAGTTTCATCCAAATCCTAAAAATAAAAATAAATAAAAGATTTTTTTCAACTTTTCGAAATTTTTTTTTGATAATTATTGATTTTTTTCTTACCACATCGTTAATTAAAGTATAATCTCTTTCGGCTCTCTGCCAAGAAAACAAATGATTTTCTTTATACTCCACAGTTTCGAGCGCATCCGTCAAATCTAATTGTTTGAAAGGTTTTAGAAATGGCTTGATATCTTTCTCCGTTTCTGGCGGAAGTGGACCATCGAATTGTGATTCTACTTTAATTTTAAAAGGTCTAATTTCCTCAAGATTGTACTGCAGATAAACTATAATGTTCATATAATTATTCGTTTTCACATTATTAACTTGAAGTAATTCAATCATAAAACATCTGTACCCTCCATCTCTGTTGACTACGCAATTTCCGCATTTTTGCATAGAATTCTAGAAGAAAATTTCATTTTTATTAACTAGCTTTTAGTATCATAAATCTAAAAAATGACCCAAACAGTATCAAATTGTAAAAAAAGTAGTAAATAGCACGTTTTAGTAGATAAAAACTACATTACCTGAAATTTTATAAATTGACTCATTCTGCGATGATAGCAATCAATACAGTGTTTGCATTTTCGAAGAAATTGAGAGAGCGTATTAACATCGACAACTTTTATTTCATTCCAAATATCATTGACATCGAGTAAAAGTGGAAAATTCCATTTACCTAATTTTATAACATTGTCGACTTTCAATAATTGAACAAAATAATTAATTCGTTTATTATCTTCTCCCTTTACTGTAAATTCAAAAACATAATCATCCTTGACAATTTTAATACAACGTAGTCCAGCTAATTTTAATAATTCATCTTTTATTTTCAATGTACTTGATGTTTCATCATCGGAATTTGTTGTTACAAATGAATAATTATTCATTTCATTCTGATTGTTTTCGTCGAAATTTTCAATATTATTTTTCGTATCATTTTTTAAACGTTCTAAAAGTTTTATTTGACTTTTTAAACGTGCCTTCTTTTCCTCCAATGTCACTGGTAAAAATTAAAAAAATATATATATAAATTTATAAAAATTTCTGGTATTTTCTTTTAAAAATTTATTTTTATTCTCAGTAATTTTTTTAGCACTTTTTTAGTTAGTAATTTCTATTTAATTATGATTTTGTGACAGATTTGAAAGTTAGGTTAGGTTTTAACTTACTTGTAGGATTCATTTTCGAACGCTTTTTCTTTAAACTAACACCATTAAAATCACATAGTAGATTAGAAAAAGTTTCACCACTTCACTTGTTAATCAAGATCGTTATTGTGCATTTTAATAAGTTGTTATTTCAATTATTTCTAATTTGATAAGTACAATGTATACAATTATTTGAACTCGAGACACTTTGAACAACAAACAACCGTTGTGTTGAGCAGTGGTTCTCATTGAGCTTTATGACAGGGTTGTGTAGTTACGTGTAGTGACTTTGTGAAACATAAAGGTGCGTTCAGTTTCTTGCATATTAACAAAAAAAAATTTTTCTGTTTCTTTCAGTTAAAAATGTCAGTTTCACAGCATTTGATATGTCCGGCCATGATCGATATCGATCTCTATGGGAACATTATTATAAAGATTGTCATGGAATAATATTTTTAATAGACAGTACTGATAAATTAAGATTGGTAGTTGTAAAAGAGGAACTGGACATGTTGCTACAGCATCCGGACGTTGAAGGTCAATTGACAATTTCGTAATTACAGGGTCTTCAAACATAACCTAAAATTCATTTTCTTTTTGAGAGCGTATCATAAATAATAAAAAAGTTAAAAACATAAATAATAAACAAAATATCAATAATGAATCTTATTTTAGGACGAAAAATTCCAATACTATTTTTAGCGAATAAAATGGATTTACCCGATTCTCTCACAACGGTAAAACTTGTCTCTGGTCTTGGATTAGAAAAAATACACAATAAACCTTGGCACATAAGAGCAACTAATGCAGTTACTGGAGAAGGATTACAACCAGCAATAGAATGGCTAACTGATCAAATAAGAGATATTTATATTAATAAGAGGTAGCCTTCCATAAATGTGCAATTAATTTTTTTTTCGAGAAGTATCAACTTCACTATTTAAATTATGATAAAAAATTTTCTCGAGTGAGCACAATAATACTGAGTTTATATAAATAGATTTATATTTTCAGTATAACATATACACTCAATCCGTCCATTTACAATACAATCATATAAAATTATGTACAGAAAATTCTGTATTTATAATAATAATTTAACTTTAGAGAATAATATTTATTTATTATTGTATTTTCAAGCATTTGAAACATTATTGTTCCATTAAAAGATATTTAAAAACGTAATTTTTGTTCATTATTAATTAAAAACAAATTTTCAATATGGCGACGATTGTCTAAATTATGAGTGTGAGAGAGATAAACGTATATTTCTATCTCTTCTCTCTTGTATTGCAAAACTGTCATGTGATTTTACCTTTAGGCCCCTTACGTATTTTGTAGAAAATACAAGGTTGGTAGTACCGTCTGCATCAAGCGAAGACAACTTCAAGTCATAAACAGATAAACCATAAACTATTTCGGGAACATTCGCAAATATTTAACTTGAATTTTGTTTAGCAGTTTTGCATAATTTAGCCAGTTTTTAGCGAAAGCAAGCCACAGTTAGTGGAGAAAAAACAAATAAAAATAATTATTATTTTCAATTATTGACCAAGAATTTATAGATAGGAAAAATGATTCGATCACTTAGTGTTGAAAGATTAAAAGAAGAGGAAACTCTCGATCTAAATACAAAAATGGTGCAGAAAGTTTTAGTAAATTGTTATAATCGAGGATGTGGTCAAAAGTTTGATCCTAATGAGAATGAAGAAGGTAATTTGAATAAAAATTTAAAATATCTTTCTGTTTCTCTTTTATAATAATTAATTGAACTCAAGGAACTATAAAGTTTGTTATTACTTTTGAGGTTATCTTCGCGATATTATTCTTTAATTTCACATTTTATTTAACAATAATTATCATGAAACGAATTTGTTTTTAGAATCATGTTTTCATCATCCGGGTGAACCGGTTTTTCACGACGCCTATAAAGGTTGGTCATGTTGCAATAAAAAGTGTACGGACTTTACGGAATTTTTGAATATTAAAGGATGCACAAGATCGTATCATTCCGATGTGAAACCACCGGAACCGGAGAAGCCAATTATTGATAAATCAAAAGCTCACGAAGTTATTGAAGTTCGTGGTCAATCGCTTAACACTTGCTGCTCGAAATTGGAGAGACCTGATTTTCACTTACCGTGTGTTTTATTAAAACCAACCGTGTCTCCCGCACTTTTAGAACAAATGAAAGAATTAAAAACTACCTCTCCAACGGCGGATGATTCAGCTGAAATTATTATTGGACAGAATTGTCAAAATAAAGCGTGTAAAGGCACGTATCAAGGTGCTGAATCGGATAAGGAAATTTGTCGTCATCATCCTGGTGAACCGATATTTCACGAGGGATTGAAATATTGGTCGTGCTGTCAAAAGAGAACGACTGACTTTTCTGCATTTTTGGAACAACCCGGTTGTGTTGAGGGTGAACATTTGTGGATATCGAGGGTGAATTTTTTATTATTTGTTTTAGGTTTTACACTAATTTACTAAAATCAAATATTTACCTAATATTTTTTTACTTTTAGGCTGTTGGTAGTAAAGTAAATTGTCGATTAGACTGGCATCAAACGGGATCTTTCGTTTATATTTCAATTTATGCCAAGAAATATAATGCCAACAAATCATCAGTAAAATTGAATCCAATTCACTTGATCGTTGATTTACATTTCATGGACGATAGTTCAGCCTACAATCTTGATTCTGAATTATTTGGGGTAATTACGAAATAGTTACATTTATTAAAAAAGAAAATATTTTCTTACGTAGAGAAACTTAATTTATGACTTATATGTTTTATTTTATTTATATGTAAATTTAACATCTCTTTTTATTTAAATCTAAATCATAAGTTTCTATTTACATGTTTATTTTAGAGAAATTACAAATGATTGCAGAAATTTAATTATTTAAAAATTTGTTGATAACGATTCTTTATGGGAATTGAATTTTAAGAAACATTCAATTATTCAATAAATTATTTTTGTATTTAAATAATTAAATTCTAGTAGAATTTACTAATAAAAATTGATTTTCATTTCATAAAAATGAATTTCAGTTAAAATTTCTGGTTATATTTTTGTCAGTAATTGGTCCGTAATTTTTCATATTTGATTCCTAAAGTCCGTATTTTTAAATACTTTCACTGCTTCGAGCCCTGTTTATATGGAAATTAAATATTCTTCTCTTTATTTAAACGAAACATTTGTTACAGATCGTAGATGTTGAAGAGAGTGTCGTAAATATGCTTCCAACGAAAGTAGAAATTAAATTGAAGAAAAAAGAACCTGGTTCTTGGACAAAATTGGAAATTCCACGAGCGAATTCAACAGAATCTGGAGATTCTCAAGAGGACAGTAATACTGACAGAGTTAATGCCGTAGATCTCAGTGATCTTTAATTAAAAAAAAAAACTATAAATAATTTCCTTTCTTTTTTTAATGTTAATTTAAAGAAAATGCATTTTTGCCTGTGGTTTATTAATAATTAAGGAGTTTAAATTAAAACTCGAGATTAAGTAATATTTCAGTCTAGAAGAATTCTTTTTCTTTAATAACTTACTTTCGTGAATAAATATATTTTTTAATATTAATACTCATTTTTCTTGAAAACTATTTTTTTTTTTTGTCAAAGATTTTATTTTTACCATTAAAATTCAAAATTTTGTTCATTTTCGAATAATTTAAATTATTCCGAATTCAAAATTCTTAGGAGGTTAAATTTTTATATTTTTGCAATTAGATAGTTCTGAAATGTAAATAAATTCCATAATAAACTTTTATAAATTGAAAAATAGTAGAAATTTCTATTATAAAACTGATGCAATTTATTCAAAAATTGCGTTTCCAAAACATCTTTTAAGTTAAAAATATTTAACCGATTAATTTATAGACAATTATGAATAATAATTTAAATAAATTACATTGAAGCAATAATCAGAAAAATATAAATCACGAAATTATAATTTATGGAATAAGAAAATTTATAATTCTAAATTTAAAAAAAAGCGGAAAAAAGCTCGCAACGCATGCGCAGTGACGAAAGGATCATTTGACAGATTTTGGAAAATGTTTCAAGTTTTTATAAAATTTTAATTAACAACGTGTTGTACGATTTTTCATTTAATTATATTTGTTTTTCTAATTAAAAAAAAGAAATTAATTTTGACTTGATGTTGTGTTACTTGTACTTGAAACTGAAGAATTAAAGAAAGAGATTATTATTATTATTATTAACTCATGTGTGTACATTTAGGAAATAACGAGAGACTTTAATTTTCTAAATAGGAAATAGAAATTTTCACGTGATTATGAGAAAAAGGTGTTTATTTTAGAAATGGAATTAGCAAAACATGTTTGGAGGAGATCCTTATTTGGATTTAAGACCAATATTCAATCGTCTTTACGAAGAGGGTAAATTTCCTTTTTTAAAACATAACCTCAAAGAATATCGAAAAAAAATATAATAAACAATTTTCTCATTTGATAATTTATAATTTTTGAATAAAATATGTTTCTTTAGAAATTTATTAAATAAAAAATAATAGTTTTGAATATAAAATATAAAATAGAAATTAAAAAAAAAAGAAAATAGAAATTAAAAATTAAAAATTCTTAAACAATATTTTAGACAATAGAAAATAATTTTCTCCCTTTTCTTTTTAAAGAAAAAAAAAAATGAAAATTGATATGTATTTTTTATTTTCTTTAGCAGTACTGCAACTACTTCAAATGTTGCGCAAGCGGCAATCCAAAGAGATGGGGATTATAGTTCAAAAGTACCGGAAGTACAAGTAAAATCGGAAAATGTATTTAAAGCTCTTGGTGCTACTGATGAGCTTTCATCTTATATTGGATTGGCAAGAGAATTTGCGTGCGAGGGAAAAACTGAACATCCCTATGTCGACAAATTGAAAAGAGTTCAAATGATACTCTTCGATCTCAATCATGTGATTTCAAGATCATCACCTGGTAAAATAAAGCAATTTGAAAATAATCATACAAAAGATCTCGAGGAATGGATTTCCGAATATTCAAATCAACTTCCACCTGCTGAGGATTATATTATTCCTGTAAGCTGAATATTATCCTAATAAGAATCATTTTTTTGTGGGGGAAATATTTCATTAAGATTTATTAAAAGCTGAAGCTGTAAGCTAAATATTATTCTAATAATAATCATTTTTTTTTTTTGGGAAATATTTTATTAAGATTTATTAAAATTTCTAAAAACCAAATTTTCAAAAATTTAAAATCACAAATTAAATTTAAATTCTGAAATTAAAATTAAATTAAAATTCGAAAAATTTCATGTCATTTTCATTTCATTTTTGTCAAATTTCATGGAAATAATTTGTATATTTGAAAGAATTTAATTCTATTATTTTTAGAATTGTTTTGAAATTTATTATATTATATATATTTATTAAATTTATCATAAAATAATAATAAGAAAATGTATTTTTATCAAAGTTTGAAAACTTGCTTCTCAATTAATTTGCTTCATCATTGAAATATTTCTTTTTTTTTTATCAGGGCGGTGGTAAGGCAAGTGCTTCCTTACACGTGGCAAGAACAATTTGCAGGCGTGCCGAGAGGAAGGTGAACGAATTAGTCAAGGATGGAGTATTAGACAAAGAAGCGCAAGTTTATCTCACGCGCTTAACAGATTTTCTTCTCACTGCGTCGCGAATGGCCGCAAAATGTGACGAGCGCACAGAAACAATTTATATTCCAAGAGCAGAAGTTCACGAAGATAAGTAAATAATTAAAAAAAAGAAAATAATAAGCGAACAAAAATTCAGTCTCTATGAGAAAAATATGTAGAAATATTATTATAAGAAAAATACCAACGAAACAGTTAATTTGCTTTTCTTTTTCTACTTTTACAAATTAAGTTGTCCGTGATAAATAAATATTAATTTCACCGTTAATTTTTCAAATATACGAAATAAGTATTCTTCTCTTTAGAATTTCTTTACAGTAAATTCATAATTTCATGTAATTTTAATTTATCCCCCAAAAGTTGTTAATTTTCGAAAAGTTACTAAAATTTTAAACGTTCTTTTTTTTAAATTCTTATTTTGTTAATAAAAAAAATTATTTTGTAGATTAAATAAAAAATGTTGAATTTCACTTCGAACGTTGGAAAATTTTAGTGAAATTCGAAATACAGTTCTAAATTTAGTACAATTTAAGATTGTACATAGTCATTGAAGAGAACTTATTTATCTTGTTATTAGTATGTACATGATATTTATTAAATAAAAAATAAAAAATTGTCAACATTCGATTTTTAACAATGAAAATATTTTTTAAATATCAAGAATATAACAGTATTTTTTTGTCACTGATTTTAGTGTATAAAGAGTGAAATTAGAAAAAAAAAGATTTACTCCAACATTTCTTCGCCTTCGATTATTTCTTTGAGATTTAATAATTCGAGTGTTCCGGAACCTTTTGTTTCTGAGCGAACAATTTCGTCGATTTGTCGATATTGTCCAGGATCGATGAGACAAATTAAATTCACCGAACCATCGTCCCAATCCTCTTTCTCTATGCTTGTGACAATTTTCACTATTTTATCCTTAACTTTTTTCGCCTCTTTTCCACTGATAAACACTCTTAATCGCATTTGTGCTCTCTCTAGTGGCATCACTGTTTTTAATTGTGGAATAACATCGAGGGCTTGTTGTTTGGCGTTTCTATTTGGTTTCACTGAAAAATGAACGTCTTTCATTGCCTTCTCGATCATTGACACTGAATATGGCCTTTTTGTTTCGGGATTCACGCATTTATCGGCGACAGTTGTTGCAATGTCTTTCAACATTGTTTCGAGTGTTAAATGACGCTCCTTATCTGATACTTGTAATTCGCCTTTTTCCAAAATTTCTTTACATATTTCTGTTTGATCATCCTTACCGAAACATTTCACGAGATCCTCTTTTTTTGCCACTTGACCTTTCGATACGTTTAAAAATACAGTGTGCGCTTGAAGTACTTCGTCGATATCTTTTTCCCTGCAAAAAATACCTTTTCTTATTTATCCTCTTCAAATTTTATCTGTTCAGTTTTTAATTAATTTTGTGTATTTTTTCAGTAATATATTGTAAATAGTTCATTAAAATTCAATTCTCAACAACTAAAAAATTATTTTTTTTATTCAACTTGCGTAATAATACGAAATTGCAAATTTTTTTTCAGGCTTCGCACTCGATAATAAATTTTCAAAAAATAGCAAAAAGTAGTTTTAAGACCGAAAAAAGTAGCTAATGAAAAATTAAATTTGACGTCTAAAAAAATAGTTTTAGACGATTCAAAAAAATTTATTCCTGTATTTTATTTTCCTCATTATTTTTTCTAATTTTCATCAAAAATATATTATATATTATTACAGTTTTACAATAATTTAAATTTTCAAAGATTTCAGTACAAAAATCTTTTGAAATTCAACTATTCCTTAAAAATTCATAATGAAACGCTTCTAATATTCATTTATTCTTTAAAATTTTAACTGAAGTTTATTTTTAAATCAATTTTTATTAGAAAGTTCTATATGAGAATTCAATAATTTAAATATAACAAAAAATAATTTATTTAAATAATTAAATATTACTTAAAATTAAATTTTTGCGAAGAATTTTATTCAATTTCTTCTAAACAATTGAATTCTTTTGGGAAATTTTTATTAAAATTGTAGATATTGATAATAATTTTATCACTTATAAGAATGTTATCAAAATTTTTGATAATAATTTCTTTACTTTCCTCCTTTCAGCGAATCTAAAGTTGTGCAAATTCCCAAAAAGGAAAAAATAGCTTTTAGTGTCAAAAATCTAAAAAAAAATACTTAAATAGTAGCAAATCGTAAAAAAAGTGGTAAATAGTAAGTTGATTTTAGTAATTTAGTAAATGACTACGAATCCTGCAAAAATCTTTTTTTTATTAAACTTGCATAATAATACGAAATTACAAAAATTTTGTTGAGTTTTTTTTTTAAATTAAATTATATCCAAATATCATTAGAATAGAATTGGAACATATTTTTATGTTAAAAGAAGACATATTTTTTATGTAAAAGATGGTAAAACTCTTTGTTTACTTACAATTTGTTTCTCCAGGACATAACCTTGTTTCTATAGCAAGCGATTTCAAAACGTTTACCACCTTTTTTCATTCGAACAACGACAACATTAGTCAGTCTTATTTGATTAATGGGTGTGAATATTCCTGATCTTGGCATTTTGATAAACTTTTTTTAAAATAACACCTAATAATTATTATTATTATAAATAAATATAAAATAAAAATAATCTGCGTGTAATTAAACGTGTGTTTCTTGATCTTGACAGATTGACATTTGACAGGCTTGCCAACTTGATAATTTTTGCAAATTTACTACCTTTACGGCGCAATAGGAAGTGTGATATCACCTTTATCATCAGGGATGAATCAGTTTGACTACAATCTTTGGCGAGGGGGGAGAGAAAAATAGAAAATTAATTTCCCATTCCTGATTATAAAATGAATAAAATGAACTTGCGCATTTGCTTTCTGCGCTGATTAAATGACCAATGACCAATGACGAAGCCATGAAATGTCAGTAGTCAGCTTGTGACAGTTGATTGTGTTTTAGAATCAAAGAAAATCTATAAATTTTTAATTTGCTTTTTATAATTGCTATAATTTTTTAGCAAAAATAAATATTTAAAGTGTTTTACTCTAGTGTTTTATTAAATTTATCACAATGGTGCAACAATATCAATCGCCTGTTAGGGTTTATAAACACCCTTTTCCACTTGTCATGATGGTATGTTTATATTCTATAAGCAGCCCTTACTATTGTATACTTGTATTAAATATTCATATGCTTGACATTCACCTACTTTCTAGTCACTTTCAGTACTCTTGAACTATATTGAAAATCAAAGCAAACAAACAATTATAATAGGAAAAAAATCATTTTCAATTCAATGTCTTTTAATCGTAATTTTTTGTATCTTTCAATATTTAAGAAACTAACTTTTTAATTATAGACGTGCTTTAATTATTAAAATTTATTTTCAAAGAAGAAATTGTTTTTTTACAATAATTACTTTATTATTCTTTGATTCTTTATACAACTTGAATATATAAGCGATTCTTTGTTTAAATATTTTCTTATCAGTAACACGTTTTGTAATCGTTTAAATACTTTTCTTAATTCCCGATTTGCTCATATTTTCCAGACATAAATTACTTATTGCTTACTTTTAAAATTTTAAAATTTACCCTTTTTTCAATTTTGAAAAGTATTCTTTCTTTTCGAAGAAATTAATTACAATTTCGAAAACGTGGCTATAATTATAAATTTATAAAGTTTATAAAATTTATAAAATTTATAAATATTTCGAAACAAGAAAAAAATTACATTTTCACAAGATTTTTCCTCTCTGATTTCTTATTTCAATTTTCTGCTTTTAGCCTATAATTTACTTTAATAATCGTGTGAACAATAAAATTGCCTCTATAACCACCTTTTTTTCGTATATTTATATATTATGTCAATAATAATTTGTTTCTCAAACCGATTATCACGTGTTTCTTTTTTTTAAATAATAGAGAAAAACTTGTCAAACTCGTTTGACATTCGCATGAAATTATTATATTTTTCGAGAGTGAGAATCAATACTTCGATTATTATTATCCACTAGTAAACATTTTTACCTTGTTTATAAAGTTATACACATGCCTAATGATCATTTGAACTTGTTTAAGTCGAAAATAAATTTTACTTTTAATATATTTCTTTTTATACACGTCCTTGAATTTGTAAATAATCTTTTGTGCAAAGAATTCCATTCCTTTTATCGCACATTTTTTTCATCGCTAATAAGTGAAAATTTATTTATTTATTTAGATAGAATAAAAAATAATATTGGATAAATTTTTTTCTGTATTTAAAAATTTAAAAAAAAAAATTTTATTTATTTTCATTGTTTTGATAAAAAATAAAATTGTTTATTTTTATAATATGTAGTGTTTTATAGAATATTTTTTTTATGCGCCTTTAGGAATGAGAAGCAAATTGGAAAAAATTAGTGATTGTTAGTTGTTAATTATTAATTTAATTTTATTAATATTGGTTATTAATTTAATAATTTAATAAATAATAATTTTCAGGCCTATGAACGACGTTTTCCGACTTGTCCACAAATTCCAGTTTTTATCGGTTGTGAAGTAACTTTAGAGGAAGAGAGTCCTTGCGGTTCAGTGAGAACGACAGAGCGAAGGTGCAAATTAAATGTAGACGCACCTTATATTTTAAAGAAGGTGATTTAATGCATAGAATAAATTATTTTCTTTTATTACATATAATAATCTTGGAATTCTGCGTTTTTTTTTTTTTTTTTTTTTTTGAAAAAGGAAATAATTTGCATCATTTCTATTAATAAATTACAATTTTTTAACGAAATTTCCATTTTCTTTTAGAAATGAAGGAAAAATATTTTTTATTAATTGAATTTTTTTTTATAAAACTGTTTCTTTTGGAAAAAATAGTAAAATATTTTCCATGAATTTCTAATTGTTAATCACAATTTTTAACGAATTTATAATTTTTTTTAGAAATAAAGGAAAAATTTTTTTATGAATTACATTTTTTTGGAAAAAATAGGAAAATATTTTCCATGAATTTCTAATTGTTAAACACGATTTTTAACACATTTATATTTTTTAAAAGAAATAAGTGAAAAAATTACGTAATTTCCATTTCTTCATAACAATTTTTTAACAAAATATATATTTTTTTAAATATGTAGTCACGATTTTTAACAAAATTCTACTTTCTTTAAATAAATGAAGAAATTGGCAAAACTTCTATTTTATATTCACAATTTTTGTAGAAAAAATTTTCTGTTTCTTAAGAATTTTTAATTAAAATTATTCAAAAATTCAATAAATTTCAAAGTAGGTAATAATTTTCAAAATAATTTTGAATTAAAAAATTTCAATCCTTAAATACTTCGGAATTTTTTAATTAAAATAATTAATAATTCAAATTTCTTAAAATTTCAATTAAAAACCTTTTAAAATTTAATTAATTCTCTAAATCTCTACTGATATTTTTCAAATATTACATTATTTTCTAAAATTTTCAACTAAAGTTCTTTATATGAAATCAATTATTTTCAATAATTTCTGAAAATTGCTTTGGAAATTGAATTTAAAAGAAAAAGGAAAACAGAATTTTTGTTTGAAATAATTCGAAATTTCATTTTTTTTCAACTCAGCTTAAAAAAAAATGTCTAATTGTTTGAAAATATTTTAATTAAATACTTCAGAAATTCAATTAATTTCACAATAATTGGAATTAAAAATTTTCTAAAAACTAAATTCTTAAAGAATTCTTAATTAAAATTATTCAAAACTCAAATTTTCAAAAATTTTAATTAGGAAACCTGCTTTGAAAATTCAATAATTTAGAACAAAAAAGAAATTAATTAAAATTATTCAAACTACGAATTTTGCAAAAATTTTAATTAAAAACCTTCTTGAAGTTTGATTTTTTAAATAAAATTTCAACTATTACTTTTCAAAAATTTAAAAATAATTTAAACTATTTCAAGTTAATTATTTTAAATTAATTAAAAAAAAAAATTTCAACTAAAATTTGTTTCTAAATCAATTATTTTGATTAATTACCAGAAAGTTCATTAAAAATTCAATTATTTAACACAAAAAGAAAAATTAATTAAAATTATTAAAAATTCAAATTTTTTAAAATTTTAATTGTAAATCTTTTTGAAATTCAATTTTTTAAATAAAATTCCATCTATTTTTCAAATATTTAATTATTTGAAAAGAAAAAGTTTTTCAACTAAAATTTTTCTCCAAATCACTTATTTTGAATAATTTGCAGAAATTTCATTAAAAATTCAATTATTTAAAACAAAAAAGAATTTTTAAATTCACATAATAAAATATGTTTAAAATATCCATAATTTCTAATTGTTAATCTCGATTTTTAACGAAATCATAATTTTTTATTAGAAATAATTGGAAAAAATACATAATTTCTATTTTACAATCACAATTTTTGTACTAAATTCTCAGTTAATTTTTTTCTATTTATTTTCTTTTTTTCTTTTTGTCATTATATTATTTTTTCTACTATTCTTTCTCTATTTTTTATTTCATTATTTCTTCTATTAATTTTCTATTATATTTCCATTATTCTTTCTATATTATTTTTCTATTATTCTTTCTATTTATTTGTCTATTATTTTTTCAATTATTTTTACTACTATTTTTCCCAATATTTTTTCTATTTATTTTTTTTTACAATTATTAATTTTCTATTGTTAATTTTCCAGTATTAAAAAAATCCTTCTTTTATTTCAGATAATAGGCGTAGACTTTATATATTTTATTCAAAGAAACGTATTGAACCGTCACAGCAGTATTTTAGAAATTGAGGCTTACAATGAAAGTTTTGCATCGAGAGTGACTGTTTTAGAAAAATGTCGATACTTTGTAAGTTTATTTCTATAATTGATTTTACAATTAGTTCAATATTCATTAAAGAAGAAGAAAAACGAACCGTAATGATTCGTATTGCGTGTGTCAATATTATTTATTATATCAATAATTCCTCTTTTTCTTTTTTAGGTTCATCCAGAAAATCCCGAATGGACATGTTTCGAACAAACAGCGAGTCTTGATATTAAAAATTTTTTCGGTTTTGAAAGTTCCATGGAAAAATTGGCAATGAAACAATATGCGCAGAATATTGCAAAGGTTGTTATATTTATTAATTTTCACAAAAAGAAATTAATGCTGTTTTCTATTCTTTTAATTCGATAATAATTTTTATTGCAAAATAACAATTTTAATTGTAAAAAAGAAATTAATACTGATTTTTATTCTTGTAGTTCGATAATAATTTTTATGATTATGCAAAATAACAATTTTAATTGCAAAAAAAGAAATTAATACTGATTTCGATAATAATTTTAATCTGAGGAAAATTTGCGTCTTTCAGGGAAAAGAGATTATAGAATTTTTCATCAATCAATTGGAAGAAGATGGCATCACTTATGTCGCGCCCTGGGTACCAACAGAGAAAGAACCTTCACTTAAGGATGAAAATTCGTAAGTTTTTTTTTCGAATTTTTAGTAAATTTTGGAAAAAAGAAAACACTTCTTTTTAAATTTATTTCGTTCGATGAAAATTTAAATATTATTTTAGAAAATAAATTTAATTTTTAATTACTAATTAGTAATATAATATCGAAATTGTTGAAGATTTTTTTTAATGTACCGTAAATTGAACATTTAATTCTAATTAGTTTTGTTGTTATAATAATTATTTCTTTAAAAATTAAATTCAAAGTTTTTTTTTGTTTAGAAATATTATTTTTGAAACAACATTCTCGTTGTCAATTTATTGATGATTTTGCTGGAGATTATTAAGGAAAATATTTTAAAAATTAAAAAAGGCCAAGAGAAAAATGATAAATTTATTGTAAACATTTTTCAGATGTGTCGAGGAGGTAAAGAAACAAAGTCCTCTGAAGGAATCGTGCAATAATGAAACAAAATTGCCAAACTCTCGAGGTTTGTTTCACTTTTACTGTCGTTTATCTATTTTATTTATTTAGCTATTAGATATTAATAATTATACGAAAATTATTATTAATTAATATAAATTTTCTTTTTGTTTTATTTTAAAGTCTTAATTCCGAAATTTCTTCGTTTCGTCGAATTAAATTAACGTTCACTGGTTTATTTGTTAATAATTTTATTTGTTAATTATTAATTTTGAACTAAAGTTTTTTGAAGTAATATTTTAATTTTTTAAAGTCTTAAAACGAAATTTCTTTGTTTCGTCGAATTAAATTTGTTAATTTGTTAATAATTTGATTCGTTAATTAACTTTGAACTAGAGTTTTTGAAGTGTAATATTTTAATTAATTTAGAATTAATTCCCTCATTAGATATGCAAATGTCATCGGATTATATTGAGAGATATTTGGGAAAATTGGATATGATGCAGGAGAGTCGATTAGTACAATTGAGACACAGTATTAAAGAATTGAGAGGTAGCTCTGTGCCTGGCGATGCAACGTTACTTCGTTTTTTGCGCGCCAGTGAATTTTCCGTGGAGAAATCTAAAGAAATGTTAACACAATCCCTTCACTGGAGGAAGAAATATCAAATAGATAAACTCTTAGACGAATATGAAATGCCACAAGTTGTTAAAGATTATTTTCCCGGTGGTTGGCATCATTTTGATAAAGGTAGATTAAACATTTTTTATTACCTTATAATTATAATTTTATTTAATTCTTTTTTTAACATAAAATTAATTTCTTTTCTCTATAAAATTAATTTCTTTTCTCTATAAAAATTAATTTCTTTTCTCTATAAAAATTAATTTCTTTTCTCTATATAAAATTAATTTTTTTAATAGAATTAATTCCTTTCCTCTAAAAAATTAATTCTTTTTCTCTACAAGATTTTTTTTATAGAATTTATTTTTTTTTCTATAAAAATTCATTTCTCTTTTTAGAATTAATTCCTTTGTTTCTTTTTCGACTTTCCTTTTAAAGAGAAAAATATTTTAAATCAACAATTAATTTCTTTATAAAATAAAAATAATTTTCTTGTAATAATTTCGTTGGTGTTTAAAAATAGAAACGAATTTTTGAAAATATGTGCGCACTGGAAGTGGAGAATTAAAAAAAGAAATTTCTTTTTTTTCGTAGAAGGCCGTCCGCTATATATCCTCAGATTAGGACAAATGGATGTTAAAGGTTTGCTCAAATCGATTGGAGAAGATGAATTACTTTTATTGGTATGTTGATTTATCAAGAGAGCGGAAAAATTTACTTTCTCTTGATTTTTTTTTTTCATTTTCTGTTAAATTCCGTTTAGTTTCAATAAATTTTAGTTAAATAATAAAAAAAGAAATAATCAATTTTTAGTTAAATAAATAAACAAACATTAAATTAAATGAACTGAATTTAATAAATAAATGTTAAATTAAGTGAAGTAAATTTAATAAATAGACATTAAGTCAAGTGAAGTAAATTTAAAAAATAGACATTAAATTAAGTGAATAAAATTAAATAAAATAAACGTTGAATCGACAAAATGTAAATCAAGAAAATTGAATAGTAATTATAAAAATTCTATTTCTAACAAAAAATTTTAATTATTGGAAGTAAAATAATATTTAGGGGAAATGAAATGAAATTCTCATTGTCATTTTAATGTCGCAGGCTTTGCATATTTGTGAGGAGGGTTTACAATTGATGGAGGAGGCGACAAATGTTAGTGGACATCCGGTTTCACAGTGGACGCTTCTGATTGATTTAGAGGGATTGAATATGCGACATTTATGGAGACCGGGAATTAAGGCTCTCTTACGAATAATTGAAATTGTCGAGGCCAATTATCCGGAAACTCTAGGAAGAGTTCTCATTATGCGGGCGCCAAGATGCTTCCCTATTTTGTGGACACTTATTAGTACATTCATCCGTAAGTTAGGCAAACAAACAAAATTTCTATTTCTTTCTTTTTTTTCTCATTAGTAATTTTTTTAATAAAAGTTAAACTTTTGAACTTTATCATTATTATTATGCAAATTACAATTTTTTTTTAAATATAAGCTTCAATATTTTTGAATAATTACAAATTCAAAATTTAAAAAATTCAATTATTAAGTACATAATTAATTATTTTTAGAAATGTTCGCAAGAATTCAATAAATAATCAAATTCTTCGCGGGAATTCAATTATTCTTGTAAATAACAAAATTTTCATAAAAATTAAATTATTTAAAATACAATTTTCATAGAATTTCACGAAAGGATTCAATTTTTTTTTTAATTTTCGAATACATTCTTTTAAAGAATTCAATTATTTTCTAAAATTTTAATAAATTAAAAATTTTTTAAAAATTTTTTAAAAATTTTTTATTTAATTGAAACAATTCAATTATTCTTATAAATAGTTAAAAGAATTTGAAAAAATTTTAGAAATAAATAAAGAATAATAAATAGTAATAAATTTTTATTTTATCATAAATTCATCAAAAGAATTAAATTATTTTTATAAATAATAAAATTCTTTTCAGGAATTCAATTATTTTTAAAACAATTTTAATAAAATTCAAAAATCAAAATTTTAATTATTATTAATAGACATGATTACATTTTGAAAAGGTGAAAAAAATTTTTTGTTTAATTCAATGATTTTTAAAATTTTCAATTAAAATTATTTAAAAAACTATATCATTTAAAAAAAACAAAGAAATTCGTCAAAAAAATTTAATTATTTACAAAAATTCTAATAAATTGCTTAAAAGAATTTTATTTCTATCAATAAATTTAATCAAATTTAATAGTAAAATTATTAATTTCAATTATTAACAAAATTGATTATATTTAAAAAATTACAGAAATATTTTTAAAGAATTCAATTATTGTTTAATATTAAATATTTGAATAAAATTCTTTGAATGAATAAAATTATTTAAAGAAAATCAAATGTTTAATTCCAATTATTAAGAAACACGCTTATTTTAAAAACTTGATAGAAAAAGACTTGAAAATTCAATTACATTCAAAATTTTCAATTAAAATTATTGAAGAAACTCCATTATTTGAAAAAAAATTCAAAGAAATTCTTCAACAGAATTTTATTTTCATGAATAAAAAAATTTTTTGATGGAATTCAATTATTTTCAATCCAATTTTAATAAAATTTCACAAAAGTATTTAATTATTTTTTCAATTTTTTAATAACATTTTTTGAAATAATTCAATTACTTTTATAACTTTTAATTAAAATTATTAATAAAACTACATTATTTACAAAAACTCTAATAAAATTATCTAATTAAGTTTAATAATAAAATTATTATTTTTTGAAAGAATTTAATTATTGTCAAAAATTTGTTTCAGTTTTTAAACTTCTTTTTTAATTTTCAGATGAAAATACAAGGAACAAATTTATATTTTACTGCGGCACTGATTATCAAGAACAAGGAGCTGGTGGTCTCGCTGATTATATCGAAGAACAATATATTCCAGATTTTCTCGGTGGAACAGCGGAGGTGAGATTACATTTTTTTTCCACTTTTTTTTTATTTTCAATTTATCAATTTTTGATTAGTTCGAGTAATATTATTATTATTTTTATTCTTGATGATTATAACATTTCAATAATAAAATAATATTAATTATTAAAATTCCATTATTACTATTTACTATTATTTATTATTTTTTTTAATAAAAAACATTTTTAATTTTAAATTGAAAATTTTTTTTTATTTAAATATTTTAGTTTTTAATATTGAAAAATTTATAAAAACATAAAAAGAATTTATTTTAATATAAGGAATAATTTAATAATTTTTCATTTTATTAATTATTTTATTATTATCGATAATTTTAACTAGACTTTTAAATTAGAATAAAATCTTTGTCTTAAAAAAGAATAAGATAGAAAGAATACAGAAATTTTAAATCGAAAATTTATCTTCTATCCATAATGGCGAAAAAAGTTCTTTTTTTTCAAAATTTAATTTTTCTTTATAAATAAAAAAATCATCTTTCTAAATAATTTCATCGGCTGACAGGGAGGTTTTTGTGAACTATACAATTTGATACCTCGACGCTTTTACATTTTTGAGGAAACGGACGATGTAAGATTAATATAATTGCAGTTCACTTTATTTTTTTTTCTCTAAATCACATCAAATAATTTTGTAGTTTTCTTTTTTTATATACATTTCTTCTCTCTGTTCAATGTGTAGTTGGCACAAATATTTTCTTAATAATTTAATAAGTATTTGTTATTCTTAAAAGGACAATACTGAGCACAATTTTTTATGACATTTTTTTTATATTATTTAATTATAAAATTTATAATATAAAAAAAATTTCATGTTTCGTTTTTTTATATTATTTAATATTAAAATTTACAATATAAAAAAAATTTCATGTTTTGTTTTTTTATATTATTTAATAATTAAATTTATAAACTAGAAAAAATGTCATGTTTCGTATATTCGTCCGTTGCTAAAATGTCAATTTGAGTGTAAATGTAAAAAAGAGTCAGAAACTTTAGAACAGGAAACAAATCACAAATATTATTATTCCTAAATTATTAATTTTTGAAATTTTAATAATTGAAATTGAAAAAAAACTAAATTGTGAATTAGTTCCTGTAAATTGCTTATTGTTAAATATTTATTGTGTGAATGACAATTACATATTAATTGTCAGTGTAAATATACGTAATTTCAACAAAAAAAAATGTTCGAAAATATCTTTGTACAAACAATTATTGTAACTTTTTCTTTTAATTTGAACTTTGTGTTTTATATTCATTGATTTTCTTTGAATTTAGACGTACGTCATGGAAGGCGGCGTTGTGCCGAAGAGTCTATACAGAATGGATTTGGAAGTACCTAGCAGTGAACATGAACATTGTTTATATCAATCGATTAGTCTTGGTCGTGGTCAAGTGCATAATGTTATTATACGCTCCAATGATCCGGGAGCAGTGCTCACTTGGGATTTTGATGTTATGAGACATAATGTGCTTTTTACCGTTTTGCACAAGGCAGTCGATGATACAAATAATATTTCTGGTAAATAAGAAATTTTCACAAATTTTTAATTTAATATTTTATTATCCGTTTGTAATTAATTTTAATTTTAGCTATTATTTTAATTTAATATTTTATTATTATAAATATTTTATATTATCCGTTTGTAATTAATTTTATTTTCTATTTTTGAATCCCTTATTTTAAAAAATTTAGAATCAAGGAATAAATTCTTTGATTCTAATTTCAAAATTCTATTTTTTAATTACATTAGGAAAATTCGAATTAGAAATTGGAAAATTCCGTTCTTAATTTTTAAAATTATGTAGAAAGTAATAGTAGCTTTTGTTTATTAATTTTTTAATATATTATTAATATTTTAACTTTTTTAGGAACACTCACTGTACCATCGCAAATTGAACACGAAATTGGAAACAAGGAATGGAAAGAGGGAATCAATTGTGTAAAAGTCGAGCCCAGCATCACTTGTCATGATGGAGAAAGCATTCAGGTAATAAATTGTCTATTATCTTTTTTTTATTATTGCGATTATTTCCAGTACTGAAAAAAATACTTTTTCTATTTTAGGGAACTCATATAATGCAAGAACCTGGCACCTACATTCTACAGTGGCAAAACTCCGAGGAAGAAGAATTCTTGCCATCAATTAATTTCCATAAAGCCCAATTGATGTACTTTTATGAAACTTTACCATCATCACATTACAGGTAATGAAAAAGGAATTAATATATTTTTCGGAAATTAGTTCAAATTTAATTTAATTTTTAAGAAAAGGGTAAACGATATTTTTAACTATATCAAGAAAAAAATGTTTTTTTTCTAAAACACTTTGAATTAATTAAAAATTTGAATTAAAAATTAATTCTTCAAATTTTTTTATATTAATTTTGACAATAAAAGAATTTTTCTAGGACAAGGAAATAAGTATCTAAAGTGGGGAAATTTTATACAAAGTGTTAAAAAAATATCAAATTATTAAAAATCTTAAATAGTCTACGAATTTTTTTTCTCAAATAAAAAAAATCCAGAGTTATTCAGTTAATCCAGAGTTGCAATTTTTAAAAATAATATGAATTAGATATTTATTTTTGTATTTAAATAATGAAATTCTCGTTCAACTTATTTAATAAAAATTGATTTGAAAATGAATTTCAGTTAAAATGTTAGAAAATATTTCAAAAATTGGAAGAATTGCAGTTCTAATTTTAATTAAATTTCAAAAGGTTTTACATTGAAAGTATTTTGAAATTTTAATTCATGTTGGAAAAATAAATAACAACAAATATTCAAATATTTATTAATCAAAAAATGAAAAGTTCAATTTAGAAATTCTGAAAAAATGAGGTTTTAAAAAAACATGATTAAAATTTTTTAAAAATAGTTGAATTCCCGATAATAATTTCAAAAAATTGAAAATTTTCTCGAATTTCATTCAAATAAATTTTATATTTCAAAGAATTCTTTTGCTTCCAAAATTTTTCAGTTACTTTTGCAAATAAAAATTTGTGTAATTTATTTTTCATTTCTATTAAAGGAAAATACTTTTTATAAATTCGATCAAAATTTTTTATTCGAACATAGAACTGAGAAGTTTAAAAGTTTTTATCATAAAATGAAGGGAAATTTATTATTTTATTTATTTATTTTCATAATTTTAATTATGATTTATGTAATTCTCTTTTTAGAAATTAATGAAAAAAATTTAATTTCTTTTTCATTTTTCGAAAAAAGAAGAAAAAAATAAATTTGGAAAATTCTAATTTTTTTATGACCATTGAATTCCTCTGAAAGAAAATTACTATTTATTTCAATTTTCATGGAATATTTAAATTATTTTCTTGAAATAGTTAAAAAAATATCCGTTAAACCTCCCCTTAAATAATTCGTTATTTGTTTTCTCTACTTTTGATATTAAATTGAAAATTTTCATATTTGTAGAGGATCAATGATGAGTCTTCAATCTGCCGTTAGCGGTAGGTCTGTTGCAAGTTCCTCATTATCAAGATGAGAAGTAAATACCTCTGCAAGTGCAGAGAAATCAGATGATCTGGACCATGACTGACCTGACGTACACGCAAAATGACAAATAATAATAATAATAATAATAATACTAATTCAATCACAAAAAACTAGGGGAAAATTTTTCAAATGCAAGAATAACTTTTTTCTTTTTGAATCAAGTTTACTTGATAATATCTGAGAATTTCAAAAAAGAATATTCGAAAATAATAGCTTTAATGCTAGTTTAGCCAATTTTAGAAGAAGAAATAAATATCAAATAGTCAAAATCTAAAAGAATCGTTAAAAAGTCTGTTAAAGTGTAATAATGTTGCTAATACAAAAAAAATTATTTTCGTACACTAAAACGGAATTTAGAGTGAAAAATGCACTAAATTTTATTTCTCAGAAAGAAATCACTAATTTAATTCTTTGCAAAAAAAAAACAACTTCTTTCGACAGTAAAATATTTTTATTTTTTTAAATTTGCTTAAGTTTTTTTTCTTTATTTTCATAGTTAGTTTATTTTATTTTATTCCTTTTTGTGTCTATTTGTCTGCAAAAATAATTTTAAACATTTTTTTCTTTTGAAATTATATTTTCAAAAGGAGAAAAATTTCCATTTTTTGAAATAAGAAAACTTAGATTATTAATGCATTTATTATCACGCAATTAGATTACGAAAGTAGTAATTAGCAACGTTTTATAGACAATTTATTGATTCTAGTATTTAAATATTAATGAACTTTATATAGGTGATAAATTATTAATTTAAATGCATAAGAATATTTATGCCTTTAAATCAAAGAAAAGGGCCTAGTAAAGAATTCCAGCAATCAATAACATTTTCAATAATAATACTTGTTATTTTTTAATATTTACACAAAAACGCTTTTTACTCATATACTTCTTTTTCTATTAATGAGAAGCGTCACTGTAAAAAAAGCAAACAAACAGAACTTCAGTGTTTTCTTACTCTTCTTGTAATATTTACAAGAAAGGGTAAATTTTAGCAAAATTCCAATTTTATTTTAATTCACAATTTTTTTTTAATAAAAAAAAATATTTATTTAATTATATTCGAATTCCAATTATAATTAGAAAGTGAATATAAATATTGATCAAATATAGGATACGAATTAAATTTTTAATTCATTCGGTTTAGTTTTAAATACTGAATTAAAATTGACTATTTTAAAAAATTTTATATTAAAGTTTTTAAATTTTTTAAAAATTTTTTCTAATTTTATTTTTAATTTTTTAGTTTTATTATCGGGCGAACAAATTTGTTTTTAAAGAATTTTTTTTTTAATTTGGCAGAGAATTTTTTACAGTGAAAAGAAAGGTAATAACTAAATATATATATATATATATATATATATATATATAGTAGTATTGTAATTATTTTTAGTACTTTTGAAGAAAAGAAATGTGTCAATATAGAAATATTAGTGATTTAGTATTCAAAGCTTGTATAAAAAATAGATTCTAGTGATAATATTCCCTTCCCAGTGAATTTGTTATTGGTATTTAAAAAAAAAATGAAAAAAGAAACCTCACTAGTTAACGCAACGATACTTCCTTCTTATAAACCGCAGTACCTCTTGTCATTTCTTCCTTAGAGAAAAAAATATTACAAAAAATTAATCATTTTTATTAGTACAGAAAATAATGTCGTTTTAAAATAATACTTTTCTCACTGAAAAACGATTTTAACAGAAAGTTAACTTTATTTTCTCAACGAGTAAATTTTCGAATTAACTAAAAAGTAAAAAGATTTTAGAAAATTTTTTTCACTTTTCCTTTTTTTTGCCAATCAATGGAAATTAGATATTTAAAATATTAAATTTAAATATTTAAATTTCAATTATTAAATTCAATTATTTAAATATTCAGATTTAAATTATTAAATTGCATTATTTAAATCTAAATTATTAAATTTAAATATTTAAATGTTCAAATATTTTAATATTCAATATTTCAAAAATTGATAAAAATTTCTGAAAATTAATTTTCAGTAGAATTTAATTGTTTATTTCACTGAAAATTTTTTTGTTTATTTATTTCATTAACTTCGTGAAATCTTGAAATTTAAAAATTTTAACAAATAATCAATAGAAAAGAACTTAGAAATCATATCATGTAAAACCGTTAAATAGTTTAACAAAAAGTCCATGAAATTGAACGGTGAAATAAATTTCACTTCACTAGGTTTCGAATATTATGAAACATCAATAATTGCATTTTAACATTTGTTGACAATCTGGAGAATTCTTTACGTGTATTTTAATAGTGAACAAATATTTTCTATATAACTATTGTATTTACACGAAACGAATTTGATATTCGAATTTCGTCTCCAAACAAACAAAAAAACATATTTTTGAGAATGATGAAAATGAGAAAAAATTTTTTTTTAAATCTTTTTGCAAAACTGAAAAAAATTCATTGTAATTAGAATGAGAGTGACAGCATGTTAATCTAATACACATATTACACAAACACATATAAAAAAAATATATTAGTTTTTAAGTATTTTAATTATTTAAATTTAATCACGGTTGCAAGATATAAATATATATATATGAAAGATTTATAATTATTTATAGAAAAAAATTCATCTAGAAAAAAGAAAAATTCGACATTACCGAAAAAGAAAATTGTAATGTTATCAAGAACCAATAATTTCGTTTATTATTTTCGTAAACTTCTTTTTATTGCTTCTGTTCATATTGAGATTATTAGGAAATAAAATTACCATAACTTTTTATTTTACCAAAACATATTTTTGTGTCAATAAAAATTGTGATTCGAAAAGAAAATCCGTTCTAAAGTATTTTTAAGAAAAAAAAATCATTTTTTTCCGATTTGTTTTCGAGATGAAATGAAATTTGAAAAATATTAAAAATGAAATTGTTTCGGTAATAAAAAAGATAATTTTGAAATTTAATATAATGGTTAACTTTTAGGGCGAAAACGAGATCTTAACTCTTAACGAGTTTTTAATTATAATAAAAATTGTAACTGCGACTTTGAATTTAACATAAAATTTCCAACAGCAACAAAATATTTATTTGCCGTTAAATTTTTGACGTTGTTTCTGGTTTCTTTTCTCAATATAATTAATGAATTTATATGTTTTGAAGGAGAAACAAAAATCTGGTACATAATTTCATAATGAAAATTGTACAAATAAAATTAATTAGTTTAAAAATGTAGAAATTGTACATATGTGCGAATTTTTCATCTTACAAGTTACTTCAAAAGAAAAAAAAAATAAAGAATTATTATGAATGTAAACAAATCGGTAAAGTTGAAACTTTACCCAAAAATTTCCTCTGGATTTTATTCATTTTTTTCTTTGAAATAATTTGTAAGATTGAAATAATATCAAATGTATTTGATTCACGACATAATTAATCAACTGTTATGTCATTTTAAAAAGAAAAACAATGTACATTCAAGAAAAATATAAAAATAAATTGAATAAATGTAGTGTTCATTTAGAGTGTTCCAGAAAAAGAAATTAAAAAAAGTTGTTAACATTTATTTCTTCTCCTATAACAAATTATTAAATTCTCGAAATTATTTTCTATTGTTCTGTTAAATTTCCAAAATTAAATATTTAATTTTAGAGAATTGTAGAATATTTACATTTTTCGTGTTTTGTCTTCGTTTTGAGGAAGAAAAAATAATTGTAAATGAAAAGATAATTCGATTAAAATAGAGTTTTTCTGTTTATCGTCTTTTAAATCCATATTTCTTTCGTTCGTAGAATAGATCAGTCTTGGAGGAACCAAGATTAACAATCTTTGGACAACCATCTCTCTGAAAATTTAATTTATTGATTTTTAGTTCAATAATATTTCCAAATGAATTATATTCATTAAAATTTGATTTCAATTAATTATATTGATTAAAGTTAATTATATTAATTAAAATTTCATTAAAATTAGAGTAATTAAAATTAACACATCAAGATTTCTTGATTACAATTTTGAAAAAGAAATTAATATTCTAAAAAATAATAATTATATTTAAATAAAAGCACTTACATCTTTTTCCTGAATTGTGCATTCTTTACAATAATAAGCGTCAGATACTCCGGGACCTCCGCAAATTACACAACGTCCTTGATATGAACCATAATTACATTCATCACAAATTCTCACCAAAGTACATGGTCTCACATATGAATCGCAAATGACACATTTTCCGTCACATTTCTCGCAAAGACGTCCAATAGCTGAAAAAATTATTTACACAAACAATATTCATGATTAAAATTACTTAAATCTTTAATTCGATAATTTATTAATTTGACAATAAGAAGAAAGAATAAACAAAAACAAACTTAACTCCAACTGAAGATTTGTGTTTACCTTAGAAATAAAATTCTAATTTTTATTTTAAGGAAAATATTTTCGAAAGCTTTACTCAAATAATATATATTTTCATATCGGGAATTAATTCAAATAAATAGAGAGAATAAGAAAAATTTGTAAAAATAAAGAAAGCAAAGAAAGGCTAAAAGTAAATTTGTAATTGTTAGGGGTTACTTTCGAAATATTTTTAATAACATTTTGTAACTATAGACGATAATTAAAAATAAATTACTTTTCAACTATAAAATTCGTTTCTTTTACAATTTAAAACAATAAACAAATAAGGATAAAAGTATATATAGAATAAATGGAATAAATTTATTACATGCGAGATGAAAAAAGTGAGGTTAGAAAATACTCACCAACGCCGGGTTGTTTTCGACAAAATATAAGATCCGGATGATGTTTTGCCATGACGATAATAAACAAGAATTAAAAATTACAAATAATTATTACCACGGTTCTATTATTTATTTATTAGTTTAATGAGAAAACGAAATATTTTCCGCATCCAAAAAACCAAACGTCAACAAATACGATCAAGTCAAAAACTGGATTTAGTAGTTTTCTACTTTATCCACATGTTAGGTATTTAAAATTGTTAAGGTTAACATTATTAACATAATTTTTATAATATTCTTCTAAATGATTTACAATCATATTCCAGTAATAAAACTATAATGGCGTTTTTTGGTAGTTTTTAAGTTTCCCCAAGAAAAAGCAAACTGGAAAATAAATTTGTAAAGAAGAACTTTTATAGGAATTAGCGAAAATAGAGTAAAAGAATATTAAAAATAGATTTCTTTTATAAATTTAAACATTTTTTATTTAATGTACGTATAAAATATACATAAACGTGCAATATATATTATATTTTTTCTAACTCATGTATAAAATATTCTTTTTTTCTGTGTCTATAGGAAGAAGACAAAACTAATCAGTAGAAATGTATAAAACAAATTGAAACAAACATTTTAAGAAATTCTCATTTTACTGAAATTCAATTCATTCTTCTTTCGTTGAACTCGAACACGATTATTGCAAATCTCTTGTAATTTCTTGCAAATTTTTATTGTCTCACTGTCTGAATTAGTAGTTGCCAATGCATTTGGTAAAAAGTCTCTCTGTAGAAATGTATAAATACAAGTTCGTCCACCGAGAATGCATTGGTGAAACTAAATAAAAAGAAAGACAAAGTTTCTTTTATTATTTTAGACAATAACAAAAATGAAATTTTTTTGTATTTTATTTAATTAATAATAAACATACCTCAAATACAGAATTATTGGGGAATTTTTCAAATGCCTCCAAATAATATTTCGCCGCATTTGGAATATCGTGATTATACATATAATAACAGGCGGCCAATTGTAAAGTAATATCCAATATTCTACCCTCTTGATTTTTGTAGGTTACTAACATTTCCTTCAAATGTTTAACGAAATCGTATTTCTCATGTGCCTTCGCTTGACATTTTAAAAATGAATTTTCAGCACCGAAATTATTTCCGTCACATGCTCTCTTATAATATTTTGCCGCTTCCTGTTGGAAAAAGTGATTTAAATTTAAAAATAAGTAATTAAATAATGAAAATTAGAAAAATAGAATTAATAAAAAATAACAAATATTTCTTACTTTAAAATTTTTTCTGTTTTCGAAATAAATTCCTTTATAGTGCAAAAACATGGAATCGTTAGGAATTCGTTTTTCAGCATAATCGAGACATTGTTTCGCCAATGAAAAATTATTGCCCAATCTCATAAAACCAAGTGCCAATCGTAAATGAATTGTCGTACTCTCTGGTTTTGAATCGTAAATGTCTTGATAAATTTTTAAGGCACGTTGTGTATTTCTTTTTTCCTTGTGTAATTGTGCAAAATAAATACCAAATGTCGGTTCTTTGGATAATTCGTAAGCTTTTTGAAATGACATCTCCTCCTTTTTTGTTGGATGTGACAAAAAATTGCCCATACGTCTTTGTCTTCGTAAATTCTTTCCCAATATAAAATACCACACATCACAATTTTTATTATCCTCAAGAGCGGAATTAATGTAATTTAAAGCCCTTTTAATTCCAGATTCACCGGCTTCCTTATATTTTGACCACGCAATACTTTTACAACCATTCAATGTACTTCTGTCAATTACATTATTCATGCAATTAACATCCTTATTGAGATTTGTTAGAATTTCGCCAATTTCATCGAAACGATTTTCTTCGAATAGAACGAAACATTTTGTGCAATTGTAAATGTTTTCCAGTAAATTTAGAGAAATGCTATTTCCATGCCTGTGAAAATAAATTTTATTTAAAAATTAGCTTTCCATCAGTAGAATTTTATCACTTATTTTATTATTTTATTAATTTTCCTAACTTTATTGTGTTACTATTTTTTTTTTATTAATTTGATTAACTATCAAATGTTACGAACGTGATATTCAATTTATTATTATTATGCAAATTACATTTTTTATTTTCAAATATAAATATTTGAATAATTTAATAATCAAAATTTAAAAAATTCACTTATTAAGTACGAAATTAATTATTATTGTTTTTACATATTCAAAAATTTCAATATAATTCTACGCAAGAAATCCAATTATTTTTGTATAAATTATTTTCAACAAAATTTAAAAAATCCTTGGAAACAATTCAATTATTTTTTAAAATAGTAAAATATTTGCCAAAATTCAATTATTATCAATAAAATTTGACGAAAGAATTTTCAATTTTTTTTTAATTCGTTATAAAATTTTCCAAAAGAATTCAATTATTTTCTAAAATTTTAATAAAATTCTTCCTAAAAATTCAATTATTTTCAATACAATCCGAACTAAATTCCTACAAAGAATTTAAATTGTCATCGAAACAATTATATTATTTTTCAAAAATTTTAATAAAAATCTTTGCAAGATTTCAATTATTTTCATTAATAATACAATTTTTCAAAGTACTTCAATTATTTTCAAAAATGTTATTAAAATTCTTCCTAAAAATTCAATTATCTTCATAAAAAGTAACATTCTTTTGAAGATTTCAATTATTTTCTTAAATTATAAAATTCTTTGGGGGATTTCTCAATTATTTTCTTAAATAATAAAATTCTTTGGAGGATTTCAATTATTTTCAATAATTTGAAACAAATTCTTGTCAAAAATTCAATTATCTGCATAAAAAATAAAGTTTTTTAGAAGATTTCAATTATTTTCTTAAATAATAAAATTCTTTGGAGGATTTCAATTATTTTTAATAATTTGAAACAAATTCTTGTCAAGAATTCAATTATCTACATAAAAAATAAAATTCTTTAGAAGATTTCAATTATTTTCATTAATAATAAAATTCTTTGGAGAATTCCAATTATTTAAAAAATTTTCAATTAAAATTATTCAAAAAACTACATTTTTTCAAAAAAACACAGAAATTCTTCAAAAGTATTTAATTATTTACAAAAACTCTAATAAAATTGTTTAAAAGAGTTTAATTTTCTATTAATAATTTTAAACAAATTTTAATAGTAAAATTCTATTCTTTGAAAGAATTTAATTATTTTCTATATTTTAATAAAATTCCTTGAATGAATTAAATTATTTTAGAAAATTTTAATACAATTAAATAATCAAATGTTTAATTTTAATAAATAAGAAAGATGATTATTTAATAAACTAAAAAAAAATTGTTCATAAAATTCAATTATTTTAGAAATTTTTAATTAAAATGTTTAAAGAAACTTCATTATTTAAAAAAAATTCAAAGAAATTCTTAAAAAATAATTTTATTTTCAAAACTTTTAATAAAATTCTTCACGAGAATTCAATTATTTTTCTAAATAATAAAATTCTTCGAAGGAATTTTATTATCAAATTTTTTTTTGATAAAATTCTTTGCAACAATTCGATGATTTTTAATACATTAATTTAAAAATTGAAAATATTTAAAAAGAATAAATATTAAAAAAGTTACGAAATAAAAAAGCAAGCCGGAATACAACGATTATTAATATAAATTATGTTAATAATTTTTGAATATTATTTTATTTATTAAAAATTAAAATAAATTTTGTTTACTTTTCTTTTACGGAATTCCAAGTGTCTTCGGCAGATTTCAAATAATCGAATGCCTCGATAAGATTCTTCTTCTGCACTGACTCGTATGCGTTGACCAATAAGCGAATCCATTTTAATAGAGGAACAAAATCTTCATCGTCATGATTTCTTGATTCTTGATAATTGCTTATAATTTCTTTAATCTCGTCCAAATCCCATGTAAATGGACATTCAGTCTTTTTCATTATCTCCATTAACTCTTCGGATTGCTCCATTTTTTTCTCAATTCTGCAAAAGAAATTATAGATTTTAGAAATATAAATGTTTTCTCTTAAAAAAATTCACTGTTTAATAAAATACTTAATTACTTACAATTGTTTTTTCTTTATTAATTTAGGAAAAGATTTTCATGAAAATCGTTGTATAACATTTATCGCATTACTACGTATGAAGTAGACGAAAGAACGAAAGCCGACCGAGACCGGCTGACAAAAACAATTGAATGGGAAAATAAAACAACATCGCTTTCCCCTTATTTTAATTTTTCAACTTAATTAATTTGAGTAGAATCAACAAATCAACTTACTTCAAATTATTCGCATAAATAGATGAATTTTATTTTGAAAATCTTCTTCTTCTTTCTGTATAACTTCTTGTTAATGAAAATTTATTTCGACTTTTTTTTGACAATTAACAATTAAAATACAATAAAATTACATCAGCTTATCAGAGTTGGGCTACTTTTCTATTTGCAAACGGTTGGGTAGGTCGATATTTGCAAATTTTTTTCTCTCTAATTACAGAGGTATTTAATTTTCACATAAATAGAACAAAATGTAAATACAAAATTACCCTTTTCAATTAATCAGTAATTTTTTATTATTACTTATTTAACTTAATATTTTTTTAAAATTTCCATAATTTGGCATTTGCGCTTGAGAGAAGGTGTGTACGAAGCATAAAGAAATGGCGCTTGCGCTTGCGCATTGCGATGAATTCTGAAAATCACGTTTTGGAATTCTGTTCTTTGCGGGGAAATAATGATACTCTCGTTGGTAATTAATAAAAAGAAAAAACGCCGTACGTAAATAGTTTATAATAATGTAATATTTTCCGAGAAAAATGGGCAGACTATCAAATTAGATGTAATCGTTTAATGCAACATTGAATTTTCGAATGTTTCCCTGGATTTTGGTGAGCGAAAAAGTTTTTACAAAAATACAATGGCAACTCACAAGACAGGTGGGCAAAGTGCCCGAAAGAAAGTACAGGTACACTTTTGAAAATTATATTTTATTTAATTAAGTTTTTTTTAATAATAACAAAAAAAAAGCAATGTTTATTTTTCTTTTTCTTTTCGTGTAAAGTGAGTCAAACAAATGTTTAAATTTATAGGTTATAAAGCTGAAATTTTAATTTTTTTCGGCTACTTTTTTATATTTAAAATATTTTAAATAGTAGTTTTTGAGCTACTGGAGCAAATTTTTACGAAAAATTTATATAATTTTTTTGTACTTTTGTTCCAAAGAATTATTTTTACATTTTTTTTTGTATACGTGTTATTCAAGAATCAAAAAGTAATAATAGTTATAAAAATATATTTCTTGTTATATTTGGATAGTAAATAAAATAAATTTGTAATAATTAAATTAAGTTGTTAATTTAATTATATTACGAAAAGTGGGAAACAATTTTGAGAGAAAAATAAATTATTTTTTCTTTTTAGGTTTCAATGGTTATAAGAGATGAAGTGGAGAGAAAACATCGCGCAGGAGTTAATTCCTTGCAATATGATCCAAATTTGCATAGGTTGTACTCTGCTGGTCGTGACAGCATAATAAGAATGTGGAATTGCACAAATATGAATGATCCGTATATTCAATCGTTGGAGCATCATACGGATTGGGTTAATGATATCGTACTATGTTGCGGAGGAAAAAATCGTACGTATTTTGGTTAATTTTCCTATTAATTTTTTAAAGATTTTGATGAAAAGAAAAGTTGATTTTATTTTCACTATATTAATTTAATTCATTTAATTAATAATTAATATTTTACTGTTTTATTATTTAATATTTTATTACTTATTTTTTTCTTTTTTAGTTATATCTGCAAGTTCGGATACGACAGTAAAAGTTTGGAGTGCTCATAAGGGATTTTGTATGTCAACATTAAGAACGCACAAAGATTATGTCAAGTCATTAGCTTACGCTAAAGATAAGGAGCAAGTTGCGAGTGCCGGTTTGGATAGGGCAATATTTCTTTGGGACGTTAATACACTCACGGCACTAACCGCTAGTAACAATACCGTAACAAGTAAGAAATACACTCAATTATCTTTTTTTTTTTTTGAATATAGAAAAATTCTAGTTAATATTTTCTATTTACTAGAAAACGAAAAAAAAAGAAAATCTTCAATAAAACTTCGGGTGTAATAAAAAAATTGAAAATAAATTCAAAATATTTTTCTCTTTGCAGCATCTTCACTCTCTGGAAATAAGGATTCAATATATAGTTTAGCGATGAATCCATCGGGTTCAGTTATTGTTAGCGGTAGTACGGAGAAAGTGTTGAGAGTCTGGGATCCAAGGACGTGTAATAAATTGATGAAATTAAGAGGTCATACGGACAATATAAAGGCACTAGTTCTCAATAAAGATGGCACGCAATGTTTGTCTGCCAGTTCGGATGGCACTATTAAATTATGGTCTCTCGGTCAGCAACGTTGTGTTCAAACGATAAAAGTTCACAGTGAAGGTGTTTGGGCCTTGCTGGTAAATATTTAAAAAAAAAACTATTTTTTTATACTATTTTTATATTTCTCCAAAAAAAAAACCTATTTTCTCTTTTTTTTTGCAAAAAAGTAAATTACTAATTAATTGAATTTTATCCAGGTGAACGATACATTTAGTCATGTTCTATCGGGCGGTAGAGATAAAAAGGTAATAATGACAGAACTGAAGAATCCACAACGATACAGTTTAATCTGTGAAGAAAAAGCTCCAATATTAAAAATGGTTATGACCCCAGACCAGTCCAGTATTTGGGTGGCAACTAGTGAATCTACAATTAATAATTACGTGAGTATTTTCGGTTTACAATTAGAGAAAAATAATATTCTTTCTGGAAATACCTTTTTTAAAAGTAATTAAACGAGTGCAGGCTTCGCACTCATCTACTAAAACCTATATTATTCACTACTTTTTTTTACAATTTGCTACTATTTGGAAACTTTTTTTTAGATTTATGACACTAAAAGCTACTTTTTTCTTTATTTTTCGGGGAAATTTGCATCACTTAAAATTCGCTAATAGTTGAAATAAAAAAAAAAATTCTAAAAATTGTAATAAAATTCTTTAAAACGATTCAATTATTCTCAAAAACTTTTCGAAAATCAATGATTTAAAATACATCTAAAAATTTTCGAAAGAAATCAATTTAAAATATTTTCATAAAATTCTACCGCAATAATTCAATCATTTTCACAAGCAATAACATTTTTCATGAAAATTAAATTATTTATAAAAATTTTAATAAAATTCCAGGCAAGAATAAAATTATTTTCGCATAAATAATAAAATACTTCTCAAGAATTCAATTACCTACTTTTAAAAATTTTAATAAAATTCTTCACAATTATTCAATTATTTTTCTAAATAATAAAATGTTTCACGAGAATTCAATTATTTAAAAAAAATCCGTTATAAGAATTCAATTATTTTCCTAAATAATAAAAATTTTCACGAAAATTCAATTATTTAAATAAAATTGACAAATTCTTTAATTCTTTCTATAATTCTTCACAATTATTCAATTATTTTCCCAAATAATAAAATTTTTCAAAATAATAAAAATTTTCACTAGAATTCAATTATTTTTTAAAGAATTTATAAATTCTTTGTGTAACTTTTCATAATTATTTATTTATTTTCCCAAATAATAAAATTTTTCACTAGAATTCAATTATTTAAAGAAAAATTAAATAAAATTCTTTGCAAAAATTCAATTATTTTCATAAATAATAAAATTCATCTCAGAAATACAATAATTTTTTAAAAAAATGATAAATTCTTTAATTCTTCACAATTATTCAATTATTTTCCCAAATAATAAAATTTTTCACGAGAATTCAATTATTTAAACAAAAATTAAATAAAATTCTTTGCAAAAATTCAATTATTTTCATAAATAATAAAATTCTTTTCAGAAATTGAATTATTTTTTAAAAAAATGATAAATTCTTTATAAGAATTAAATTTTGAGAAACATTCAATTATTTTTAAAATTATTCTTATATTTAAATAGTTGAATTTTAGTTGAACTTTCTAATGTGAAGAATTGAAATTAAATTTTATTAAATAATTTGATTTGTTTACTTTTAAAAATTACTTTTAAATACAATTGTATTTTTTAGGATAAAAATTTAGAAAATAATTGAATTTTTCAAAAATTTAGAATTAAAGTTCTCAATTTTTTTAATTCGTAAAAATTAATTTTCGATAGCTACTTTTTTTACTACTTTTTTCAGTAATAAAGCTACTTTTTTGATACTTTTTTAAAATGAATTATTGAGTGTGAAGCCTGCGAGTGCGAAATCTGTATTATTTTGTTAATTTTTTTGAATTTCAGAGTATTTCATTTCGAGGCGATCAATGCGGAGATTATTGTGTGGACGGTATTGGAAATGCGGTGGGCGTTATGATACCACAAAATTCAGATCCAGTGCAAAGGATATTGGGTGGACCGGCGATAAGACAATGTTACGTTTTAAATGACAGGCGGCATGTTTTAACCAAAGACACTGAGGAGAATGTATCACTTTATGATGTATTGAAAGCGTCCAAAGTTGAAGAATTGGGCCACGTTGATTTCGATCAGGAAGTGAAGAATCGTAATAAAATTGTTTTCGTTCCCAATTGGTTTAATGTCGATTTGAAAACAGGGGTACGTGTATTATTAAAATTATTCATGCGAAACAAGAAAAGAATTTCTATACTTTAAAAAAAAAGGAAAAAAATTTGAAAAAAGAAAATATTTATGAAAAAAGAAAAATATTTATTTTCTAGATGTTAACAATTCATTTGGGTCAAGATGAGAACGATTGTTTTTCCGCGTGGGTTTCGGCAAAGGAAACAGGCCTAGCTGAAGACGATGCAGTCGATCAAAAAGGTGAATACATTTTTATTTGAAAATTTTCTGGAAAACTGGAATTTTTTTTACTATTTTCTTGTTCTTACAGTCAATTATGGAAATCTACTTCTACAAGCACTTTTGGAACAATGGTGGCGACCATTGCACGCCGATGATGAGAATGAGACGAACAGTAACGATGGTAATGTCCCAAGGCATACGCGAGGTGGAAATCCTTATTTTTCCGTACCTGGACACACGCCCGTTATTTTCAGGTTAAAATTTTTAAATATAATTTTCTATTTTACTTTCGCTTTCAATATTTTCTCTAATATTTTTATTTTAAAAAAGTATTTCTATCAAACAATATTTTTTTGTAATATAAAAAAATACACTTTTGTTTTTTTGATTACAGTGAAGTGGGAGGTAGAACATTATATAGATTACTCGTTCAAGACGCCGGTGGGGAAACAGAAGGTGTTTTATTAAACGACACTGTTCCGCCCTGGGTTCGTGATATTGTTGTCGATAAAAATTTGCCAAAATTCATTAAAATTCCATTTTATCTTTTACCACATTCCACGTCTGGTGTGAAGAGTTTAAAAAAGTAAGTTGATTCTTTGATTCTTTCTCAGGAAAGAAATAATAATTTTTTTCCAAGAAGAATTTAAATTTTCCTCTTTGTATTTTCAAGGGATCGCCTAATAGCCAACGATTTTATACAAATACGTAAAGTCGCCGAGCACGTTTACGACAAAGTTTTGGGAGCAGGAAGTGATTCTGGTTCGGTTGCCGGTGGTGGAAATACAGTTTCCAGCGGTTCTCCTGCCGGCGATAGAGCAAATACGGATTCAAATGCCGATAACTCGTCATTGGCTGAAGAAAAAGTCGAATTATTGTGCAACGATCAATTACTGGATCCTTCAATGGATTTGAGAACCGTAAGTTTAAAAAAAAACGCTTTTCATTTAATTTTCTGTTATATTTTAATATTCGGAATATTTTAAAATTCAAAATATTAATTCAGAATATTTTAATATTCAAAATATTAATTCAAAATAATTTTTTTTTATTCAACGTGAAAAGAAATTAATATATAAAAAAATTAATTTTCAGGTGAGACATTTTATCTGGAAAAGTTCAACGGACTTGACACTTCACTATCGACCAGTGAAATAAGTTGGAGTCGTGTTTTTTGAACAAAAAAAGAGAGAGAAAAAAAATGATGATCATTATACAAGTGTTCCTGATTCTTTTCAATGACAAAGTAGGCAATTATTCCTATCGATATTTAATATAGAAATATATATCTATATACACACGTAAAATCTGGATCAATTAGTACGCGATAATTATACGAAAAAGAGAAAAACTTAGCAAAAAAAAAAAAAATTGCTGCAAGACTTGAGCGTACATATTTTATAAAGAAAAAAAAATGATTTTTTAAAAAATATTCATTAGAATTTAAAAAAAAAGAAACAAACTTTGTAGTAGAAAATCTTAAGTTCCACCAGGTTCCACGATTTTTAGAAACTAAAAGAAAAAAAAATCAATTAAATTTCTCCCAGTTTTAAAAGGGATCTTCCTTTTCTTCTGTCAAATTTTCACATTATCACTGTGTGTTCAATTTCCTTTTTGTTCGAATTTATAATAGAAGTGATATAAAAATTTCCTATTTTTGATCAAATGAAAATTTAAATTATTTTTTCAAAATGTGTAATTTTCTTTTAAAGATAATATTATTTTTTTTTTTTTTTTTGAAGAAAGAAAGAAAACAAACAACTGAAATCAACTTGTAAATAGAAAATCGATATAAAATTAGCTTTATTAAGTTGTGACTCCCAATTTTCTTCGTGCCATCGAGTCTTACATTGTACAATAAATTTTCATAATTTAAAATCAAACTGAATGTATATATATTCATTAAATTTCATCTTCATGTATTTTTAAATTAAAGTAAGGTTTGTATACCATACCTGAAAAAAAATATTGTTTCTCTTTCTTTTGGCAAAATTATTAACCCAGCGAAAAATTTAATTTCTTTTCAGATTCGTTAAGAGTGGAAATTAAAGGAAAAATGAGTTCGTTAAAAAGCACTTCCATTTTCTTTTAGTGGATAAAAAATTTGAATTTAAAAAATAGATTTTTAATATATCGTTAAATTTTATAGATTTATATTTATAAATATTTACAAAATTTGTATTTGAATTTAAATTTGATAAACTGGCACTTTTTGAGTTTTATTTAAAAACATAAAAATTTAAATATTGAAATAACATTTTATTTCGAATGTTTATTTGTAATTCACTGATTAACTAATTTTAATTATTTATTGTTTTTGAAAATTTTAATAGAATTCTTTGCAATAATTTTAGTATTTTTAATCCAATTTTAATTACATTTCTTATAAGAATTCAATTATTTTCAGGCAATTTTTAAGTCATCGAAACAATGAAATTATTTCAGTTTTAAAAATTTTAATACAATTCTCAAAATTTCAATTATTTTCATAAATTCTAAAATTCTTTAAAACAATTTAATTGTTTCAGTTTCAAAAATTTTAATATAATTCTAAAAAATTCAATTATTCTCACAAATTCTAAAATTTTTTTATAAAATTCAATTATTTTCCAAAGCTCTAAAATATTTTGTAGGAATTCAATTATTTTCAAAAAATTGTGATAAAATTTTTGGAAAAAATTCAATTTTTTCATAAATTCTAAAATTCTTTTATAAAATTCAATTATTTTCAAAAATTGAAAGGAATCTTTTGTAGAAATTCAATTATTGTTCTAAAATTTTGATAAAATTCAAAATTGAATAATTTTCAGAAATTCTAATATTCGACAAAATTCAATTATTTTCAAATATTCTAAAATTCTTTGTAGAAATTCAATTATTGTTCTAAAATTTTAATAAAAGTCTTCGCAAAAATTCAATTATTTTCAAAAATTCAAAAATTTTTAGAAGGAATTCAATTATTGTTCTAAATTTTGATAAAATTATTTTCTAAAATTATGAAAAAAATTCTTGAAAATTAATTTTAAATTTAAAAAAATTATGATAATATTCTTTTTAAAAATTAAATTGTTTTTATAAATTTTAAAATTCATAACAGAAATTCAATTATTTTAAAAAAAATTTCATTAAATTCCTGGAAAGAATTCAATTTTTAAAAATTTTAATAAAATTCTTCTTCGTCTTGACTATTTATTTCATTTGTAAGAATAAATTATTTTAAACTGTTGAGAATTTCATCAACCGCTTCGACGAAGGACTTGCAAACTTTCGTTGGCGAAGGTGTTATTGTATCCTCATCGCCAGGACGATATTTACCTGTTTGCACTAAAATTCCCCTCATTCCCACTGCCATCGCTCCGGCAATATCATCTTTTACATCCTGCGTTATGAGAAGGTAAGAATTTTTAATATTTCCCTCAATTATCATAAATAATAATAATAATTATTATATAATCTCACGTCGCCAATCATAATAGCTTCTTCCGGTGAAATATCTTCTAGTGCTGCTTTAAAAAATTCTGCACTTGGTTTTCCTACAATTTCAGCTTTTGTATTTGTTGCGTATTCTAAACCTTTAACAAATGCACCAGGTCCTAAAGACAAACCGTCAGGCCTTTTATAATAACGACCCTCGTGAATAGCTATAAGAGAAGCTCCATTCAAGATTAATCTAAAAAACGAATTTTTACATTTAGAAAAAAGACGTTTTTCTTTTATTCAAAAGAATGAATTTTTCTTTTGAAAAATTAATTTAATTCAATAATGAATGAATTTTTCTTTTGAAAAAAATAATTTTTTTATACAATTGTCTTTACCTGAAGGCATTATTTAAATCGTCGTAATTAAATTTTTCAGGTGCCAAACCAATAACAACGGAATCATGTTTTTCCGTTTTAATCAAATCTTCAAAATCTTCCATTGCCGCTGAATCAATCAAGAGATATGGATTTAAGCAACGTTTAATTATTGTTTGTCTCGCAGCTGCTAATGAACTGAATATTTCTTCCTTTTTTATATCAAATCCAAGATTTTTTAAACGATTATACAAAACATTTTTCGATTCCTTCGTCGTATTTGTAACGAATTTTATTTTCTTATCCGTACTCCGAAGTCTTTGAAAAAAAATACATTTCTTTTATTGACCATCTACTTATTTTATCGAAAAGCATAATAATATAATTTAATGTAATAATACAACTAAATATAAATCAAATATAAGATAAAAATTTAAGGAAAATGAAAATTAATAATTAACCTGCATAAAGCTTCTTGTGCTCCAGAAATTGCCAAATTATCAATATGCAAAGTACCACTAAGATCTATTAAAATAGTCTTTATTTGTTTATTCATTATTATTAATTTGTTGCCCTTTATTGAAATATAAATAAACAAAAACAGCCGGTACTATTATTATTATTATTATTATTATTATACATATACAAAATAGACTTCCCAACCCTGGTTTCCTCGGAGTGGCGCATATGAACTCACCTTTAATGATCGATTGTTGCAAGTTATCGATAATTTGTTACGGCGCCAACTTCAGATGTTTGCTTTTTGGCAGAGAGAAACACCAACTTTGGAGTTTGGCTTTGGCCACTGCAGTTTTGTGTTGAAAGGAGTAAAGACATAAACTTTAAGGGCATTTACACAACATTGCAGTGCACTTTATTTGTTAAAATTTATTTATTAATAGTTGAATTTATCGAATTTATATCTTAATTATAAACTCAAAATGGTAAGTTTATTATTTCTCTCATATTGTTCTTTAAATTGTCAAACAAACAAAAAAATCAAAGAAATTGAAAAGAAGAAAAAAGCAAAGTGGCCTCAGCTGATATTATAATATATATGAATTAACCTCAAAAAAGAAAATAAAAATTGTTTTAGGATGTATTTCTAATGATTCGGCGAAAAAAGATGACTATATTCACTGATGCAAAGGATAATACGACTGTTCTTGAGCTTAAAAAAATTATAGAAGGTGAGTTTATTTATTTTAAATATAATAATTTTGTTTGTCGTTTGTTTTGAAAAAGGAGAGAGAGAATTGTAAATCAAACAAGTTTTTACAATGAATGGAATTTTACATCCTTACACAAATTTCAATTGTTTTTTTTTTAATTTTCCCTAAAATTAGTATTTTATATTTTTTGCAAACTTGATAAAAAAAATTATCAAATTTGAGAAAATTCAAGTTTGTTAATTTTTCTCGTTTGAATAGTGTACCAAATTTTTCAATTTTTTCAAAATTTATTTAAATTGACTTTAATAAGAATCATAAAAATTAACAAGTATTAAGAAATTCGTTTCAGTTTTTTTATCTTTTTAAAAACACCTGTATTACAATTTTTTTGACGTGTAAACTATATCTAAATTTAGAATCTATTTTTAACAATGAAATATCAAACTTTTTTCATCTTGAAATCTACTGTTTACAAATTATTAATATAAAGAAATTTTGTTAGTTTTTGTATAAAGAGAAAATGACATTTTAATGTTCAATTCAGGTACAAATTGGTGAAAGAAAAGAAGATTTAAATGAAAAGTGAAAAATCTTTGACTTCGTCTTTGTGTGAAAAAATACATTATTTTGCCATTTAAAGATAATTAGTCTCTCTTACCTGAACACTGAGTACTTTCAACTCCTTTTGTATAAAAAAAATTCTTAGAAGCAATTAAACGAATTTTCATAAAATTCTTTCAAACCATTCAGTTATTTCCAAAAAATTTTCGCAATTCAATTATTCTCATTATCTATTATTTTAATAAAAAAATTGCCCATAAGAATTTTATTAAACTACTTCGCATAAACGTTCAATTATTTTCATAAATAAAGAATTTTTTACAGGAATTCAATTATTTAAAAAAAAACTAATTAAATTCTTAGTCAGAATTCAATTGTTTTTAAAAATTTTAATAAAATTCTTGGAAAGAATTCAATTTTTTCATGAATAATAAAAACTCATCGCAGGATTTCAATTATTATTTCAATTTTAAATCAATTCTTTAAAAAATGCAATTATTTTTAAATATTTGATTAAAATTCTTCGAAAATTCTTCGTATTCAATTATTTAAAATAATTTTGATATAATTTGTTCATTAAAATTTAATAATGATTTTCAATACATTTTCAATTGAATTACTTGAAAGAATTTCATTCTTTTCAAGAATTTTATTGAAATTCTTCGTTACAATTCAATGATTTAAAAATTTTTGATTAAGTTCTTTATAAGAATTCATTTTAAAGAAATATTCAATTATTCAATAAATTATTTATTTCTGTATCTACTTAAAGAATTTGTAGAATTTTCTAATAGGAATTGATTGAAAATTGAATTTTAATTAAAATTTTAGATAATAATTGAATATTTAAAGCATTATAGCGTGAATTTTGAGAAATAATGAACTTTCAAGAGATTTTTTGAATTGGAATCTTTGAAAATTTTAATTCTTTTAAATTTGCAATCTTAATATTTTGAAAAATTATTAATTTATTATTCGCCTAAGAAATGATTAAAGTTTTGAATAATTTTATTTAAAAATTTCAACTAAAAATATGATTGAATTTTTCAAGAATTACAGTTGTAATTTTTAGAAATAAAAAAATACATTGAAACCATTTAAAATCTTTTAATTCCCGTGAAAAAATAAATAAATATTTAATTATTTATTTGAAAAAAAATTATTCTATTTTTGAATGTAATTTAATTTATAAAAATTATGAAAAAAATGGAGTCTTGTCAAATTTAATATTTAAATAAATTAAAATTATATTAACTGACATTTGAAATAAAATTTTGCAGGTATACTAAAAATTCCGCCGGTGAATCAACAGTTGTTTAATAAAGATAATGTTGTGATGGTCGATAGTAAATGTCTCTTTGAATATGGATTAACACCAACAACAGCGAAAGCTCAATGTCCAGCATTGATAGGTCTTGCAATTCGTCAGGATTCGGGAAATTTCGAAAATTTGGAAATGACACCATTTTCACTGCCACCTGATCTTCCTGATGTGATGAAATCACAAGAAACCAATGGACAAGAGCAATCTCCTTGAACTCAACACAATTTTGTGAAACAAAAAAAAACAACAAAATACCAGAAACAATTATTTCACAACATCTCATCAAATTTTGAACGAATTTCTTCTTGTGAATCCGATCAAAGTAATAATTGTGAATACTAGACGAATACGAATTTATTTTATTTTACATATATATATATTGTATACAAAAAAAAATTTCTAAAATTCAGATATTAAATTGAATAATAACTGAATTTTATAGATAATTTATCAAAATTTTCTTTTCGTATTCTCTATTATCCGTGACTATAAATTTTTTTTTAAATTTAGAATCTTGTACAAAAACAAAAGAAAATCTCCGGTAACAAAAATATTAATGAATAGAATGCTCAGAAATTCTGATATATTTTTTTTGTATGTTTCCTTTTTTTTAATTGGAAAATTGACTTAAGAACATTTTTAATACAAAGTAATTTATAAAATACAAAGCGAAGAATTTTTTTCATATTTTCGATTTTTAAAAAACTATTTATATTTTGAAAATAGAATGTAGTGAACAAATTTTCCCAAGTAAAAATATGTTAAAGAAAAATCCAGTGTTAACAAGAAAAATTAGTTTTATTCCTATTTTTTAAAAATAAAATATTTTTTCTCAAATATTTTTGTTTTTTTTTCTTTTTAGAAAAACAGAAATAATATAGTTTTAATTTTATTTTTCTAAAAAGAAAATAAATATTTTAGATTTATTTACATTTTTTAGAAATAAAAATGTTGAAAAGTTTTTCTATTGAAAAGATTAGAATTATTATTTTTGTTTAGAAAATTACATTATTCGTCAAATTCAATGTTTTAAAAGTTATTTTTTTTTAAATAAACTTTCTTTTTCACAATGTATTGCATTTGTTCTTAAGTCTAGAAATTTTATACTCACAAGAGTGGTTCAATTATTATGCAAGAGTTAAGAATTTGTCATGTTTTTTCTGTTCAAATCGAGAAAGATAAGAAAGATCAACATAGTTAAATAAAATAACATTTTTTTTTTAATTTTCACTTATCTACATAAAAAAAAGTCACACGCTTTCTAATAAAAAAATTATAAAAAAAAAAATTTCTTTGAAAAACAAAAATTAATATATCAAAAGATAAAATTTCAAATGAAATAAAATTTTTAAATAAACAAAAAACTAAATTTTTCTGAATTGAAAAAATTTATTTTCTATATGAATAAAATAGTAAAAAAAATTATATTCGTTAGTTTCGTCTTTTAATTTAAAAGAAAAGCTATGAATGAATTAAAAAGATTTAATTATTATAATTGTCGAAAGAAGGAAAAATTTTGAAGTTTTAAACTTACATAATAATTGAACATCTCTTTAAATATTTTGGCAACTGATAAATATTATTTATAAACATTTTTTTCTATTTAAAAAAAAACAAAACTTGTATCATCCTAGATTTTGTAAATATATTAAGAATATTTAACTATTTCAAAAAAAACCTCCCCTGTTAACTCTTCATTCCCATTAATTTAGTTTGTTATTTAAATTTTTCATTAACTGCATAATCATAATTATATTCATAAATTGTAATTTAATACATTCGAATATTTTTTTTTTTAAATAACATTTTTTTTTGAGAAAAGAAAAATATTTATATCGCTATAAAATACCATTGTGATATCTCGGAGAGTAATAGGAATGCAATATTCATTTTATCAATTTGCTGAACGTATAATAATTAATAATTAACTGTCGATTATATAATAGTGGAGCTTTTTCAATTTAAAACCACTTTGCACTTTTGTAAAAACCCAAATAATGTTATTATAACTTTTAACGAAAACTACTCGATTTATAGATATTCTCAATTCTTTAAATTCGAATGTAAAAAGTAATTGAATTTTAATAATTGAAAGTTTTAATAATTATTAATTAATAGATAAATTTTTCCATATATTGAAAAATATTTTGTTTTTACCATTAAAAAAATTAAAATATCGAAACGAATTATTAGAGAAAAACGTCTTTAAATCAGATTGCAAATTTTAAGATAAATTAAATATCAATTATTACAATTGATAATTTTTATTTTTAAATTTAATTAATGATTGAAATTAAATTAAATTGAAATTAAATTAAAATTTATTTTAATTAAAAACGAAATTAAAATTAAAATTTAATTTAATTTAAATAAAAACGTAATTGAAATTGAAGTTTCATATTTAATATTAAATGTTTAATAACAAAACAAATATTAGTTCTATAGGAAAATTTCTTTGTTGAAAAATGAAAATTGTAATTAAATTTGAATTTTCATTTAAAGTTTATTAAATTTAACCTTATCAATAAATTAATAAATTTAATATTCGAAAATATGTTTTTAAATCCCTATAGCGTGTAAGCGTAGGACAATTTTTATCCAGTTTTTCAGTAATTTATTCACTACTCCCTTTTTTTTAAATACAAAAAACTTTCTCTGTAATTTTCATCTCAAAAAAGTAATGCATTTTTTTTCAATTATACAATATTGGAAATTTTATGAAAAGTTAATTACAGAACAAGTTTTTCTATCGCTTTTATAGTAAAAAAAAAAATATTTACATCTATGACTGATATAAACTTTAATTTAATAAATAATTATTTTTGAAAAATTAATTAATTGATTAATTAATTTAATTATCAGAAAAATGAATGTTTTAAAAAAAAGAAGGAAAGTTTCGACGAAGTAATATGTGTAACGAACAATTAAAAGTTCGCTGCGGCACTAAATATAGTTTAAATAAACAAAAAAGATGCAAAAGTTTTAATACAGGAATTGATTTTTAATTTGTATTCAAAACATTCAAAATTTGAAAAAGTAAATTATTGACTCAATTTTTTAATTAAAGCTTGCTTGGTAAATACAATAAGGTGGTGCCTTTAAGCGAATAGCTGTAAATTATTAATGAAAAACAAAAAACTCTAAACAATAAAGAAAAGAAAATTATCCTAAGTTGTACATAAAATAATTTCAGCTTTTCTCTTTTTGATAAAATAGGGTTCTTTATTGAATTTCACATTCAATAATTATTAATTTAATCATTGTAATTTGAGGGAATAAAATTATTCAATATTTACTATTTTGACTCTTGTTATTTTTGTATAAATGTTTTGCTTTTTTTAAAATAATTGTATTACTATTTTTTATATCGATTTTCTTTTCTTTTTCCTTTCCTTCTCTTCTTTTTTATTTGACGTGCAAAAAATTGTGTCTAACCTGAATTGAAAATTATTCTCTTAATTCTTTGGAATCGCTTTTTTTCGATAACATTTCGAGAATAAAATCATTATAAATGAATTTCTTGCCTGGAACATAATGACCACCTTCGTGAATAAATTTCTTTTTATTGGAAAATACTTCACTTAATTCCTGCGCCATTACTGAAAATAAAAAAAACATTACTGATCATTTTTTTTTTGCTTTCAAATAAATGGTTTTATTTTTCAAATAAAACACAATTTAAGTAATACAATTTTTCGATTATTAGATTATATTGGAAAAATCGTCTACTTACAAGTTGGAATTATTTTATCGCCCTCTCCATAAACGTGTAATGTTGGTAATTCAATTTTAATGTCCTTGTAAAATATCGCATGCGGCTCGCAAAGTGATTTAAATCCAGAAATAAGAATCGCAAAATCAAATTTAATCGGCGAAACTAAAAGATAAAATATTTTAGTTATAAGTATATAAACTTTGGAAAATTTAAACTAATAAATTGTTAAATAATAAATTGTTTTCTCACTTTTTCTTTGTTGCATTGCGCAGAGAATTGAAACAAATGATGCTCCTTGAGAGAAACCAATTATTCCATCGAATGGACCTGATTGTTCAAAGGTTTTCTCCACTAATGCTAAACTTTCATCAAAACCCACTGATAAATTACTTGGTACTGTTGCTTTGAATACTTTATTTTCTGTATTAAACCACCAACCGAATTCTGACATTAAAAAAAGAAAATTTTCAAGTTTAATTTAATTAATTTAATTTACGTTTTATTATATTTTTTACTAAATAAATAAATATTATACCTTCTCCATTGTTGTCTTCCTCTTTTTCCTCACTACTTTCCAAAGGTGGAACTTTATGAGGAGCTTTTATAAAAGTAAAATCAATTTCCTTTTTGAAACTTTTTCTAAGTGATCCAAGTTTCCCACTGAAAGTAGTATCCGATTGACGATATCCGTGAATTGCCAAAATCTATGAGTAAAACAAACAGTTTAAATTAAAAACGAATTCGAAAAATTCTAATTCTTGTCATAATTATTGAAAAGTCTAAAATGTATAGTAATTTAAATTGTACTCGAGACACTTACGCACTTTTAACTTCATGTTCTAGTCACTTTTTTCGAAAATATTTTTAGGTTTATTGCTGAAATCGTTAAAATTGTTGTATTGTTAAAAAGATTAAAAACAAATAACAAATGCGGTAATCTGACAGTTTTAGGTTATGTATTGTTGTGAACCACGTGATAAAACTCTACTATTCCTTCGGTCGGTAATATCGAAATCTATAATCAAAATTTTTGTTTATAGGTTAGAAAGCAGACATGTTGTCAAAAAAAGTCCATAAAAGTTTCAATCTTCCATCATAAAATAGTGCGTGAATGTCGTGAATTAATTGAAAAGCTCCGAAATTTGAATGATGTAATTAAATGAATTAAATAATCGATTTATTATCACGATAATAATACCGTAAGTGACGTCAAACCAATCAGAAATAACCACATACAATTCTTGTGACTATCAACCAATCCCTACTTTCTGGAGCACACTTCGATTTTATTCCCCACAATTTCTCAGTTTGCATTCGCATGAAATAGAGAATATTACATCAGACTGTGAGTGAACTGTTGCTTTTTTTAAGAAAAACAAAATTCATTCATCAAACATCTTTCAAGGAAGAAAGACGCTATTCTCGCAAGAAAACGAAATACGTTTTTCATTAAAAAAAAAAAAACCGAGTGCAGCTCATTGGTTCCTGACAATTTTGACAAGTGTGAAACAAGTTTTCGACAATAACATTGTCTGCTTAAAATTGTTTCTTTTTTATTTATTTGTAAAGTAATTATTTCTTATGGCAGTTCATAATGAATACTATGAAAAGTGTCATCATTACATTGCCTAAGGGTCATTTAAAAAAGGACAGTTTATTATCAACTGGAACAAAATTAAATTTCACAACATCAATTCTCACTGGTGATAAGTTGAAAATTGATAACAGAATAAAACAAGTGAAACATATGGATGAAGCAATGGATACAACAATTTTAAAACAGGAACCAATTAATATTCGTGGAAAGAAACGGCGACTCGATCACCTCACGTGGGAGGAGAAACTTCAAAGAAAGTTAGTTATTATTGATTATTTTTATTTTAATACACTTTTGCATTTATTATTTATATATCTTTACCGCGCGGTCATAGAATTTCTTTAACCTCGATTAAAAATTTAAGTGACTTGCGTTCTTGCGTTTGTCATAAATAGTAAAAATGACGCAACTTCGCAAATTTATTGATTCTTACTCACTTTTCACGCAAAGAATACAACAAATTTTATATAAGTTATTTTAAAATTACTTTAAACAAATTGTATTAAATTTATATTTACTTTATTTTTTTTTCCTTATTTCTGTATTTCATATTTATTTGTTATTTTGTTCGTTTATTTTATTTACTTTTTACTTTTCAGGTTTCGCACTCATCTACTAAAATCAACTGTTTACTATTTTCTTACGCTTTGGATATTTTTTTAGATTTATGACACTAAAAGCTACTTTTTTCTTTATTTTTGGGGGAAATTTGCATCACATTAAATACAATTAATTTCCCATAAATAATAAAATTCCTCTCAAGAATTCAATTATCTACTTTTAAAAATTCACAATAATTCAATTATTTTCCCAAATAATTAAATTTTTTCACGAGAATTCAATTATTTAAAAAGAATTAAATAAAATTCTTCGCAAAAATTCAATTATTTGGGAAAATAATAAAATTCTTCTCAGAAATTCAATTATTTTTTTAAAAATTCATAAATTCTTTCATTAATTCTTCACAATTATTCAACTCTTTTCCCAAATAATAAAATTCTTTTCAGAAATTCAATTATTTTTTAAAAAACTGATAAATTTTTTAATTCTTTCTTTAATTCTTCACAATTATTCAATTATTTTCCCAAATAATAAAATTTTTCACGAAAATTCAATTATTTTCCAAAATAATAACATTTTTCACGAGAATTCAATTATTTTCCAAAATAATTAAATAACATTCTTCACAAGAGCTCAATTATTTTTATAAAAAATAAAATTCTTTAGAAGATTTCAATTATTTTAAAGACATTGAAAGAAACTTTTGTTAAGAATTAAATTTTTTCATAAATAAATGAATTCCTTACAAAATTTCAATTATTTTCAAAAATTTGAAACAAAATTCTGGTCAAGAAATCTTTTCGAAGTAAAATTCATCCCAAAAATTAAATTATTTTTTATAAATAATAAAATTCTTCTGAGGAATTCAAATATTTGCAATACAATTTTAATAAACGTCAAAATTCAAATATTTAATTATTTAAAAAGAATGAAATAAAATTCTACTGAGAAATTCAATTATTTTTTTTAAAAATTGATAAATTCTTTCTTTAATTCTTCACAATTATTCAATTATTTTCCCAAATAATAAAATTTTTCATGAAAATTCAATTATTTAAAAAAAAAAAAAAAAATAAATTAAGTTCTTCACAAAAATTCAATTATTTTCATAAATAATAAAATTCTTCTCAGAAATTGAATTTTTTTTTAAATTGATAAATAGAATTAAATTTTGAGAAACACTCAATTATTCAATATATTATTTATTTTTGTATTTAAATAGTTGAATTTCAGTTCAACTTTCTGATAAGAATTGATTTAAAAACGAATTTCAGTGGAAAGTTTAGATAATAATTGAATATTAAAAGCGTTATAGTACGATTTTTGTTTAGAAATAACTAAATTTTAAAAGGTTATTAAATTGAAACTGTTGAAAATTTTAATTGTTGTAAAACTGTAATTAAAGCTAATTTTTGATATTTTTTTAAAAATTAATTTTTGAGTGTGAAGCCTGCTTTATTTATTTTTTTCCTTATTTCTTTTCCATTTTTATTTTTTATTTCGCTAATTTATTTTATTTACTTTTTACTTTATTTTTTTTTTCTTATTTCTTTATTTCACTTTCTATTTTGTTCATTTATTTTATTTACTTTATTTTTTTTTATTTCTTTATTTCACTTTCTATTTTGATCATTTATTTTATTTACTTTTTATTTTATTTATTTTCTATTTATTTTTTCCTTATATTTTATTAACTTTTTCGGATTATTCTTAACTATTGGCATTTTTTTTGAGCAGAAAATTGAAGAACAGAGTGGCGGCGCAAACATCGCGTGACAGAAAGAAGGCGAAACTTGACGAACTCGAGGAGACGGTTCGCATGCTGACTGAGAGGAATGACATTTTAATTCAAGAATGCACGATGCTGAGGACGGAGAACGAAACACTGTTGAATGAAAGTGAACGATTGAAGATTGATTCAGAGTCAAAGAAGGACGAGCGACTTTGTTCGATGTGTCAAGGTCGTGTCGACTTTACTGCACCTACATCGGGATCAGCAGAATCTCGGGTTAACCCTCTGCCGCAGGGTGGGTCAGTACAGTCGGCAGAACCTCTGACATTGACGCCAAGTGCAATCGTCCTTCTGAAGATACTGACACTCTCCCTCCTCTCGAGGAATTGTTCAGCGAACTCCAAGGGGACGATTACATCGACAGACTCGAAGAATTGGCCGAGAGCCTTCTGCGAGAAGTTACCGCAGAAGTGGAAGCACATTCTTCTCGACCAAATGAGCAGGTAATTCTACTTCTTCTTCTTCTTCTTCGTATAGTGAATTTTCTGTTCAGTGACAACTCTATTTTAACTAAAAGAAAAAGCGAAAATAAAAAAAATAATTTCCCCTCTTTTTTAGATATCAGTCAAGAAAGAAACCACCGGAACACCTGCAATGGTGGATCAAGCATCAAAAAACATGGAAACCAATAGCAATCCAAGAGGTTTGACAACAACAACAACAACAACAACAACAACAACACAAGTTTCCCATTCGTCAAATGGATTTTCAAGTAACAACAATAATCAATTGTCAAAAAATCAGGATGTGAAGATAAAGCGCGAGCCAATAAACGATGTTGACACTGTTTATGGTACTTATGACGAGGCAACTAATTGCATAACAATAATTTATCCCGGCGACAATGACGATATTAAAATACAAGAGAGTGTACAAGAAGTGTCAACGGAAAATTTAACGACAAATCAAAAAGACGAACAGATATTGCCAACAGTTGTAACGCAATTACAAACTTATGTCGATCATCTTTCGCCCTTTTCATGTCAGGATTCAATGTCACCGGCTTCAATTCATTCGGATGATACAGATGCAAGTACGGCAACTGCTTCAAAGAATGATTCGAATTTTTCCGATATTGGCTATGAATCGCATGGTTCGCCATTCGATGAAACTGTAAACGTTCCTGAAACATCGACATTAACCGATTTATGGCACGAGAGTTTCACAGAATTATTTCCCAGTCTAGCTTGATTGGAAAATCATTGTTGATTTTCCTCGATTTCAAATTTTCATTCTATGGAAATGGGAAACAAATTTATTGAAAAGTGATGAGATAAAAAATAGTTTTGAATATTTCTTTTTCTCTTTATTAATATTGAATTTTTCTTCTCATTTCCTATTTTTATTTATTGATAGAAATATTTTTTTAATTGAATTCCAATTTATAATTTTATTCATTAATCCGATAATCGGATTTTAATTATTTATTTATCAAATTTTGAATTTAATTTTCAAATTCAAGTGAATATTTTTGTATTAAAAGAAATTAATATCAAATTAAAATTTTAGTCTTTTTTATTTAAAAAAAAAAGTTCGAAACTTATTTTTATTGCGAAACTTTCAATATATTTTTTTTCTGAATTTAATCTGTGATATTAAATCGTGACTTATAAAAAAGTTTCGTTTGACAAAACTGATGCACTCTCTTATTATTTTAATATTGTATTTATATAATTCTCTTCGTGTAAGTTTATGTGAATTTTGAAGACATTATTTTTGCACTTCATTGTAATGATATGTTTAATATTTTTTTATAAGTATAATTTTACTGATACTTAGTTTCTCTTCATTTTTATCAAAATGGATCTTTTTTTTCTTGTGTTAGCACAAGTGTGTTGAGTTAGCCTCGCGTAAATAAATATTTAATTGAATATTTATATAAATATAAAAATAAGTATCATAAAGGGAAAAATTGAAGTAAAATTCATTTCATAAAAAACATTGATGTCAATAATTTGTGTAAATAAATTTATTATTCATTTTGTAATATCTTCAACTATTCCTGGGGATTTGGAAAGCACAAGTTATGAGTGAAATACAAATACACTTGATAATCCTCAAAATTAAATTACGTTTGTCTTTTTTATTTACGATCCTTTTTATTTGATTGATTGACCCTTTTTACTTGATTAGAGAAAAATTGACTTTTAACAAGTTTTTTTTATCTAATTTTATTCTTTTTTTATTTTGTCTAATATTTTAATGTAACGATAAATGATTAATGAATATAATAGAATTGAAAATTTACAATTTGTTTCTTTTTATATTGCCTATATACAGTTCATTATTAACATTTAAACAAGAAATATTAATTATTAATCTTTCATACTTATTTAAAACTTCACTATTCTATGTTTGTAAAATAAAAAATATATATTTATATTATTTTCATTATATTATATTTTTATTGTTTATTATTTTATTTTTTAATCTGCCTAGGTAATTATTCCTTACTTGAAATTTTATGTCTAAAAAATATTTTTCATAATTTGTTATTTTCAATTCTAAACAATTGAAAATTGAATTTTTTAAATTTGACAATAACAATGGTAAACATAACCTCAAAATTCTATCTGCTTAAAAGGTTTAAAATTGTTTTCTATAATTATAAACAAACCTTTTTAAATATTCTCCGAGCATTTGAAATCAATAATATTTTTTCAATATCAAGAAAAATAATACTGAAAAATGTTTGTTTACAAGGTTTATACCATTTTTTACGACATATTTAAAGTCGGTAATGTCAATCGCGTCAATAATAAAATTGCACATTACTCTTAATAAAATGTACATATAATAATAAAAATTTGATAAATAGATTAATCTTAACTCACTAATTGATTTACAATCATATTCCAGTAATAAAACTAATTAATAATTGCATTAATTAATGAATTTAAGTGAAAAAACGTTAGTTCCGGGTTTGTCCGCAAAATATAGGTAGATGTCGCCCCAAAAAATGGGGTTTTTTCATAGTTTTTGAGTTTCCCATACAATTCGCCTTCGTCGTAACTAGCACTCTCATTGGCTAGATTCAAATTTGCGCGCGAACCAACAAGCCAATGAGAGCAGTATAAAACCTAAAGGTGCATTTCCACATGAGTCGCTCTCATTGGCTTGTTGGTCCGCGCGCAAATTTGAATCTAGCCAATGAGAATGCTAGTTTCGACGAAGGCGAATTGCATGGAAAACTGAAAAACTACGAAAAAACGCCATTTTTTGGGGCGACATCTACCTATATCTTGCGGACAAATCCGGAACTAACGTTTTTTTACCTAAATTAATTATTTAAAGCAATTATTAATTAGTTTTATTACTGGAATATGATTGTAAATCATCTGGAAGGATATAATTAAGTTATTTATTGAATAATAGTTATTAATATAGTGACGTATATTATATATCAATGTTTTAATTACAACTTTTTGAGGTTAGGAAAATGATGTTGAATTGTTATTGTTATTAAAAGACGTTCACAGTACAAACTCCACAAATAATTTTGTAACCTCGAAAAATAAATATAATAATATATTTTTTTAGTGTATTTTGAATATTTTAAATTGTTTTTTTAATTCAGGATAAATAACAAAACGTACTGTTTATTTTAGAGTAATTGTAAACATTATTTAACCTTTTATTTTAGAAAGTAAGTTACATAAAACTATTATTGATATTTTTCTCTTAACTTTTTTGAAGCTTTGTTAGTGATTGTTTTGTTTATTTACAATATATTTTTGTTTTTTAACATAGTCTTATAAACAATGACCGAGTATTTTAGTCCATTTGTATTCTGGGCTCAAACACCAGAACATATTTCGCTTAAAATTGATCTCCACAATGCCAGGGTGAGTCTTTCAACTATTATAATTAAATTATAGAATAGGTATTAATTATTTAATTAATTATATTATTTATAGTACAGAAAGTAATTGAAGTTTATTTTTTTAGAATGTTAAAGTTGAAATTGAAGAGAAACGTCTGATATTTCTTGCCCATGGACGAGGGGCAAGGGGACCTAATGATTATAGTTTTATTCTTGATTTGCATTCGGCAATCAATCCTGAGGTATTTTTATAATATTCTATTATAGATGAAAAAGAAACAATAAAAACTATTTTATGTTTATATTTTTTTTACTATATTTATTTATTATTTACTATTTCTCTATTTATTTTAATATTTACTATTATTCTTATTTTATTCTATTATTTACTATTATTAATAAATAATTAAATATAAATGAAGAAGAATACAAATATTTTTCCATGAAGTAGAAAAATATTTTTTTTACCTTTTATACTTTTTTAACATTTTTTTAGAGTATAAAAAACAGTTATTTTTATGAAAGGAAACAAAAAGAAAAAATAATTTTTTCAGGAAAGTCATTATAAAGTTATTGAGAGACAAATCGATTTTATTTTGGTGAAAGAAGTGGAAGGTTGGTGGCCACGCTTAACAAGTCAACCGCAAAAGCCTTCTTGGTTGAAAATTGATTTTGATAAATGGAAAACCGAAGACATTGACGATAATGATGATGAGAAGCGTGATATTCAACAAGATTATCCCGATATGTATGATAAATTGCACAAAGAGGAGTTTGGCTATCGAAAAGGTAAATAAATAATTTACAATTACTTACCTTTTTTTCTTTTTTTGAATTAGACATAATAAGAAAAAATTTTGACACAAAAAATATACAATAATTAAAATACTTTTCTTTACTCAATAATTTTTTCTTATTCCAGAGGATTATAAGAAAGTTTATCTTATATTTTACAATTTAAGTCAATTCATCGGATATTTTTACATTCTTTCTGTGATGGGTATAAAATATTCACGTGACGGTCCAGGTTAGTGTGATTTAGTTAGTTAGTTAGTTAATTTAAATTACACAATTAATATTAATAGAGAATTTAAATTATTTATTCGACGATAATAATTTTTAAAAAACCAATAAAGAAATATTTGGAAGAAAAGAAATAAATTAAATTAATTAAACTATATAATTTCAACTGTATTAATTAAATTATTTTAAATCAAATTAATTAGAATTTTTAATTTAAATAATGTCAATAGTTAATTTTAATTATTATTCAATTAAAACAGTGAATTAAAATTATTTTAAAGTATTTTTCAATTAATAGTGAATTTAAATTACTTAATGGACGATAATAATTTTAAAGAAAGAAATACTCTGATGAAAAATAAATTGATTTCAGATTCAATGAAAGACACATATCAAATAGTTGGCGGTATAATGAGATTTGTGCAAATTCTCCAATATTTAGAAGTGATGCATCCAATATTTGGTTACGTGAAGGGAAATGCATTTATACCATTTCTCCAAATATCAGGTCGTACGTTTGTTTTATTTTGCATGATTGAGGCCGAGGAGAGAATGCAAACGAAGCCAGTTGTATTTTATGTTTTTGTTGTATGGTCAGTTATTGAAATTGTTCGCTATCCATATTATTTGAGTCAATTGTTAAATGTTGAAATAACAATTCTAACATGGATGCGATATACAATGTGGATACCATTATATCCATTGGGCTTTCTTTGCGAGAGCATTATTATTCTTCGTAATATTCCATATTTTGAGGAAACATTAAAATTCACTGTCTCATTGCCAAATGCGTGGAATTTTGCTTTTCACTTTCCCACTGTATTGAGAGTTTATCTTCTTGTTTTATGCCTACCTGGCATGTATACAATGATGAAGCACATGAGGAATACGAGATTGAAAAAGCTCAGTTCGACTAAAAGGAAAGTCAAGTAATTTTCTTCCTTTTTCCAAAAACAAAAAAAATTTCCACGCACTAAAAAATTATTTTTTAGTGAGCATTTTGAAAAATGATTCTAAAGTTCCGCATTTTTTATTGAAACGAAATTTATTTATTTCTTCTTGAAATTAAATTCTTATTAACAATAAATTTGCGTTACTGTCAAAAAAAAAAAATTAATTCTAAATTTTCTTAACATTTTTAATACAAAAAACGTAAAAATTTCATTCAGTTGAAGGATCGAAACTTATTGATCATTTTGAAAAACAAAAAAAAAATGGACCATCTTTTGGGAAAGAAAACTATTTTTCGCAAGAAGAATGTTTTTAAAAATTCTGCTTTGAATTTCTGATATCGAATTTTAATATAGAAAATATTTCTATATTAATAATTATTAATTTTAAGTTCGAACAAAAAAAAATTGAAAATAATATTGTGGTCTTTTTGGAGCGTGAGAGATGAAAAAAAAATGTCTACAATTAGAAATAGCTAGAAAAACCATTACTAGGTTATTAATAAATTTCGAAATGTATTTATTACTCAAAGTAAATTTTTCCTGAATTAAAATCCAGGAATTTTTCTACGTCATTTTTTTTAATAATATTTATAGTACGCCAGGAACAATAATAACAATATTAATAATAATACAATGAAAAAATATTTATACTTTTTTTATTTGAAAATATTTCAAATACTGAAATAATTGATTCAAATAATTTTTTTCTTCAGTGTAATAAATCAATTTATTATGTAATAAAAAAGATTGTTCATCAAAGTTTTTCTGTTTTGGTAAAAAAGATAAATCGAAGCATTGATTTATTATTATATATTATTATTATTTGTATTATAATAATAATACAAATAATAATAATATATAATAATAAATCAATTTTTTTATTATTATTATTATTATTATTATTGTTAATATTGTTAATATTATTAGTATAATTATTATTGTAATTGATAAAAGTAAATTCGATAATTTCGATTACTATAATTGTCAATGAAATCGCTATCAAACAATAATAAAAATTATTATTTGAGAGCGATAAGTTATCTCGCCCATTTATGTCCATGCATAGCGATCGGAAAATGAAAAGAAAAAAAAAAGAATTGAGATAATTATTAATGAAATTTCAATTGTACATACAGTATTTTAATCTATGGAAATTTGTCGATAAATCTTATACACTTACGTATATATTTAAAATGTAATTCTTTGATACAAAATGTAGTGTCTACCTTGTAGTCGAGAAAAATATTTTTCAGAAAGTTTTTTTTAAAATTTAATTATTGTGAATTATAAATTTTGTAATTATAAACCATTATTTACTGGGATATTAACAAATTTCAAAATATTTATCGCAAGTAAATTTTTTTTGAATTACAATTATAACTGAATTACGATTATAATTTCTATAATTATGACTTGAATTACAATTATAACTAAATTAGGATTATAATTTCTATAATTATAACTGAATTACAGTCATAATTTTTTTTTAGAATTATATCCGAATTATAATTATAATTAAAATGAATTAGTTATAATTTTTTTAGAATTGTAACCGAATTATAATTATAATTTCTATAATTGTAACCGAATCATAATTATATAATTTCTATAATTATAACTGAATCATAATTATAATTTCTATAATTGTAACTCTTTTTTATATCCAGAACTTAAATTCAATATAAATAAAAAATATTGTCAGGTATTTAAAATATTCAATACTACGGAAAAAAAGAACTTTTTGTAATTCTTACATTTTTTCAAATTATCAGCAATACTCGAAAGTTTTCTCTAGACGTTGTGATTAAAAAAATAGCAACAATATTTTAATTTTAATTCACAGAAAAGCAATTTTTGGAAAAAAGATTTATAAATTTTTCGGGAGAAATGAAGTGTGTGTGTGTGTGTATAAAAAATCACCTATTGTTGTGAAAAATTAATTTTGTCAAGTTGAGGCAAAATTCTGCTTGTTTTACGTAAAACAATATTTTATAACTTGATATTAATTATCTGTGTCTTTATAGTCAAATAAAATTTTGAGTGTACATATTTTTTTGTCTTCTAATGAATAAATCTGCCGTGATATTTATAATTTCATTAAAATTTTGATAGTTTTTTTCTAATTATTTTTAACACTAGAGAGAGTTTGCGGTGAGAATTTCTCAAAAACTGTTCCGATATTAAATTACCGGAGTAACTCGCCTGACAAGTTTCTTTCCTTTTATTATTTAATTTTATATTTTTATTATCTCCGTTAATTTTTTTTCTGGCAAAATTTTTTTTCCACTTTAATTTATTTGCAAACACATTTTTAATTTTTTTTTACTTATGAAGAATATTTTTAATTAATTTTAGATATTTATAATTAAATACAACTTTATTTTTCTGTACTTTCCTCATTTTTTACTATTTTAACTTTTAAATTTAAATGAAAATTAAAAAATACAAAAATATAAATACAGTTCTGACAATTTTCAATTATTCAGAATTATATATTTCTAATTGTGTCGAAATATTTTCTATTCTAAAATATAAAAATATAAAAATACAAAAATATAAATATAATTGTAACAATTTTCAATTATTTATAATTATTATTTTTCCAATTGTGTCAAAATATTTTATATTTTAAAATATAAAAATAAAAAAATTAAGATAAATATGTGTCGAAAATATTTATGAAAATTTCTTTAGGAAAATTCTCTCTCATCTACTTATTAATTCTGAATTTTTAATGTGATTCTGATAATTAAAATTTTATAAATATAATTCTAATAATAAATGCACAATTTTAAGAATATTTCAAAATTCTAAATTCTACGCAGACTCGAGATGTAAGTTGAGAATTTTATCACTGCGATTGTGTGTGTAGATCAGTTTACTTATAAAGTGACAATCATAGCCTATAACGATCGCATTACAATCACACGGTGGCGATTGTGTGTAGAAAGAAATACTTCTGTTCAATAATTGTGTTTAAAAAAAAATTTGTTTTCCACTTAAACAATAGAAATAGAATTATTTAAAAAATGCTTCGTTTATTAAGAAAAAATTTTGAATTAACCCGCACATTCGCAACAAAAATTGGCCCTGTTCCCGATGCAAATCCACCGGTTTTATATTCAGGGGTAAGTTATAAATTAATTGCCCATTTCTTTAAATATAAAAGAAAAAAATTGTTAATTAATTTTTAATAAAAAGAAGAAAGAAATTTTATTAAAGTTACAAACAACCGGAGAATAATTTCAAAGTGTTTCAAAGATTTCTAACCTCTAACCTTTAGTATTATTTTTATTTACAAAATCCATTTTTTTTCTTTATCGATTTAATTAAATTTTATCAATTCCATGAAATTTGTTTCTTTCGTAAACAAGAAGTCTTGTTTTTCAAGAATCTAGATTTTTCTATCAGAAATAGAAAATTATTTTGAAATTTAAATGTTTTCCAGTATCCTTTTTGATGAAAAAATTGAATTTTAATTTTTCTCGTTTCTTTTTTAGATTTTTATAAACAATGAATGGCATAAGGCGGAATCGGGAAAAACTTTTCAGACTATTAATCCAACGACAGAGGAGGTAATAGCTGATGTTCAAGAGGGAGATACGGTGGATATTGATAAGGCCGTGAAAGCAGCGAGAAAAGCATTTAAACTTGGTTCGGATTGGAGAAAAATGGATGCCTCACATAGAGGAAAACTATTAAATCGTTTAGCGGATTTTATAGAACGCGATCATAATTATATTGCGGTAGATATAGAAAAGAACTTTAATTCTTTCGTAGCTTTAAGAATTTTTTTTAAAGAATTTTCTTCACGGAAAGAAAATAAGTAAATATTAAATTTTACTGAAAAGTATTTTACAATATTTTGAGTATTTACAATAAAATTTTATCAATGTTTTTTAAAGTAATTGAATTTTTCAGAGAATTTTATTAAATTTGTTAAAAAAATAATTGCATTTCTGCTAAGAATTGCAATATTCATGAAAATAATTGAATTCTTAGCAAGAATTTTATTAAAAATTTTTAAAATAAATAATTGAATTGTTTCCAAGCATTTTTTATTCAAATTTTTGAAAAAAGTTTAATTCTTTGAAGAAATTTATATAAATTTGTATTTAAATTAATTGAATTCGTTTAACGAATTTTAACAAAACTTAAAAATAATTGAATTTCAATGAATTCAATTAACATTTCATTGAAAAGAAATAAATTTTTATAAAGAATTTTATTTAAATTTTTCAAAATAATTAAATTCTTTTGAGGAATGAAATACTATTTTAAAACAATTAAATTCTTTCAAAGAAATTAAATAAAAGTTCTCTAAAATTATTATTTTCGAAATAGTTAATATTGTATTGAAAATAATTGAATATTCTTGTTAAGAATTTTATTATTTAATAAAAAGTAATTGAATTCTTGTAGAAAATTTTATTAAAGTTTGAAAAATTATTTGAATTCTTGCGCAAAAAATTAAAAATAAAATTGTTTTAATTATTCAATTGTTTAATAAAATTTAATATTTATTGTCTTTCCGTGTTTGAATTTTGGTTTACAAAAATTCAATTTTTTTTACCTGAATTTTTGTATATTTAAAGAATTCACCTGTTTTGTTTTCTTTTCTTTTCACAGTCTTTGGAAACATTTGATAATGGAAAACCATTTGCCTCTGCTTACGGTTTTGATGTACCAAGTAGTATCGCAACATTAAGATATTACGCCGGCTATGCGGATAAAAATCATGGCAAAGTCCTTCCAATGGATGGTAAATTTTTCGCCTACACAAAACACGAGCCTGTTGGTGTTTGTGGACAAATTATTCCATGGAATTTCCCCCTTTTGATGATGGCTTGGAAAATTGCTCCTGCCTTGGCAACAGGTAATAATGGCAATTGTTTTTCTTAATCTGAAATAAAAAATAATTAATTAAGTTTGATTCATAAATTCCATTATATTTTAAAAACTAATTAAATTTGAAATATTTTATTTAGAAATTCTAAAAAAGAGGTTTTTGAAAAATTGTAATTAAAATTTTTTTGAAGATAATTGAATTCCTGTAAATAATTTAAATAATTGAAAGAATTAAAAGTTTTGGCAAATTTGATTCAGATAAATTTTTTATTTAAATGAATTTAATTTTATTATTCTTTTAAAAATTGTTTTGAAATATAATTTCAAATATTATATTATATTATATTATATATAATAAATATTTTTGAAGAATTATATTATATTATTCAAAAAAATAATAAATTTTAATTGAATTTCAAAAATAAAATGAGAATAAAAATAATTTTAAATTAATTTGTGGATTTTTGTTACAAAAATGAAGAAAAATAAAATTTCTTTTTACAGGCAATACTGTAATTTTGAAGCCAGCAGAACAAACGCCACTCACGGCATTGTATCTTGCACAATTGACAAAAGAAGCTGGATTTCCGGATGGCGTTGTGAATGTTGTTCCTGGTTTTGGAAAAGCCGGAGCACATTTAGTGCAACATATGGACGTTGATAAGGTTGCATTCACCGGCTCAACGGAAGTGGGAAAATTGGTGAAACAAGGCGCAGCAATGAGCAATTTAAAAAGAACAACACTCGAATTAGGTGGAAAATCGCCAAATATTATTTTGGCTGACGCCGATTTTGATCATGCCGTTGAAACATCGCATTTTGGTCTCTTCTTTAATATGGTAATAATAATACGAGGAAAAATAATTCGCTCACAAAATAAGGGGGCAATTTTGAAAAAAAAAATTGAAATTAAAAAAATTCTTCAAAAGAATTCAAATTATTATAAATAAATAAATAAAATTTCCAATAATAATTGAATTGAAACACTGACTATTTTCATTTTTGTCATCGGTTTTTGTTGGAGAATTTTAATTGAAAATTTAGAAAATAATTGAATTTCACAAGGAGTTATGGAAATGAATTAATTAATTTGCAATTATTTAATTTTAGGGTCAATGCTGTTGTGCGGGTTCGAGAACTTTCGTCGAGAGTTCAATTTACGATAAATTCGTTGAACGAAGTGCAGCAAGGGCGAAAGCAAGAACAGTTGGAAATCCCTTCGATTCGAAAAATGAACAAGGTCCACAGGTGATTTGAATTTACAAATTTAAAAATAAAAATCAAATTTATTTCTTGAAAAAAGGACCAAAAAAAAAAATGCTCCTTTCCAGGTGGATGAAGAACAAATGAAAAAAATTCTGAGTTTAATCGACACCGGTAAAGCTGAAGGAGCAAATTTACTTTGCGGTGGCGAGAGAGTTGGTGATAAGGGATATTTTATTTCTCCAACTGTTTTCGCTGATGTTAAAGACAACATGACAATTGCTCGAGAAGAGGTAAACAAATTATAATCCAATTTTTTTCTCTACTTATTTTGAATTATCGCAAATTTTCGCAAATTTTCTTTTTCAGATTTTTGGACCAGTACAACAAATTTTGAAATTCGATAGTTTAGATGAAGTTATTGAGCGTGCAAATAACACTGATTATGGACTAGCAGCGGCTGTTTTCACGAAAAATATCGATAAAGCAAATCATTTAATTCAGGGATTGAGAGCTGGAACTGTTTGGTAATTTAATTCTTTTTAAATTACTAAACAATTAAATTATTATTTTTTTTGAGATTTAAAATGTAAATTGAATTTAAAAGAATATCGAGAGGAAAATTTATTTGGTTTGAATTTTTGTTTCCAGGGTGAACACTTATAACAATTTGTCACCACAAGTTCCATTCGGTGGTTATAAAATGTCTGGTCATGGAAGAGAACTTGGAGAATACGGCTTGGAAGCTTACACTGAAGTTAAAAGTGTAATTGTCAAAATAAACGAGAAGAACAGTTAGAAGAATTAACACAAAAATCTCATGGGAAGAGTACCTATTTTATCTCCTTTTTTCAGTGTCATTTTTACACACTTTTGTATTTGTAAATCTAAAATTCAAATTTGTAAAATGTAATTTTTTTCTAGAAGAATATATTTTCATACTAAAGAGTTAAATATTTTTTAAAAATATAATCATTATCGACTATTTACTGTTTTCAATAATAAAATGTCGAAATCTCATTCGACATTATATATTCTCCTTTTTCCGATTGTTAGAAATAAAAGTAATGTTCTTAAAAACCGAATGCTTTTTAATCGAATACTCAAATAGGGTTGCCACAAAAAATTAATTTTCTCTTTTTGTGACTTTTCCCTGATTTCCAGATTGAATTTTGACTTTTTCCCTTACACTAAAAAATATTTATTAAAAAATTATTTACTCTAAAAATTATTAGACACTCAAAAAAATGTTCTCAATTTATTTATTTGAGAATTTCTTTATTTGTAGAATTATTCAAAAACATCAATATAACTTTTTTTTAAATAAATATTTAATCATTATTACTCTTCCGTAGGAATTTAAATGTTTCAAAACATTCAAATTCAAACGTTTTAAAATTCCCTGAAATCTCTGACTTCCCTGACTCGTGGCAACCCTGTTAAAAGAAGTCAATCGACGTTTTAGAAATATTCGTTTTAATTACCTTTTGTTATAAAGGAAAGAATGATTAAATTCGACTTTCACATCTACTGGAACTAGGCGATGGTCTCATGTAATATTTCGATGGCAGTTCAATATTTTTTGAAGTAAGTAATTTTTTCACATAAGCTTCAGCTTCCACGTGACGAATCGTAAATTCCGCCACTTGCTGTAGAACCGATTTATTTAAATCATGTAATTCCCTCGCTGAAATGTCTTTCTGTGAAATAAATTTTTTTTGTTCATTAAAAAGACGAAAATCAAACAAAATTTAGAATTTTTAGTAAATTAAAAAAATTCAAGTTATCAAATTATATTAGTTATTATTATTTTCTATTAATATTAAATAAATAATATTAATAAAAAATTAAATACGGATGGATTTAATTCTATTTTAATATTATTATTATTATTTTTATTATTATTATTATTATTATTATTATTATTATTATTATTATTATTATTATTATTATTATTATTATTATTATTATTATTATTAATATTATTATTATCAAATTATGTAAAGAAGGAATTGAAAGAAGTAAGTAAAGTATAGAAGAAATTTTATGTCAGTAATAAATTCAGTAAAAGAACCAGTAATAAGTTGAGTTTTCTTTCTTCTAGTTTTCAATTGTAAATGAATTTTTTCTTTTTGTTCGAAAAAGAAATATACTTGTTTACTGCATAAAAATTTTTCGGGGAAAAATGAATTACATTTTTGAATGGTAGCTTGAAATGGTGGGATAAAGTTAAAAACATTGGGGGGTCTGAATAGTTTGAAAAGGATTAGTGAAGAAACTGCAGGTAAGCAGGTGGCGATAATTAAAAGATATGAATGAGTATAATATACCTCTTGCCATAAAATTGTATGATCGTCGGTGCACATACACATATTTTGTATATCCTTGTAAGCCTTCTTAAGACTTTTCTCCGCCCTCAACAATTTTTCCCTCTGCTCAGTAATTTGACGTTCCAAATTTTCAACATATCTCTCCTTCTCCACTCTCTCCTCCTTCTTCCTCTCAATGTCTTCCACAAGAATTGCAAAATTCTCCTCCATTCGCTGCGAACAATTTTTTTTACATTGAATTCCTTTTACTCGAAAATATTTCAATAATAAACCGTCATAAACTTCAAGAATATAAATAAATAATAATAATAATTAATTAGTATAGTAGTTAATAATATTGAATTTTTTAAAATTTTCTAAATTCTGAAATTATTCAAAAATTGAAATGAATATTTGAGAACAAAAATTTTTTTTTAGCAAAATAAATAATAACAAAATCATTTCATACTTGAATTTTGTTTCTAAAAAAGAGCAATTGATAAAAAATACCCTCAGATCCTTTTGCCTCTCCTCAAATTCATTTCGTATTTGTTTCTTTTTCTCGAGAACCTTATACATTTCTTCCTCTAATTTTTTATGCTCAATTTTCTCGGGTCCATTCTCATCGACATGCTCTAAACTCAATTTATATTTGTCGTTACATGTCTTAACGACACGCAAAGTATTTTCCATACTTTCAATTTCACGCTCTGATTTTCTAATTGTTCGATCGAGTTCATCGCCTTGCTCTTGCAATAAATATTTTTCCTGCGCATTTTGTATTTGTAAATAAGTTGTCGTTAATGGCTGTCCATCTTTATCGTTCACACCAATCAGTGCATTATTATTGTCATATTTTGCTGTTAATTGTTGAATTCGTGTTTTTCTCTCTGAAATTATTGTACGTAATTCAGAGCATTCATTCACTGAAATTCGCTTTTGTATTGAGAAACTTTCACGTTGTGCTTTTATTTCCGCCATTCTTTCCTGCATGCTCTGAATTTTTTTTTTTAATTATTATTAACGATTTAATTAAATTTATAGTACGAGAAATTTAATATTTTTAAATAAATACATAAATTAAATAATTAAATTAATAATAATCAAATTCTTTAAATTCAATTATTTCAATGCAATTTTAACTTTAAAGTATAAAGTATTTAAAGTATTTATCTAAATAAATAAAATATCGAATTTTTGTTTTAAAAAAAGAGAATTAAAGAATGAAAATTTAATTTAAATAATTATATTCTCTAAATTCGGTTTTTTTAGGGAAATATTTTACTCACGGCTTCAATTTGTAGGCGATATTTCTCCAAATTATAAACTTTTCCATCAACATTGGACATTAATTTTTCAATTTGATTCACTTTGAGTCGCAATAAATTTTCTTCAATTTGCTTCTCCTCATTCGTTGTTTGTAGTAATTTAGATTGTTTCTCACCACCTTCTATCAATGCTAACAATTTTTGCTTTTTATCACGTATACGTTCCAGTTCTTCATTATTTTTCATTTGTCCCTGCATCATTTCTTTTAAATCGTGCTGGAAAAAAGAAAAAATTAATTTTTATTTATACTGAACAAAAGTTGAAAGAATCGATTGTTTTTTTTAATTATTTACAAAAATAAATGAAACAATATAAAATGTAATTATATAAATATTTTATAAACTTTTTTTTTAAATAAACTAGCAAATGATTAAATATTCTCGTTTATTATTATTCAAAAATTTGAATAAAATCTTTCGCAAGAATTTCATTATTCTCATAAATAACAAAATTCTAAGAGCAATACAATTTTAATAAAATTTCTCAAAGGAATACAATAATTATTTTTACAAATATTAATTAAATTCGATTATTTTCAAGAATTTTAATATAAAATAAATTATTTTCAACAATTACGATGAAATTATTCTCAAAAAATCATTTTCAAAAGTTTAATAAAATTCCTTCGAAAAATTTAATTATTTTCAAAAATTCAGATAACATTCTTCGAAACAATTCAATTATTTTTATGAATTGTAAAATCCACCGAGAGAATTAAATTATTCTCATAAATAAGAAAATTCTCCGCAAGAAGTAAAATATTTTTAAAAATAATAAAATTCTTCAGAGGAATTCAATTATTTTCATGTATAATAAAATGTTTCGGAAAAATTCAATTATTTTCAATACAATTTTAATTTAATTTCTCGAAAGAATAAAATTATTTTTAAAAATATTAATTACATTCAATTATTTTCAAGAGTTTTAATAAAAATTCAATTATTTTCAACAATTCTGATATAAAATTTTTGGAAACAATTCAATTATTTTTATAAATTGTAAAATTCTTCTGAGAAATTCAATTATTTTCAATACGATTTAAATAAAATTTCTAGGAAAAAATTAAATTACATTCAAGATAATTTTAATAAAATTTCTCAAACAGGTTCAATTATTTTTAAAAATTGTAACAAACTTTTTCTAAACAATTCAAATGTTCTTAAAAGTTTTTAATAAAATTCTTTATAAATTTCTATTATTTTCAAAATTTTCAATTAAAATTACTTAAAAAAAATTACATTATTTTTACGAAATTTAATGAAATTCTTTTTAATAAAATTGAATTATTTACAAAAACTCTAATAAAATTGTTTAAAAGAATTTAATTTTCTGTGAACAATTTTAAAATAATTTAATAGAAAAATTATTATTTGCAATTAATAATAAACATTATTTTGAAAGCTTAAAAGAAATTCTTTATAAAATTCAATTATTTTCAAAATTTCCAGTAAAAATTATTAAAAAAAAAACTTCATTATTTTTAAGAAAATTGAAATAAATTCTTCAAAATAATTCAATTTTTTTCAAATTTTTTGATAAATACTTTGCAAGAAATTTTTGATTTTTGAAATTGATTTTTCGTACATTAATTTAAAAACGGAATCGTAAATAGAATAGAAATAAAAAAAAATACTTTTGAGACTTACGTCAAGATGATCAACTTGTGATTGTAATATTTTCAAACTACTCGTCTTCATTGAATAATTTTTTTCCAAATTCTCAATAATATTTTGTTTCCTAAGAACTTCGTCTCTATCCTTTTCAATATTAATCATATGCTCCAGGCGTATTTCATTTTTTTGCGCTTCCATTTCAACATTGTAGAGTTCACATTTCTTTTTTTTGTACATTTTCTCAATTTTCGACCGTAAATTATTGAGTGTTTCAATTTTTTTCCTCTCACTCTGATATCTTAGATGAATAATTTTTCTCTCATTTTCCAAATCATTTATTTGATTTGTAGTACGTAATATTTGTGCTTGAAAGCGATTTGTATCTTTTGCTATTGAAATTTTCCTTTTTTCTTGTTTCTGCATTTTAATTGATATAATAATTACCCAAAAAAAGAATAGAAAATTTTTATTATATTATCATAAAAAATGCGTATGATATTTGTTTTATTACCTCGAGCATTTCCTCTAATTGACGAATACGATCTTCAACATTCATTTTTTGATTACTGATATTTTTTAACGTTATTTTCAAATTTTCGATTTGCTTCAGACACGATTGAATTTTTATTTGTTTATTTTCAATGTCTATTTTTTTCCTCTTTATATTCGCTCGTTTCGATTGATTTTGTGAGGCGTATTGTTGGAAATTTCTCTTTTGAATTTGAATCTAAAACAATTGTCCAAATTTTAATTATTTAATTATAAAAAACGTTACAAATTTTTTTATGTTCAAATATAAAGTTATTTACTTATTTACCTATTTAGAAGTTTAGTTACATTTTACAAAAAAAAATATTTTGATTTTACCTCAGATTCTAACGTTTCGACAGTTTCCGCGAGTTTCTTTTGCTCTTCCTTGTCGGAGAAAATTTGCTTCTCCAATTGTTCAATATTCTCGTCCAATTCCCTATTGCTTGTGATTTGATGTTTCAAAAATTCCTCAGCCTCATTGAATACTTCCATTTTTTCCTTAGCAATTTCTCGTAGATTTTCTATTTCCTAAAAATCAGGGGCAAACAAATTCGTGTCTTTCTGATTTTCAAAAATTTCAAATAAAAATCAAAAACTCACTTTGCGTGTTTCTTGAATCGAATTATCTCTTTGCTTCAAAATGAGAACGCTCTGTGACCATTGATTTATTAATTGTCGCCTTTCCTTTAAAGCCTGAACGTACATTTTAGCCGTTTGATCCAAAGAATTTTCATACTCATTCAATTTATCAACCGCTAGAATCATTCCGTTTCTGTAGATTTCCAATTCTTCGCCTAGTTTTTGACGTTTTAGTTCGTACTCCTAGAAATTTAATAATAAAATCAATAAAAAGAAATAATTTCTAAAATATAATTATTTTAGATTTATAGAGTAAAATTTTCCACACACCTTGAATTTCTTCGCATCGGATTGAATGAATTTTTCGATTAATTCATTATCGTTGTTATCGCGTTTCATTGATTTCTCCCATTTCGTCAAACGATTCTGATCAATTTTTATCGTTGATTCAATTAATTTTAATTTCTCACCGACTCTCGACATATCATTCTCCATATTTGCAATTCTTTCGCACGTCTCTTTTTTGTCTTTTTCGAAATTATTTATTTCCTGTTTCAAACTCGAAAACATTGATTGCGACGTTTTATATAAATTATTTTCAGCTTCCGTTTGAGCTGAATAGGCGGAAATTAAATTTTGATTGTGTTCATGCTGCGATGTGAGATGAAGAATATTTTTTTTTATCGTCTCCACAAGTTCTTCTTTCGCCTCCATTTCAATGGACAATTTCTCCTTTAATTTTCGTTTTCTTTCCACCTTTTTGTTTAGAAAAAAAATTTATTCGGAAGGAAAATATATATTTGAATAAATTGAAAATTAAATTATTAAAAATTATTTAAACAGAGTTTTAAAAATAATTGAATTTCTACAATTATTTTTAATTTCTCCAAAATTCAATTTTTTTTTAAAAGTGTTTTTAACTAAAATTCTTCTATGAATCCATTACTTTTAATAATTAATAGAATATATATTGAAATATTTAACTAATTTGAGAAGAATTTGAATATTAAAATCTTGCAATTTTCTTACTTCCTCTTCCAGTTTTTTATTTTCTTCGTTCGCAATTGGAATACGAAAACCATCATTCCATCCAAGATCATTGAGAACATTGTCAATTATTCCAACCATTTTTCTTCCCTATTCCTCTTTCCTTTTCGAAAATCAATTTTTTCTCGTAAATTATAATTTTAATCAGTAAAAAACAATTCTAAAAGTAAAAATACAATAAGTAGTGAATTATTTCATGAGTAGAAGAGATATTTGATTCCATGGTAACCATAATCAATCGATTGTAAACAAATTGTTTTCCTCTTTTCTAAATTTTAATTTGAGTGCAAGATTTATTTTTAATTTTATTTTATCTTTAACGTTTGCAAAATAGTGAGTTGGAGGGAAAATTACCCATCACCACCAATTTATTTCATATTTCCGGCTACCTGAATTACCTGAGGTAAAGAAAATGAGCCCCCAACCTTCGTGTTTATGAGTGACGACTCAATAAAGCTCCGCGTTTGACCTGCCTGAAGAGATGACGGTTCAATGTTCAATTTGCGAACCCAATTTTCAGTTTGGCAACAACGCCAGTGGTCGACAGTGGTATTTGACACTCTCCTCAAGTGTATTTAGTGTTACTTAAGACTTCTCAACTATTAGTGTCTCTCAGTTTTCTGTAAAAGAAAAAAAAGCGAAAAACGTCAAAAGAAAATTTAATAAATTTTTCAAGTGTGATTTTAATAATAATAATTAAATTTTGTGTTAATTGAGTAATTCGTAAATTCATGCAAATTGGATATTATTTCAAGATTACGTGATTAGGGTATGTATTGTTTTTATTTTCATTAGTTTTTCTTCAAGAAAAAGAATTTTGTTTCTTGATAATTAGAGCGAATTTTTATTTTCTCTTATAATTTGGAATCTTTTGTTTAATTAATCCTTTTAATTTTGTTTTTGTTTTCTTTTTTTTTCTTTGAGTTTACTATGGGAGAAAAAAATTGTTGTTAAAATCTTCTGTTTTTCTTTCTTATGCAACAATAATATTGACAAAATTGAAAGTGAATCGAGAAACATTTTTATTCACAAAAGTTGTAAAATTTCTTGTTCAATTTTCATTTTTATTTCTCATCGAGTTTCTATTTTGACGGAATTTTTCCAGTTAACAATTTTTTAATACATTTCACCACAAAATTCTTTCTTGTAGTCGAAAAATTATGATTTTCTTTTTAAAATAGTTTTTTTTTGTAGTCGAAAAATTATGATTTACTTTTTACAATAGTTTTTTTTTTGCTTTTAAAACATTTTTTTAATATTTAGAATAGTTTTCTGTTTTTAAAATAATTTTTTTAGTTTTCAAAATTTTTTTTTGTTTTTGAAATAGTTTTTTATTTTTAAAATAGTTTTATTGTTTTTAAAAAGGTTTTTCTGATTTTTCAGATTTAAAATAATTTTTTTTTTGTTTAAAATAATAATTTTTTCCCGATTCTCTATTTTACTCTAAACGTTTTTGGAGTTTGTTTTACTTTTTAACTAAATTTTTGCAAACATTTTTTTTGTGAATCAAAAGTTTGAATCATCAAATTCAAAAGTTTCGAAAAAAGAGGGTTTTGCCACTTATTTTTTCTTTATGGGATTTTACCAGTTTTTGTTAAATCGGGTTTTACCCATTTTTAATCTCGTTTTCATCTATCGGATTAAATAAATATCCATTATTTCAATGAGAGAAGTCCTATATATATAAAATATTGTCAGAAAATACAAGCACTACCAGGATGAATTTATGAGGGAGCTTATGCGATAGAAAAATTTTTGGAAAACCAGGTCTTCTACATTTATCTGAAAATATAATCTACTACCATTTCTCGAAGTTTCTCGAAGTTTAAGTTTTTGCTTTTTGTTCAAACCAATACGAATAAATCTAACAATACACCTTTTTTCCAGAAAATACGTGTTTAAATTTCTCGAGTCATAAAATTCTCTTCCCCCCAATGCTCAATAATATAAAAACTCATTTATAAACTCATTATGCATTGAAGGGATATAAATGTGACACGCTCTCAAAAATAAGGGGAGCTTAGAAGCAAAAAGGAATTATTAAGTTATTTTTGATTTATATTAATTAAAAGTTTCTTCTTTTAATTTTCTAAAGTCGAAATCAGTTCTTATTTGCAGGTAATATTTCAATTCTTTTGCTACCAAAATTTCCATAAAGCAAATACTAAAAGACATAATAATGATACCAGAGAGAAAAATAAATCGAAAATTAATTTTATCTTCTGGGCATTATGAATTTTTAAATAATTGTATCGATTAACTTTCACGTTGTGCTTCAATTTTCGCTATTATTTCCTGCATGCTCTGGAATTTTATTTTTATTATTAACAATTCAATTAAATTAAGTATAAGAAATTTCCTATTTTTATTTATTAGAAATAAAATAAATAAAATTGTCCCGTTAATAAACAAATAAATAACTAAATTATAATTCAAAAAATTACTTATCTTTTACTGTTTTCTGAAATTTTAATAAAATTTTTTGCAAGAATTCAATTATTTTTATAAGTAATACAATTATTCTTCGCAGAAATTCAATTATTTTGACAAATTTTGATGAAATTCTTTTTATAAGAATATTCAATTATTATCAATGAAATTTTAATTAAATTCTTCCAAATAATTTAATTGTTTTCAAAAATTTGAATAAAATTCTTAGCATGAATTCAATTATGTATTTTCATAAATAAAATTTTCCACAAGAATTCAATTTTATGTTCATTAAAAGTTTAATAAAATTTCTCATAGAAATTCTATTACTTTTAATACAATTTTAAAAAAAAATTTCAGGAGAATTGAATGATTTCTATAAAATGTCACGAAAGAATAAATTCAATTATTTTTTTTAAATTTCGAAAGATTTCAATTTTTTATAAATAGTAAATTCTTGTTAAGAATTCAATTATTTTGATAAATAATTGAATTACCCAGAAGAATTTTCGATAAGTATTTTATTAAAATTTTTGAAAAAATGTAATTGTTACGCAGAAAGCTATTATTCAATTATTTTCACTAAAATTTTACTTAACTTCCGCAACAGAATTTTAATATTTTTCGAAACAATTAAATTATTTTCAAAAATTTTAATAAAATTCTTGACATAAATTCATTTATTTTCATAAATAATAAAATTCTTTTGAATAATTCAATTATTTTTAATACAATTTTAACTAATTTCCGTGAAAGAATTTTAATATTCTTCAAAACAATTAATATTTCTTTATTCTTGACAAAAAATTCAATTATTTTCATAAATAATAAAATTTTTCTGAGGAAATCAATTATTTTCAATACAATTTTAAATAAATTCCGCGAATGAATTTTTATTATGTTTCAAAAGAATTACATTTTTTAAAAAAAATTTTAATGAAATTTTTGCAAAGAATTTAATTATTTTCATAATTTATAAAATTCTTCTGAAGAATTCAATTATTTTTAATACAACTTTAACTAAATTTCGCAAAAGAATTTTAATTTTTTTCAAAAGAATTAAATTATTTTCAAAAATTTTAATAAAATTCTTGAAATGAATTCATTTATTTTTATAAACAATAAAATTCTTTTGAATTATTAGAATTTAATTACTTTCAAAAATAAATTTTACAATCTACAAAACTTATTCTCTGAAAAAAAAAATCTTAAATTTTATTTAATTAAAATTTTTGTTTGTTTGTTTTTAATCTTCAAAGCATTAAATTAGAATTTCATAAATTTTTTAATTTAAAAAAGTACTAATTATCAAAAAAAAAGAATTAGGAAGCAAAAAAGCAAGCAAAGAATAATCTGCGAACACAGTTTTTCGAAGAATATCAAATTGAGACACTTTTGATTCGTTTTTTATCTCAATTTGAATTCTATTAAGAAATTTTATTGGAATTGTATTAGAAAAAATCTGAATTCCTCAGAAGAATTTTATTATTATTTATATTTTAATATAGAATATTATTTATTTTTTAAATTATTAATTAATTAAAGATAAATAAAATCCAAAATTAAAAATATTCTTGTGACTTACGAAAATAATTTTTTTGTTCCACAGTTTTTGCTTCACCGAAAAATCCAAAAAAAAATAATGGAGGAAGAAGAAGGTGGATCAGGACACAAAAATGCCTTTATAAAATTCTTCTCCTTCACAAATCCAGCGGTGAAGAAGCTTCTCGGTTGGAAGCAGGGCGACGAGGAGGAAAAATGGGCCGAGCGTGCCGTCGACGCTCTCGTGAAGAAATTAAAGAAGAAAAAAGGTTCCCTCGACGAATTAGAGCGGGCACTCAGTAATCCCGGTGTACCAAGTAAATGCATAACAATTCCCCGCAGTCTCGATGGTCGCCTTCAAGTATCACATCGCAAGGGCCTCCCTCACGTCATCTATTGTCGTGTATGGCGTTGGCCCGATCTGCAATCACACAATGAATTAAAATCCATTGACTCCTGTCAATTTCCATTTAATGCAAAAAAACCCGAAGTCTGCGTCAATCCCTATCACTATAAACGTGTCGACATTCAAATGTTACCGCCAATTCTCGTGCCAAGACACTCGGAATATCCACCCGATCATTCACTGCAACCATTTCAACAGGCCTCCACCGAATATATGATGCCAAAAAATATGACGTGCTCGAATAATGGTTTTACTTCGATTCCAAGTCCTGGGAGTATTCCAAGTATTCCAAGTCCAGGCGCTGGACAACCGGCGAGATATTCGTCACCTGATTTATTCACCTCGGGTCTTCCTACGCCGCCCATGGAGACTTCACTGTCGAATCTTGAACAGGCCTTTGTTCCACAAAATTTTGGCAATGATGTCGATTTTGCCACCGATTTCAGTCAATATTTGAGTGCGAATAATTGCGACAAGTTTCAGTCGCAACAATTTTCGCCGTATCATCAACAGCAGCCACAGAATCATCAGCTGAATAATCAACATCAACAGAATCATCAACAGCATCAACAGAATCATCAACAGCATCAACAGAATCATCAGCAGCATCAACTGAATAATCAACAGCATCAACTGAATAATCAGCAGCATCAACTGAATAATCATCATCATCAACAGCATCAGCTGAATAATCAGCAGCATCAACAGAATAATCAGCAGCATCTACAACAGACAATAAATCAATCAGTGAATAATCCAACGGCAAATATTGTTTCAAATCAAGTGGCACAAGTTTGTTATCAGGAACCACAAAATTGGTCGACAATTTCCTACTATGAATTAAATGTCCGCGTTGGTGAGGTATTCAATTGTCAGTCGAATAATATAATTGTCGATGGTTTCACGCATCCAAATAATTCGGCGCGCTTTTGCTTGGGACAATTGTCGAATATTAATAGAAATTCAACGATTGAAAATACAAGGCGACATATTGGAAAGGGTATTAGTTTTCATTATGTGAATGGTGAAGTTTATGCGAAATGCCTATCGGACTATTCGGTGTTTGTTCAATCGAGAAATTGTAATCACGCGCATGGTTTTCATTTGAGTACGGTGTGTAAAATACCGCCAAAATGTTCGTTGAAAATTTTCAGCAATCAAGAATTTTGGTCATTACTACAGGAGACGGTTAATCGTGGCTATGAGGCAGTTTACGAGTTGACGACAATGTGTCTCATTAGGTAAATTTAGTTATTTATTTCATTAATTATATTATTATAATTATTCATTAATTTATTTATTTAGAGACAAAATTCTTTTCTCTATAATTAGATCGATAATTTTTTTTTTAATCAAATTTTCTTTTAGAAACAAGAGAATAGAAGACAAACTTTATTTATTTTTATTGATTTAATAATTTATTTATTCATTTAGATTAATTTATTTATTAATTTTCGATTCATAAAATTTAAAAAAAAATCTATTTAGTAATTTACTAAATAATTACAATTATTTATTGCTTTCAAAAACTTAAATAAAATTCTTCGCTGGGATTCAATATTATTTTCAACACAATTTCAATAAAATCTCTCAAAAAAATTCAATTTTAAAAATTTGACAAAATTCTTCACAAAAATTCAATTAATAAAAATTTCGATATTCTTTATGAAAATTTCAATTATTTTTAAAAATTCTAATTAAATACTTTACAAGATTTAAATTATTTCTGAGAATTAAAATTATTTTCAATACAATGGGAATAAAATTTCTCAAAAGAATACAATTATTTTTACAAATTTGATTAAATTCTTCTCAAAATTTCAATTATTTTTAAAATAAAATTTTTCGTAGGAATTCAATTATTATAAAGAATTTTAATAAAAGCCTTTGGAGAAATTAAATTACTTTGAAAAACTTTGATAAAATTATTTATGAGAATTTAAATATTTTTAAAACAGTTAAATTATTTTCAATACAATTTCAAAAAAATTTCTCAAAAGAATTCAATTATTTTTAAGAATTTTGATAAAATTCTTCGCAAAAATTCAATTATTTATAAAAATTTCGATATTCTTTATGAGAATTTCAATTATTTTTAATAATTTGATAAAATTCTTGTCAAAAATTCAATTATTTTGAAAAATTTCGATATTCTTCATGAGAATTCAAATATTTTCAATACCTACAATTTTAATTAAATTTCTGGAAAAAATTCAATTATTTTCAAAAATTTGATCTAATTCTTCGCAAAATTTCAATTATTTTTATAATTTATAAATTTTTCGCAATAATTCAATTATTATAAAGAATTTCAATAAAAGTATTTGCAGAAATTCAATTACTTTGAAAAATTTTAATAAAATTATTTATGAGAATTGAAATATTTTCAAAACAATTAAATTATTTTTAATACAATTTTAATAAAATTTCTCTAAAGAATTCAATTATTTTTTAAAATTTTGATAAAATTCTTCGCCAAATTTCAATTATTTTTATAATTATTTATAATTTTTTTTTCAAGAATTTATTTATTTTTAAGAATTTTAATAAAATCCTTTGCAGAAATTCGATTACATACTTTGAAAAATTTTTATAAAATTATTTATATGAATTGAAATATTTTGAAAACAATTTTATTTAACTTTCTCAAAATAACAATTAGTTGCTTTCAAAAATTTTAGTAAAATTCTTAGTAAAATTTCAATTATTTTCATAATTAATAACATTTCTTGAAAGAATTCAATTATTAAAAAAAATTGGAATAAAATTTCTCAAAAGAATTGAATTTAATTTCGTTAAAATAAAAATTAAAATAAGTAGAAATTGTTATAATCAAAAATAGCATTCAATAAAAATTCGCTGAATTAAAAAGTTGATTAAATAAAAATTTTGTTTATTAAAAAAGTTGCATGCAAAAATTTGGTAAAAAATAAAAATTCCCTAAATTAAAAAATTCGACATAAAAAAATTCTTTTAAAACAAAAATTTTGCTGGTAAAAAAATGCGAAAATGTACTTAAATAAAAATTTGATTCAAAGAAAAATTTGGTTAAAATAAAAAATAGTTTTAAAAAATTTGTTTCAAATAAAATCCGATTGAATATAAAAACTTGGTTTTATTAAAATTCTGCTGAAAAAGAAATTTCTTTTAAATAAAAACTGGTTAATTATTATAAATTTGTCGAAATAAAAATTCTATTACAAAAATTTATTTAAAATAAAAATTCTATTAAAAATATTTGTTTAAAATAAAAATTCGATTGAATAAAAATTCTGCTAAAAAAATTTGTTTAAATTAATAAAACTAGTTGAAAATAAAAAAATGATTTAATAAAAACTTTTATAAAAAAAATTTAGTTAAAATAAAAACTAGTTAAGAATAAAAATTTAGTTAAATAAAAATTCTGCTAAAAAAATAAATTTTGGTTAAAATAAAAACTAGTTTTTTGTTAAAAAAAACATTCACAAAAATACCGAAGTGCTAAATAAAAAATCGATTAAAGAAATAAATTTCGCAGAAAAAAAAGTAAAATAAATTAATTTTAAATTAATTAAATTAATTGAAATTTTACCATTTAATTTAATTGTTGTCGTTTAATTAAATTTTCATTTTCCTTATTCATTTTTCCAGAGTATCATTTGTAAAAGGTTGGGGAGCGGAATATCATCGTCAGGACGTTACTTCAACACCATGCTGGATCGAAGTGCAATTAAAAGGACCATTACAATGGTTAGACAGAGTCCTCATAGAAATGGGATCGCCTCAATTTGCAATAGGTTCCATGTCGTAACTGTAAACAAAAAAAAAAACAAAAATTATTCATAAATCGTGCCTTAATCTGTAAATTTCAATCTTTTGTGATATAAACTACTTCAAATACTCAACTCAAGCAATATTTATAAATTAATATTAAATTTAATTTATAAAACAAAATATATAATTTATAAATATTGATTTATAAATAAGTATTCGTAAATTATATATAAAAAATATTATACACGTATATTATAAATATATTCTTAATTATTAAATTAAAAATAAATTTAAATTAAATTAAATTAAAATAAAAAGAGTAAATTAAGATCAGATAACAAAAAAAAATTTGAATTAGAAAAAAGTGCTCAAATTTTTATAATACTATTTATATGGAGAGAAAAATGTTTTTTTCTTTCCAAAAATGATATATTTTTTGTAAAAGACGATAATATATATTATATATATATAAAATAATGTAAAAATTTAATTAATATGTTATATATTTTATTATAGAAAAATGTCGAAAAAAATTTTGTGACGAAGAATTTTTCTCTGAAATATGTATAAAAAATAATCACAATGACAATGACTGTGAAAAATTAATCCTATATTAAAATTATTATTACCGTATAAGTATTTAATTTAAAAAATGTAAATAACAAAAGTTTAGTGTAAAAGATTTTTTCATCTATGACGGATTATTTATTATTAATTATTAATTATTAATTTAATAAAAGAAAAAATAGATGAAAAAAATTACTATTTATATACAGTAAATAGTAGATTCTACATTTTTAAATTAAATGAGTTTATAATCGAGTCAAGTAATAATAATCTTTTCATTAATAAATAAAATGGAGTAACTATTAATTAATAATCCATTAATAATTGATAATTAATGATTAATTTCATAAACAGTTAATAATTAATCATCTATTAATCTTGTAGTTCATAATTTATTTTTTCAAAAGAATAATTATTTTTCGCAGTTTAACGACTTATTTTTCACGTGACTAAAAATTCACACAACGTTTATGATCCATCGATTGTAAGACAAATATATTTTTTACGCAGAAAACAATATTTATTGTTTACAAATATTTTTTTTTAAATTGTCCATGAAAAAATAATTATTGTTACAAAACTAATAGAAAAACATTTTTTTCTAGATTAAATCGTTTATTATAAACTTCATCAATTTTTCATTTTTTTTTCATTATTTAATAATTTAATTATAGGTGGTTAATTCTTAAAACTAAATAATATTAATAATAATTATTATAATTGCATATTAGATTATATATAATTATAATTTTTGTAATAATTGTCGCAGTGCCAAAAAAAATACAAAAATTGTATTTAATTTTCTTGATTCAATTATAAAATTTCTGGTTGAATTGGCGATAATAAAATTATTTTTCTTGAGGATTTTCGAATATTCAGTTGACAAATGCACTGGATTAAAATACACATATAAATTTTTATTTGTACAGTGAATGTATTTTTCAGAACCAAATGTATAAATCAGTATTATATCCAATTGTTTTTACTGTTCTTTAAAATCCAATCATTTTTAGATTTTAAGTACTTACTGAAATTTGAATATTTACAAAGACTTCGGATAGTTCGATTTTATTCCGACAATTTTTAGAAATAAGGCAATTTTTTCGACTTATTTTCAAACAATGCGACTTTTTCGACTTTTCTTCCAAATATTCCAACGAAATATTACTTTTTTTGATGTAAAATGCAAATTTCTTCGATTTTTATAATGTATTTTGATATTTGCAATTAAATATCCTCCCAAAAATTTAATTAGTATTTTAAAATATTTTTCAAAAATTCTTCTTAAAAAATTCAATTATTGTCAAAAAATTTTACTAAAATTCAATTATTTGAATATTTATATGTAATTGAAAAATATATTAATATTCAAAAATTATTTTTAATTATTTAAAAAAAATTAATTTTCAGATTTATTTTACTATAGTTTTTAACTTTTAATTATTTTAAATATTTTCGATTGTGTATTATAATAATTAATAACTTTAAAGAGAAATCATGAGACGTTGCAGTTACAATTATTATAAAAAATTGAAGTTTTGTATTTAAAGAATTCAATTCTCGAAAAACTTCCGGAAAATTATTAAAATTAATTGATTCAGAGAAGAAGTTTAGTTTAGAATTGTTTTCAATAACTAAAGTTTGGACGAATTGCTGGTTTTTCGCAATCATCACGATTCTCACAACTATTTGTCTTCTCACACCAGCCACAATTGTATTTTTTCTCCATTGTCGAGGATGATTTACAATTATTCGCCATTTCTTTACATTTGTAAATTTCAATGCAAACATCGTCGGGATTCTCTAAAAAATAACCATTCCCACCGGCGTAAATTTTCAATTTGACTTGAATTTTTGGTTTCTTTGATTCATAAGAAAATAAATATGGATCGCAATAAATTGTGTCTGCCAATAATTTTGCTTTCACTTCAACCTTTTTTCCTTCTATTTCATATTGGCAACGGTAATTTAATAATATCAAGGCATCCTAAAAAATATTCACAAAATGATTAATTAATTTCATTTAATTATTAATTAGAATAGAGAAAAACAAAATTAAATTGAAAAAGTACTTACTTTGCTGCCATCAAGATTTGCTTTGACAGTTATAGATTTATTCGTTCCTGAAGGTATGAAAAATGTTTTCTGCTCACTATTAAACGATGGGCATTTTAGTGAATTTTTATTGTCCGATGTCTGAAAATGAAAAATTCGATTATTAATATTTTTTTCCACGTAGAGAAAATAAAATTGCTCAAAAAAAAAAAAAATTTTCTTCCTTCTTTAATTTTTAGTCTAAAATTTTTTTTTAATTTCTAATTAGTGAATCAATTAAATTAACTAATTTTGTAAATAAAAAAAAAAATAATAAAATTTACAATTTCTTGAGTTTGGTACTTACAACAGCGGTGGTATTTTTTGGAAAAGTTTTACATTTCTTCTGCCTCTGTATTACCGAACATTTATAGCATCCAACTTTTTCCAATGACCAAGTGCAGGGAGAATCAACACAATCTGAACAACTTTTAATATCGGGACAATATTTATTAATTTTCCAACGATTTGGAGGTGGTCTCCAACCGGGAAATCCAAATGCATTATGTTTATCATCTTTATTCTCATCATTGTCACTGAACACTGATTCCAAAATTACAAAGAAACAGAGAATTATTTTCAAATTCATTAAAGTAATTCTCATAGTGAAAAAAAAATTCTTCTCGATAATTTTCGAATTATCAAATTTTATTTATAGTAAATAAATATTTATATTTTTCTTTTAATTTCTATTTTTCTAAATTTATTTATATTCTTTTTCTTTAATTTATACTTTTTTTTCAATATAAAAAATATATATTCTTGTTTTTTAAAATTTTGCTTTTAATTTCAAAAATTAGAAAATAATTTCTATAAAGTTTGAAATTTAAAAATAGTTTCTGTAACTTTTTATAGTGTAAAAATGTAAAATTTTTTTGTTGTAAATTTTTTTTTGAAACTAACAATTTGCTATTTTAAAAAAGTCTATTTATACCTCTCGATGTTATCACGTTTCGAATTAAACTTTTTTTTCTCTCTTTATTTTTAAATAAATAATTATTCACACATTGAGAGTAATTTAACAGTGTAGCAATTAAAAAAAAAAAAGAATTTAACAAAGTAGTGTTTTTTAGGTCAAATTTCGATTTTAATTTGTTTGAAGAAAAAAAAAATTTTTTACTTTTCGTTTTCTTTTACATTTTATTTTTGGTAATTTTATTGATTTTGCATAGAGAAATAAATAAATAAAAATCTATTACATAATTTTATTTGTTGTACAATTGTAATTGTTAATTTTACAATTATTATTATTATTAATTTTGAAATTATGTTTTTAATTTTGTAACAATATAAATACTGATTAATATTGAATCCTCATTACCTTCTAGGTATACATGGAATAAAATAAATAAATAAATATTAACTCCTCATATCTGTTTTAAACACTGGGATATTCAATATCTATTGCTAGATTACAATTTGTCTCCGACACGTGTCCATGGCAATCGATTAATTGCAATTTCTTGTCTATACAAATTCTGACCTCGTGTAAAAATTGTTTCTTACCGGACTGTAAAGAAAGTAAATTTATTATTTAAAAAGTAGTGTATTTTTATATTTAAATATTTAAAATAAAAATATTTAGGTACTTCAAAAACAGAAACTAAATTCAGTAAAAAAATAAAATTAAAAGTACAAAAAGAAAATCGTAATGAAAGAAAAATAATAATAATAAAAACTTAAATTCAACATAAAAGAAGAAATAAAAAACAAAAACTTAAAATAAAAATTATTCTATTAAAAAAACCGAAAAAAAATTGCTCACCTTATCTTTATGACACATGACTTGAGGTGTAACTTTCAAACCACTTGTAAGAGCTGCTTGAATTGCTTTATAAGAATAACTTTTTCCCTTTATTATATTTTTACTCATGAGAATATTTCCAATTACGTAATGTTTACTCCACAGTAATCCTTGTTGAAAATATTTATATTGCGAATTCATTGCTGGCAAATCCATTGCACATGTTCCGTGTTTTTGCCATTCCCAACTCCAAAAATTTTCGATTTTTTTATCAAAAACATTGTACCATTTACATGAAAGTTCTTTTTTTATACTCAATAAATGTCTCTCGTTAAACGGATGATATAAATCGCAATTTTCAGGACTCTTGCCGGGATAATTTTTCGTTGGCCAAATTCCATGTATATTCCAAAAAGCATTATTACAAAAATAACATTCTTTTAAATTCTTCTCATGTTGCAAACATGCTGTTATTGGCCATTGTTGAATGAATAATAAAATATCGTATTCGTTATCCCTGAAATTTTTTTTTTTTTTTTATTAGGCGAAAGATTTTTCCATTTTTATGTAAGTTAATACTTATTATAATAATTTATTTTCATAAATAGAAATAAAATTCCTTACAGGATTTCGATTGTAATAAAATTTCGTTACAAGACTTCAATTATTTTTAATTTTTAAGTAAATTCTTCGAAAAATGTAATTATTTTCAAAAATTTTATTAAAATTCTTCGAAAGAATTCAGTTATCAATTATTTTTTAATAATTTTTGCAAAAGTTCCTTGAGAATTTTCAAATTTATTTGTTTGCAATTCAATTTTACGAAATTTCGATTAATTGGAAATTCTCCAATTAAATATATATTTGAGAATATAGACATAAAATAATTTCAATAAAAATTCGATTAAACTTTTTCAAAAAAAAAAAATTAATTCCACAGAATTATTAAGTTAAAAATATGAAAAATTCAAATTTTTATAGATTTTAATTTGAATCTTTTTCAAAATTCAATTCCATTAAAGAATTCATGCAATAATGCTTTTAATATTCAATTAATTAAAATTAATAATATGTGAAATATTTACTGAAATTCATTTTTAAATTTAAAAATAAATAAATTCTTATAAGGGAATATTACAAAAATTTAAGTTTATGTGAAAGATTCTATTATTTAGGAAAAGAATTGAATTCTTGCGAAGAATTTTATTAAACTTTTTAAAAATAATTTAATTTCTGTGAAGAATTCTATTATTTAGGAAAAGAATTAAATTCTTTTAATTTCTCTTGCATTTGTATTGAAAATAATTTTGCAAATTAAATATGAAATTTGAATATTTAAATAAATTTTCCCAAAAGTCTTATTTAATATTAAACTTACGCATTCGAAAAATCTGCGAAAGCAACCAAAAGAATAAATAATTTTCCAACGAAATAGAAATCCATTTTTGAAGATTTCCAAAAATTAAAAGAGTTAACTGAAATTTTTTTGCTATTAGTATAATTCCAAGGAAAAATTTAGTCGATTTTTGTTTGTAGTTTGACTGTATGAAATATTCAAAAAGCCGCGACTTTATATACTATTTGATAATTGACATAATCATAATCAATCGTCTGGAAAAAAATAATATTTGACGATACATTAACAAGACGAAACAATAGAATTTTTATGTAAATATTTATCGTTATGTATACGTAAATTAATTTATAGACTTTACTTTCATTCATATTATTGTACATATTTGTAATCAAACAATTTACACTTTTTAATTTTTTTAATTAAAAAATTCAGTTTTATTTAATATTTTAATTTCATTTTTTTAAGTAGTTAAGATTTTTAGGTATTAATAATGTACTTTCATATTTTTTTTTTATTGCTATGCTTAACATTGTTTCTTCAATTTCTTTAAATAAATATAAATAAGGTAAAAAAAATTACTTGTTTCAAAAAAAATTAATCTTCTCGTTGATATTTTCTTCTTATAATTTGAATAGAAATGGAAACAAGAAATCGAAAGATTTAAATTATTGGCAGTCTTAATCATGCGGGATATTCGATATCCAATCGACGATTGCAATTTGTCTCCGACACGTGTCCAGCACAGTTAATTAATTGTAAACTTTTACTAAGACAAATTCTTATTTCATGTAAGAATTGTCTTGTTCCACTCTATAAAGTAAGACAGAAGAGAAAAATAATTATTTGAAAAATATTAAAACTTGAGAAATAAAATTATAAAAATACAAATATAAAAATATAAATAAACAATATTTTACACAATCGTTGATAATAAATAAATATAGATTTGTAAATAAATGAAATATTCTTTAATCATTACATAATTGAATTATCATAATTAAAATAAAATTTTGCAATTTTGAATTCTTCACAGAAATTCAATTATTTCCATAATAAATAAATTTTAATTTTCTGGAAATAATTCAATTTTCTTAAAACATTTTAATTCAATTCTTCGAAAGAATTCAATTTTATTATTTTCATGAATAATACAATTCTTCGTAAAAATTCAATTATTTAAAAAAAATACTAATAATATTCTCCGAAAAAAATGCAATTACTTTTAAAATTTTTCGCAAAAATTCAATTCTTTTCATAATTTATATTATACAGTTTTTCGCGGGAATTTAATTATTTTAAAGAATTTAAAAAAAAAAATTCTTTGCAGAAATTCAATTTGAAAAATTTTGAAAAATTATTTATGAGAATTGAATTATTTTTATAATTAATAAATTTCTACGTAAGAATTTAATTATTTTAAAAATTTTTAACAAAATATTCAACGCGCGTTACCATATTGCACAATATATTATTGTTTTCAAGATAATAGAAAAATATTTACTTTATGAATTAAAATACGAATAATATGTTTTTAATTCAAACTTCTAATATTGTAAATAAATTATAAACGTCTGTCAACACACGTGTTAATTAATTATACAACAACAATGAGTCATGTGCTTTAATTTTTTATTTTCAATCAAATAATAGGTTTTTACGACGAATTAATTGAAACAAGTTCATATCAATGAGAGGCGTTGAAATTCTTTGCAAAAATTTTATTTTAAAAACTGTCAATAATATTCTTTATTAGAAAAAAATGTATTTAAATATTTTGAAAAAATGTAATTCTTTTCCTAAATATAATAAAAATTTGCGTAATAAAGAATAAATTAAATTATTTAAACAAATTTTGGGAAAATTCTTTATAAGAATTCATTTATTTTTAATAAAATTTTTATTCCAATTCTTACCAAAATTTCACTTATTTTCATAAAATTATTATTTCTCGAAAGAATTCCATTATATCCAAATATAATAATTGAATTACTTCGAAGAATTTTATTATTTAGGAAAATAATTGAATTCTCGTGAAGAATTTTGTTAAAATATTTGTAAATTCTAATTAAATTCTTTTTAAAGAATTACTTTGATTTTGTTTTAAATAATTTTAATAATAATAATAATAATAATAATAATAATAATTTTAATTAAAAGTTTTGAATATAATTGAATTTTATGAACAATTTCTTTTAAGTTTTTAAAATTATCGTGTTCGTTAATAATTGAAATTAAACATTTAATTATAGAATTTTATTAAAATTTTAGAAAATAATTGAATTCTTTTGAAATTACGAATTGAGAAAAAAACTGAATTCTTTCCTGAAATTTTTTTTGAAAATGTAATTCAATTTTTTTTTTTTTCATGAAATTTTATTAAATCTGTATTAAAGATAATTGAATTTTTGCAAAGAATTTTACTATTTATAAATATAATTTAATTTTTTTGAAGAATTTATTAAAATGTTAGAAAATACTTGAATTCTATTGAATTTTTTTTTATAACAAATTAAGAAAAAAATTGAATTCTTTCGTGAAATTTTTTTTTTACAATAATTGATTTTTTGCAAATATTTTATAACGAATTATGAAAAAAATTGAATTCTTTCGTAAAATTTTTTTGAAAGTAATTAAATTTTTGCAAATATTTTACTATTTAAAAAACAAATTAAATTGTTTCGAAGGATTTATTAAAATTTTAGAAAACAATTGTATTCTTTCGTGAAATTTTATTAAAATTTTGCTTAAAAGTAATTGTATTTTTGCAAAAAATTGTACTATTTATAAAAATAATTAAATTCTCACGAAGAATGTTATTAATTATGATTTAAAAAATATGAAAAGTAAAAATGTAATAATTAAAAAATTCAAATAAAATACAAAAAATATACACTATTTTATTTTATCAGAAAAATTTTAATCCACTCACCTTATCCCTAAAACAGGAGACTTGTGGTGTAACATTATTTAAACCTGCTCTAAGAGCACGTTGAATATTCTGCAAAGTATAAATTCCTCCAGGTCTAATATTACCATTATTAAGAATAGTTCCAATCACGTAATCATTGTTCCACGTTAATCCTTGACTAAAATATTTATTTTGCGAATTCAGTGCTGGCAAATCCAATGAACATGTTCCGTGGTTTTTCCATTCCCAACTCCAAAAACCCTCTGCATTATTATTGAGAACATTTAACCATCTTGTTTCAAGTTGTGGTCGTATATTTGCCAAATTTTGCACTCTAAGTCGATTGCTATTATCACAATCTTCAGGACCTCTTTCCGGCACATTTTTTGATGGCCAAATTCCATGCACCGTCCAATCATTATGGGGAATATTACAATTATTCCGTTGTCTTCCATTTTGGATGCACGTTGTCATTGGCCATTGTTGGGCAAATAATAAAAAATCATAGTCGTTCGGAGCTCTGAAAATAAATTTTTAATTTCCTATTATTTTTATAAATTGAATTCATAGTGTCATTTAGCGATTAATATAATTGCGGATCACGATCAAAGAATGCCGGTTATAATTTTTTAAGACTCAAAACTAAAAAAAGAAAATTTAGAATTTCAATTTTGAATTTTTATAAAAATTAAAAATTGACAAGATGTTCCTCCAAAAAATGTGATTTAAACCTTTTTAATTTTCGATTTTTAGATCAGAAAAATTATATCCGGTTCTTTGATCGTGACCTTCAATTAATCATTTGTAATTTGTAATTAATAATTAGAACTTAAGAACTAGTAATTGAATAAATGAGTTAACAAAATAATTTCATGAAAGAAATAAATTAAATTAAAATTAAATAATAAAATTCTTCTCCAAAGAAATGCGATTTTTTCTTTTTCGAATAATAAAACTTACGCAATCGAAAATTGTGCCAATGCACCCAGGACGATAAAACATAATTTCCAATCGATATAAAAGTCCATTATTTAAACAAAAAAATTTGTCCAACACTTGAAAAATTCAATTGTTAATTTATAAATAAAAATTATGTATTTTTATTCGATTTTCTATTTTTATTTTTCTACGTAAAAAACTAAGATCACTTGTATCGAATTTATGCAAAAAAAAAAAACTAATTTGATACTCACGAAAGAGGTTTATTTTAAAAAGTGATGAAAAATATTTTGTCTCCACCACCTTAAATACTATTTCACAAAACTGTTATGTATTTTAAATTTTATATGAAAATCCTGTTTTCAAATGCAATTGACGTGATAAAAAATACGGGTTATTTTCTTTTTCCTTTACGATAAATATCGTTTTCGTCATTATGACGAAAAGAAAAAGACGAAAAAAAATTAAATTTTGTCTTTAACTAGAATTGCCAATAAAATGAAAAAAAAAAAATTAGCACTCGTTTTCTTATCTTGCTTATAATTATTGTTAATGAATGAAAATTAAAATTATTTATTGTATTTGACTAAAATGTTAACGAGTTTTCGTGAATATAATTCTATAGAAACAAACAAATAAATTTTGTTATTTAAAATGATAAGCATTCGAAAAAAATGTGAAAGAAATAAGAAGGTTGAAAACGAATAAAGAGAAATAAAATTGAAAACTGATAAAGTAACAAGTACAAAAATTCGTACTTTATATCTAAACGAGTTCAAAATTATATGATTGGAACAAACATTTATTCTACAATTTCCTTAAAGAAACATGTAGTATTTTCTTTTCTAATTACTTTTGTAATCAATTTAATATTTGTTTCTATTCGCTGTTTACAAAAATAAAAAAAAAATGTTAATTTAAAATTTAATTATTAATTTTCTAATATTTTCTTGAATAAATTTCAATATTTATTAAAATTTGTATTTAATATTTATTAAAATTTATACTTTTCCATTGTTTTTAAATTGAAATTTACAATTTTATGGCACATAAATGAATTTAAATAGAAAAATAATTTGATGGATAAATTTTTCCCCCTAGAAAAACTATTTTAATTATTTCCTCCATTTTTATTATTATCGACTTGGATATTCAACATTTGTTGCCGAATCGCAATTAGTTTCAAATGGCAAATGTCCTCTGCAGCTCATTGCTCTCAAATTTTTGTCAAAACAGATTCTTACTTCATGCAAGTATTGTTTATTGGCCTAAAAAATGTTTTAATAGTATTTTCTTTTTTGTCCTTTTTAATCAGAAAATTGATAAAAATAATTATATAATGAAACCAGAAAATTTTAGTAATATTTTTTTCTCTTGAAATATATTTTTTGAAAATAATTATATTGTTTCGAAGAATTTAATATTGAAAAGTTTAAAAATAATTGAATTACATCAAGAACCTTAAAATTGTATGGAAAAAAATAATTGAATTCCTGTAAAGAATTTTATCATTTATGAAATATAACTAAATTCTTTTAAAGAACTTTATTAAAATTTTTGAAAATGTACTTAAATATTTGATCGAATAATTTAATTAACAATTTTGAAAAAAATTCAATTCTTTTGAAGAATTCAATTCAAATTTTATTGAAAATAATAATTGAATTCTTTCGAGAAATTTTATTAAAATTGTACTGAAAATAATTCAATTCCTTTGTTCAATTTTAATATTTATGAAAAATAACTTTGTATTCTTGCGAAGAATTTTATTGGAAAATTATTTATTGTTACCGAAAACTTAAATAAAATTCTTCGCAAGAATTCAATTGTTATAAATACAATTTTAATAAAACTTCTTAGAAGAATTCAATTATTCTTAAAACTTTGATAAAATTTTTCGCAAAAATTTGAATTATTTTTGAAAAATTTTTAATTCTTTACAAAAATTTCAATTATTTTCAATAAAATGTTAATTTTCTGAAACAAATTCAATTATTTTTATAAAGTTTAATAGAATTCTTCCAAAAAAATTAAATAATTTTCACGAATAATTACAATTGTACGCAAGAATTCAATTATTAAAAAAATTAAATTCTTCGCAAAAATTCAATTATTTTCTATAAAATTTTAATTTTCTGGAAATAATTCAATTTTTTAAACACTTAAATTCAATTCTTCGAAAGAATTCAATTATTTTCGTGAACAATATAAAACTTCGCAAGAATTTAATTATAAAAAAATTAAATTCTCTGAAATATTCAATTATTTTTATAAAGTTTAAGAAATTCTTCACATAAATTCAAACATTTCAATAAAATTCTAATTTTCTGGAAATTATTTAATTTTTTTAAACACTTTAATTCAATTCTTGGAAAGAATTCAATTACTTTCACGAATAATTACAATTATTTGCAAGAATTCAATTATTAAAAAAATAATTAAATTCTCCGAAAAAATTCAATTATTTGTATAAAGTTTAATAAAATTAAATAACTTTTAAAAAGTTAAATAAAATTCTTAACAAGAATTCAATTATTTTCACAATTTATAAAATTTTTCGCAGAAATTTAATTATTTAAAAAAATTTCTTTTAAATTCTTCTCAGAAATTCAATTTTAAAAATTTGGATAAAACTCTTTATAAGAATTTAAATATATTTTTAATATTATTCTAATTAAATTACTCGCGTGAAAATTAACTTATTTGTAAAGATTTCAATTAAATTTGTAGCTAAAAATTTAATTACTTTGAAAAATTTTGTTAAATTTCTTTATTTAAGAATTCAATTATTTCAGATTTAAAAGTGTAAGAGAAATTCAATTAAAAATAATATTTGTAATTGAAAACAATTTGATTTAATTAATTTTTGGTATTCTTTAATCTTCAAAGCATTAAATTATTGTATTTCCATTAATTTTAAAATTCAAAATATTAAATAGAAACATTATCATAAAAATTAGGAAACAAAAAAATTAATTTCAAACTGTGACCAGATTACTGAAAGACAACGATGTAGAAGAAGAAGAAGATTAAAATAAAATTTGTAAAATTGAAAATAAAATATTTTGCAATTTACATAAACATAATAAATTGAATATCGCGTTTAAAGCGGAACATTTGCTAATACAATTTTTTTGACATAAATATTAATTTTAATCCATTTGAAACTATAAGTTTAATTAAAAATTCGCATAATATTCACAATTTTTGTTTAGAATTTTGGGAATTGAATATTAAAATTGATAATGTGTAAAAGTATCTAAATAAATTATGATAATTAATTAAGATTAATTTTTGAAATTGAATATTAAAATTGAAAATGTATGATAATTAATTAAAACCAGCAAAAGCAAACACTATTCTACATCTTTTTCATTACAAATTATTCTGGTCATTTTAGTGCCCTTCTATTAAATAAATAAATATAAATAAAATGATTATACTTACAGAATCTTTAATACAAGTGACTTGAGGTGAAACTCTCAGACCCGTATTAATAGCTCTCAAAATATCTCTTATGGGATAACTTCTACCAGGTGTTATACGTCCTCTTGAAAGATAATTATTAATTCTAAATCGAGTATTCCATTCAACTGCTTTAGAAAAATATTTCAATTGTGTATTTAAATCGGCTAAATCAACGGAGCATGTGCCATGCTTTTCCCATTCGTGCTTCCAAAATCCCTCTGGATTATTATTCAAAACATTAATCCATCGCCGTATTAATTGACTTCTTATTGTTCGCAATTCATTTACTCGAAATGGCAAATCTGGTCGACATGCCTCAGGACCTCTTTGAAGCGTTTTACTCGGCCAAATTCCATGTATTGTCCAATCATCATTTCGTGGAATATTACATTGATTTGGTCTTCTTCTCGATTGAATGCAAGTCGTTTTTGGCCATTGTTGAGTATGAATATCAATAAATCAAAGTCACTCAGAGCGCTGAAAACATTTTTTTTCTCATTAATAAATTAAATTTTTTAAATTTAGTTAATCAATTTTTATTAATTTATTAATTAATTATTAATTTCCTTAATAAATTCAATTTTTATATTTAATTAATTAATTTTTATTAATTTATCAATTAATTATTAATTTCATTAATAAATTCAATTCCTTTTTAATTTTCTTTTTACAAAGAACATTAATTAATTATTAATAACTTCATTTTTTTCAATTTTCTTTTGTCAAAAGAAATTTTTTTAAAATTTTTGTTAAAATTGGTTTAATTTTTTATTTTTAAATTAAAATTTCCAAATTCTTTAATGAAAGAAAAATTCGAAAAACAAAGAAAAACAATTAAAAGTAGATATTGGTAAATTATTCAAGAAAGATTTGTATTAAAACAGGAAATAAATTTCCCTTTAATTGATAAACATTTTTACTGAATGAATTTATCTTGATTATTAAAATTTAATTCAAAAGAATCTTTCCTCCTGCTCATTATAAATAAGACGTGTGTAGACTTACGCAATTGCGAGTTGTACGAAAGCACCAAGAAATATTAACAATTTCCAAAAGAAGCAAGTATCCATTTTTTTTTCTTTTCTCTTTTAAATTTCCACTTTTCAAAAATAAAAATATTAAATTCAAGAAAAAATTTTTAATTTACACTACTTTAACAAAGAGAACAAAAGCAAAAAGTTATGAAAACGAATTTTAAAAAAATTAATAAAATTAATAAAATTAATAAACAAATAAAAATGTAAACAAAAAATTTTAATTGAATTAAAAATTTTATTTCTTTATTTTATTTTCATTTATAATTTTAATTTTCAATTGAAAAAAGTATAAATTACTTTCATGAAAAAAAATCCCTAAATACACTTACCGAATATTGTTGGAAAATGAATAAATAGCAATTATTTTAGTTCCTCGCTTTAAATATCATTTTTTTTTTGCAAACGTAACGAAAGAAAATATTTTTAAAGTCTGTTCAATGTGAAATTTAGATAAGAAAAGCTGGATTATTTCCTTAGGTACATAGAAATTGATTTTAATTTATTATAAATATTGTTTTTCAATAAAATTATTTTCCTGTTAGGAAAAGAGTGAAAGAAAACAATTTAGAATTTGAAATAAGAAAAATATTTCATCACTTTCTTTAAAAAGTTTTTCCCTCAAAAAATAAGGTAATAAATTCTGATATTAATTTAAAATATATAAATTAATTTCACATAATTTTTAAAAGCTAAATTATTTAATTTTTAAAGCAAAGTTTAAATAAAAAGAATAATAATCATGATAATATTAATGATTTACTTGTTTATTTGATAAAGTAATAATTTACTAATAAAATCGTCTTCTCAGGTGATTTTCAACGAATTTTCTTTTCCAATATTTTTTTTGTCTTTTTCAGTTTTGATAATTAAATTAATTTTTAATTCTCAATTTTTGAATTAAAATTCGATTGAAATGAAATTGTAAAAATATAAAAATATTTTATTTTAAAGTTTTCTTTTTGTTTATTTATGAAAGAAAATCAAATTTTTTGCGGATAAAATCCATTTTCTTTTTTTATTTAATTACAATATTTTTATTTTTATTTAATATCTTGTAATTGGCAATTGAAATTTTTTTTTTAAATTATTGTATACATATCTCTATATTATAAAGCCATCTGAAAATATTTGAAAAATTGATTGCTGCCATAAATGGAACTAAAAAGAGGAAAAAAATATTAAACTTTTATTATTTATAATTAAAATTATGTAATTTAATTTAAAAAGAAATCTATCAAAAAAAAAATGTACTGAAGAAAATCAATCTTTCTAAGAGAACAGAATTTAACAATTTACTAAATATAAAATAAGAACCTGTTTCAAAAATTTTAAGTTCCATAATTTTTTTTTTTTTTTTAAATTCCTCTCCACGTGTTTATTATTTTGGTGGATACACGACATTTGATTTGGTATTACAATTTGTCTCATAGGCAAGTTTTCCCTTGCAATTAGTTATCTTCAATTGTTTGTCAAAGCAAATTCTCACTTCTTGAATGTATTGATGACCCTATTATTTTTTTAATAAAATTATTATTCATAATTAATTTTCTTTTTAAATTTGCATTTTTGTCAATATTTCTGAATTTTATTTGATATTGTAATTTCTTAATTTGCAAATTTATTATTTTTTTAATATTACTTTGGTTTTATTATAATACCAAAAAGTTATTAAACCAAATTGTTTTAAATTAAAAATATTTCTTTCTTTGAATCTGAAATAATTGATTTCTTATATAAAGAAATTTATCCAAATTTCTCAAAATAATTAAATTTTTTGTGAAAAATGTAATTAAAATCTTTGAAAATATGTAAATTAATTCTCACGAGAAATTTAATTAGAATGATATTAAAAAAATAAATTTTTCAGTAAAAGAAATAAGAAAAATTGAAAAAAAAGGTTAAAATTAAATTGAGAATTTTGCAATAATTTTTCTTACCCCACTCCATATGCAAGTGACTTGCGGTGATGTTTTTAATGCACGATTAAGTGCACTCATAATTGTATTTATCGGAAAACTACGTCCAGGTGTAATACCTGCGCCCTCCAACATTTGTCGAATATTATATTGTTTATTTAAATTTATTCCCGTTAGAAAATATTTAAATTGCGTATTTAAAATTGGCAATGGAACTGAGCACGTTCCATGTTTATCCCATTCGTGTTTCCAAAATCCATTTGCATTTGGTCCATGAATACTCAACCAATGTGAATCCAAATCACCTTTTATTGACGCCAAATCCTGTGGTTTAAATGGAATATTCTTACAACTTTCCGGTCCTCTTTCATTTAATTTACTCGGCCAAATTCCATGCACTGTCCAATCATTATGATTCGGTAAATTACATTTATTTGGTGGCTTCTTATATTGATAGCACAATGATTTTGTCCATTGTTGAGCGAATAATAATATATCGAAATCATGTGGTCCGCTGAAAAAGAAATATTTTTATTTTACTTTCTACTTTTTCAATTTTTCTTTTTTACTTTTTCAATTCCAGGCTTCACACTCAATAATTAATTTTAAAAAAGTGTAAAAAAAAGTAGCTTAATAATAATGAAAAAAGTAGCTATCGAAAATTAATTTTAACGAATAAAAAAACAATGTTCTACTCGATTCACAAAAATTTGATTCACTATTTTCCTGACTGTTTCCTGATTTCAATCAAAAATATTTATTTTTATTTTAATAATTGAATTCTCGTGAAAAATTTTATTATTTGGAAAAATAATTTAATTCTTGTGAAGAATTTTATTAAAATTTTGAAAAGTAGGTAATTGAATTCTTGAGAAGCATTTTATTATTTATGCGAAAAGAATTGTATTCTTGCCTGGAATTTTAATTAATTATTATTAAGAGTGCAAAGTAGGCAAATCAAATATTGAATTTTCAATTTTATTATTAAGAAAAAAATAATTTTTTTTACTTACGCAGTCGAAAACTGTACGAATGAAACTCCTATCAATAAAATTCCGAGTTTCAAAATTACATTTGCCTTCATTTTGAAAAAAATCTGCGCACTTTGGTTTCGAAATTAAACCAAGTTTCTATTTTTCAATGACAACCCTGTTGAAGATGACAAAAAATATTTTTTTTTCTCTTGAATCACATTTCTCTTCAGAATAAAAAATTTATAAATTGACACATATAAATAATAAAATTATGAAATAAATTATAAATAAAATTTGATATTTACAATATAGAATTATAAATATCGACAGTAAATATTGGCAATAATTGTAAATTTTCAAAAACTTACCTTTCGGAGTCAGGGCAAAAAAAATTCACAAAAAGTCCTTTTATACGCACAATAATTGGTTCACTAACGATTAATTCTTAAAAGCTCATAATTATCACACTTTAAGCTTTTAATACCTTTAATTAAAAAATAATTATCGCATTCCATTAGAAACTTTTTTCTAATTACCGCAATAATTTGAATTAATGCTTTCGGATTTTAAGCATTTAAACTAAAAATACGAGCAAAATTTACAAAAAATTAATTTTCTCTCAATAAAATTTGTTTTTTTGAATATTTTTCAAACATTGTAAATATTATTCCAGAGATAAATCCGATAAATCCTACGACACTGAATAACTGAACGGTACTTTTCTCCTCCTTTCGCCGCAACAAGTACTTCATTATTTTTTAGCAGCTTCTTTTTAAAAAAAAAAAAAATAATAATAATATTCTGCAATTTTATTTCTCGTATAAATATTGCCGAGACTTGAAAATAATTATTATAAATACAGAAAAAGTAGTGAAAAAATAAATAGGTTAGGTTTAGAGAATTTGTGCGAGCATTAATTAATATAATTATAATCGCCCATCGTGTTTATATTCACCGAAAACTAATTAAAATGTTGATTTTTTTTTTAAATAAAAATGTACTCACCAATTGCGAATGTCGAGGGATTTATTTTCTTCAAGCGACTATTACCCGTATCGTCCATTTTTCTTCCGCGGTGAAGACATTTTCGTTCGCTGGGAGATGAAAATTTTCTATCTTCCTGTCAAAAAATTTAGTGTACATCATAATCTTCCATTCCTTTATCGTCCAGATTTCCTACGTAGAAAAAAGTCGGAGAATGTTTCATTTTATTATAATCTAGTTTAATACAAAATTTGCGGCATCACCAAATAACAACCGCATTGTCGTCCCAACGGTCAACACTCATCATATTCTTACCTTTGTCGACAAAATCAATTGTTATATTCAACATTTTTCACTATTAACACATTGTCCCCAATTGGTACTATCACTCTTGATGAGGAAATTTAAAGAAAAATTGACCTAATTATGCAAAAAAGACTTTTAAAAATTGTAAACAATGCGGAGAAGACGGTGAAAAACGCCATTATACTGACGAATTGCGCCAAAATTGTAAACATTTACAGTAACAATGGAAAGTTACCAACAGAATTCTGTTTTATTGGCCGTAAGAAAGTACAGTGGTTAATGAACGCATCTGATTGGTGGACAAATTTCCACAAGCTTTCGACTGGATAAATTTTGAAACGATTTTTAAATTTAAACCAATCGTCCAATTGACATAATTAATTAATTAATTAACAATAATAATAATAATAACATTTATTATTATTAGTTATTAATATTCAAATAAAAAATAATAATCTTTCATATTTAAAACTAATTTAATTATAACTTTACTTACCTACCGAATAGTATAGTCAATAAGTAATATTTATTAAGTTGAAATTGAATATTATGCGACTGAATTTAACAATTTTTTAATTATTAGTTGTAAATTATAATAAATGTTAAATCAATTTTAAAGCATTAGGAAAAGTAGGAATATATTTATCTATTTTCTCAACGTGAAATATAATTTTAAACATTTTTAAAAATTACACAAAGCAACATGGCCGATACCATTGACATGTTAACATATTAATATGATTATTTATAATATACATCACTATATTATTAAGCTTATTTGATAAATAACTCAACAATATTCTTCTAAATGATTTACAATCATATTCCAGTAATAAAACTAATTAATAATTGCATTAATTAATGAATTTAAGTAAAAAAACGTTAGTTCCGGGTTTGTCCGCAAGATAAAAGGTAGATGTCGCCCCAAAAAATGGCGTTTTTTGGTAGTTTTTGAGTTTTCCACGTAATTCGACTTTGTCGAAACTAACACTCTCATTGGCTAGATTCAAATTTGCGCGCAAACCAACAAGCCAATGAGAGCGACTCATGTGGAAATGCACCTTTAGGTTTTATACTGCTCTCATTGGCTTGTTGGTTCGCGCGCAAATTTAAATGTAGCGAATGATAGTGCTAGTTTCGATGAAGGCGAATTGCATGGAAAACTCAAAAACTACTAAAAAACACCTGTTACGTGCGGAGTTACGTAAATTACGCGCAGGCGTAAAATCCGCGAATTGATTTGTTGTTGGTCTCGGTTAAATTCCTTGATAGGAAAGCGGGAATATTTGAAATAAAACAATTGTAATTTCCGTTAAACGGAGGGAAAATCCTCTCAAAAGAAAAGGCATCAATTAACAATTAATAATATTAATTGATTATTAATCCAATACTTTTGAGATTAAAACCCAAGGATTTATTAAGAAATAAGAAGACCAAGTATACAAGATCGAGTTCTGGAAAACGACTTTCCAGCTCGAGATCGGTATTAGAACTAACTTAAAGGCTAATCGTAGAGAAGAGACTGAATCCATTCTAAGTCCATGGAAGACGTTTTTGCGCATGCTTTAAAGTCTATGCACCGCCTCCGCGAGATGCATCCAGCATCCCCACTCTACTATACACACTATGCAACTCTAGCTATACACTGTACATACTATACATAATATATCATACATTCGAAACATTCTGTATTTAACAATAACTTATAATATAATAATTGAATCTGTTTGTATTACAATTAAAAGTGACAGAATCTTATACCTAATTAATTATAAGTAATTAATTACCTATCTTAACTAATTTATTTAAAGATACAAGGCAATGATTCTAATTATATACTATATAATATGACTATTATTATTTTACTTTAAATAATAATACGTCAATCATCATAAGAGTCATCAACAATTACAAGAATCAAATATACTTTTATCAAATAAAAGTATTTTCCGTTGCAACGTCATTTATTTGTACGTGACTTTTCTCGATTTCGTGAGTCCAGTTTAAAGTGTGGTCAACATGTGTTTTTCGTTCGTTGAAAGGTTCTATTCACTTGAGTTTATTTTATTGCCCTTTTTTTGAAAGGTTTTTTATATATAAGTTTAATGAACATAGGGTGGTTTGTATTTCAATATATTTCAACTAGATTTACGACTTTTAATTTTTCTTTTTATCTTTTGGGACAACGGAATGTTTCAATAGTTCTTAAACATGTGAATGTTTGTATTTATTTAGGGAATATATTTTACTTCGAGCGTGACAAATTTTAACTATAGTTGTCAAAGTTATTTATTATTCTATTTGTATTTCAAGTTTCAAGAGTTTAAGATTTCCTGTTTTATGTTTTCCCAGAATTAAATTAAATATAGTGAAATATTTTAAATTCGACCGCGGTTTTTATTCGCGAATCGAGGTATCGATTAATTAACGAGCGAGGTGGTAGCCGCTCGTAACACCTTCCCCCTTATGAGAAATTTTTCATTAACTTGTTTAATAAAAATTTTAAAGTTAAATTTTATAATTCACCCTTAATGTGGATGTAAGTAATGTAAATGTAATGCAAACAGCTCCTATGATTTATTGACGTTGTTTAATTATCGATGTTAATTTACGCTCGGACATGAGTAGTTCAATAATGTCGTAGAAATTCGAGATTTTCAGTGTGACTTATAACTGAAGATTAATTAATTTCTTGCACAGTTTATTCTATAATAAAGCAGAAGATTACATAATACATTTTTTTTTTTTTTTTTTTTTTTTTTTTTTTTTACGTATCCAATTTATGTACACTATTTATATTCAAATCGTTTTATCATTCATACTTGTGAACAAAGCCGTACAACCTGTCGGTTCATTCACACTTGTGTACAAGGCCGTACAATCTGTCGGCTCGTTTATACCTGTGGACAAGGCCGTACAACACAACCGTGAGAGTCGGGTCTTTAAACTGTATAGTTTCTGGTTCAGTGGGTCAGTAGGCAGCATGGTTATGGCGTCGTGTCAAAACAATTTGTAATTGAAAATATTTCCAATGAATTTTTAGTGAAGTTGTAAACATAATGCAAAAGTATCAATAGGGATCATTGAGATGAATTAGATGTGTTTTTAAACAACAAATGAAGTTAACTGGTCGATAATTATTCGACAGCACTCTCTCCCCCTTAAAAGAAAAATATTTATGAAATGGAATGGAATGCGCAAAAGTTGTGATGCGGAGTGTTGTAAACAAAAGGAAAATAGGTATTTGCTTTTAAAGAACTGACAATGTATGTACTGGATTACCAAAATGTGTTTTTAAAAAGGTATGCATTTAATTGTTTATTTATTTCTGTTGATGGAAAATTTTCATTGTCTGTGGTCTTAAGAGGTTAGTGTGAACAATTTTCGTTTTGTTTTGAGTTATTTGCAACTCGACATTGTTTTCGTTTAAAAGTTTTATTATTTTGTAGGGACCAGAGTAATCCGGATCTAACTTTGAGGTTTTGTTGTTCTTTTGAAGGTAAACAAGGTCGTCAACTTCATAATTTTGTAAGTTAACTTTTTGGTCATAGTATCTTTTTGATCGTTCTTTTGCATTATTCAATTTTTCTTTTGCTGTCGTCTGAGTTTCTACCAATTTTTCTGTCAATGTTTTTAGGAATAGGTTATACGTAAGCGGTAGCTGTTTTTGGGCGTGGTCAGAGGGAACTCTGGCGTTTTTGCCGAATATAAGCTGGTGGGGAGTGAAACCTGTGCCATCATGTACTGAGGTGTTGTAAGAAAATATTGCGAACGGTATCCACCTATCCCAATCATTTTTCGTACAATAATTCTTTAAGTATTGAATTAAAGTGTGATGACTTCTTTCCAGGGACCCAAGGGACTGAGGATGGAAAGCGGTGGATTTCAGCTGCCTGATTTTGAAAATTTTACAAAATGCCGCCATCAGCTGACTCGTGAAATCGCTCCCCTGGTCAGTGTGGATCGTTAGAGGGCAACCAAACCGAGCGATAAATTTTTCCGCAAATACGCTGGCAATTGTCATCGAATCTGTCTTTCGCAGAGGGAAGGCATCTGAATATTTTGTCAGATTGTCTTGGACTGTCAAAATGTACTTGTTGCCGTACTCGGTTTCCGGCAATGGACCCACGATGTCCATCTCGATTTTCTCGAACGCTTCCGAGGGGGTGTCAGTTATTGAC